AGCAACATAGTCTGGAGATAGTTAACACGGGGCCTAAATGTGACGGCCAGATCACATGGGAAGTCGGAAACAAGCAATCAAGTATTGATTATTGTCTCATGACTGAAGGAATTTACCACAAACTGACAGAAATGAGGATAGACGAGGAAGGCATTAACAGCTTGGGTAGTGATCATAAACGAATAACATTACAAATGGGATACGAAACTGAAAATATGAGCATGGAATCAAAGTCTGGCAGCTCGTATTTAAATGACAAACAAATAATAAATATAGCCGCAAGAGTCGAGGAAGAAGTAGGCGAAATACCAGGCAAGGACTGGGAGTATAGTGAGCTGTTACATCTAATGACGAAGGAGATAGGGAAAGAGAAGAAAACTGTTTGCTGGAAAGGAAAAAGGAAGCCAAAAAGTTGGTGGAACAAGGAAATCCGGGAGGCGATCGAGAAGCGACGCGAAGCCTCACGGGAGCATAGAAAGGCAAAAAAGGAGAAGCGGCCGCAGGACGAAGTCAAAAAAATATGGGAAATATATTTAGAGAAAAAATCCCTTGTACAGAAATTGGTAGAGGCAAAAATTAAAGGTGAAAGTGAACGCTGGATGACAGAGATACACGAAAAAAAGGAGGCCGCGCCTAGGATTTTTTGGAGCCACATAAAGGCGCTAGGTAGGAAGTCTGTCACAACGCAACAACATATTCTAGATGAAGGAGGAAATCAATTGGAAGGGTACGAAGCGCTAGGTTACATCCAAAAGGTAACAGCCGATTCGTTTCAAAAGAGCGTCCAGGGGATCTCCCCGGTGAGTAAAAGTGTGGCGGAGAAAGCAACAGAGGAAGAGCTAGTACTTGATAATTTCAACTGGAAAAAGGCCGAAGGAAAAATTCCAAAGCGCACTGCCGCGGGTTTAGATGGGATTCCCGTTAGCCTCATTAACGAACTAGGACATAACACTAAAGAAGCATTGTTAAAAGCAGTAGAAAAAAGCTTAAAGGACGGACAAATACCGGACAGTTGGCGACAAAGTAGAATGAACTTAATCTATAAAGGCAAGGGAGAAAAGGACAAGATTCGCTCGTATAGACCACTAACAATTACATCGGTACTATACAGGATGGCGATGCAAGCAGTAAAAATGAAAATAGAAACATGGGCCGAACATAACGATATTTTGGGAGAACTTCAGAACGGATTTCGAGTCGACAGGCGGTTAGACGATAACCTGTTTGTTCTCACTCAGTGTATAGAAATATCCAAAAATAGAGAATAGGCCCTTGTACGTGGCTTTTCTAGACATCACGGGGGCATACGACAACGTTAATCAGGAAATTTTGTGGGATATATTGAAAGGAATGGGCCCGGGCGACGAATGTATACAGCTTTTGAGGGAGATATACCGAGAAAATACAGTTTGTATAGAGTAGGAAGGAATGCGTAGCAAAGAGAACGTTGAGGTTAGCAGGGGTCTGAAACAGGGATGTCCTTTGTCCCCGCTGTTATTCATGCTGTACATGGTGAGTATGGAAAAAGCGCTAGAAGGTAGCAACATTGGTTTTAATCTGTCACACAAACAGGGTGGCATGATGATTGAGCAGAAGCTTCCAGGTTTATTTTATGCGGACGATATCGTCTTATTTGCGGACAGTCGAGATGATATACAGCAGCTGGCGAATATATGCGGAAGGGAAGGTGAAGCTCTTGGACTAGGATTCAGTGTAACGAAGTGTGGATTGATGGTATTCAATGATCCCTGTGATCAGACGGTGTCCATACAAGGCCAAGAAATACCGAGGGTAAGTGAATACAAGTACCTTGGAGTATGGGTAAATGAGAGTGATAGATACATGGAGGTACAGGAAAAAGCCTCGGCAGCAAAAGGAAAGAGGAATGCGGCAATAATGAAGCACAGAGCGTTGTGGGGATACAATAGGTATGAGGTGCTTCGAGGTCTGTGGAAGGGTGTAATGGTTCCAGGGCTTACTTTTGGGAACTCAGTGGTGTGCATGAGGGCAGAGGTGCAAGCGGGAATGGATGTAAATCAAAGGACTGTGGGACGCCTCGCGTTGGGTGCTCACGGGAAGACGACAAACGAGGCTGTAAAGGGCGATATGGGGTGGGCAGGTTTTGAGGCGAGGGAAGCGCAGAGCAAAATAAGGTTCGAAGAAAGGCTAAGAAATATGAAGGAGAGTAGATGGGCAGAGAAGGTGTTCCGTTATTTGTATAGGAAGAGCGTGGACACACAGTGGAGAAAAAGAACTAGAAGACTCACTAGTAAGTATACGGCTGGTATTGTAAGCCGTATGTCAACAAAGAGCGTTAAGGGAAAAGTCAGGGAGGCGGAGAGGATTTACTAGATGGCAGCTATGGAGAAAAAACCGGCTTTGAGTAACTACCGAAAGGGCAAAAATGAAATAAGGAGGGAGGCATTTTACGATAATTCAAGGGGAAGCGCTTTACTGTTTGAAGCGAGATCGGGTTGCCTTAGAACGCGTAGTTATAAAGCAAGATTCAGTAAAGAAGAAGAACAATGCACATGCTGCGGGAAAGATAGGGAAACGGCGGAGCATGTTCTGATTGAATGTGGAGATATCCACCCAGGTGTACGTTTGGGCACGAGCCTACAGGAAGCCTTGGGTTTTAGGGACAACAATGGAAAGCTGAACACACCCGCGATTGAAATAAGTAAGAGACGGTTAGAGTATTGGTGGCAGAAAATTAGAGAGAAAGGACAAAAATAAATATTGGAAAAATAAAATATGGACAGTGTGCCGTAAATGGCAGAGAACTTAAGCTGAAAATTTACCTTTTTTTCTATTAAGATAGAATTTATCGAAGTAGAGGCATTAGGCCAACATAAAAGAAAAAAAGTTTTTTTTTTGTCGAGCCTGGTGGCATACTTGTCACCACCCCGTTATAAAGGGGACGCTCATAGCATCCATCCATCCATCCTCTAGGGAGCCTACATACGCCGCGCCTTCGTCGATGAAGGCGCGGCGCGGCGTATGTAGGCTCCCTATGCTGCTCAGCCATCCGCTCTTTGATTGAACTCAACTGAATAATTTTCATTGATTATTCTGAGAGTTGAGTGGTCCTTATTTCATGTTAGCATAAGCTCCAATATCATGTGCATCCTATTTAACTCCCAGCTTGAATCAGAACCATAGGTTTCATTTTGAGAAGACCTTTTCTGAATATTCGGTATGTGCTCGACCTGAAATGCTCAGAAGAGAAACAATTGTGTCAACCGGTCCTTGTGTCACTAAGAAAGAAATCTACGGGCTAAATGTGGATATATAAAAGTATAAATTGGTTGGTTACATACATGTGAAGTGGATGTGAATTTACAGCTGAATCGACCTTGCTGAAGCCGAGTCGAATAGCCTAAAAAATTTATGATAGATATTCAACAGTAAAAGTGTAAGTGATGACTTTTAATTACTTTTCATGAGATTTAATCACTTTAGAACCCAAAACCAATGAGAGTTAGTATTGTGTGAATAAAAATGGTGGGCTTTACACATAACTTTAACGACTCAGTGTCAAGTGAACATCACATTTAGGCTAAGTAGCAAGGTGCTACTTAGCTTCAGTAATGCTAGCAAACCAGCGAAAACTGTCAAGTGGCACTACATTACACTGTGTATATTTTGCTGGCCCCGCAAGGACACAGGCAAATCTCTGCATATGAGCTAAATAGTGACACTATGCTACGCCAGCTAACAAATTTGCCTTTCACTTCAATTGACATCGATGCATCATTCAGATGCAGATCTTTGGTGTAGTAAGGTTCTGTGATTGAGATATTGTACAGTGGTGATCTGAAAACACATGATGTTTCTGCTCAGGTCGTATGATCCGAATTGATCGTATACTTTTTTAAACAAAATGTTTTGCCATTCTGGCTGCTGAAGCAAACCAAAGACATATGATGCAGCACACACTGCAGACATATTTTGTTTGTTTGAATGTGTACTTGAGAGATGGCATTCAGTTCTGAGTAGAAAACAGACACATTAAAGAGTCTGAAATACAAGATAAGTTTGCATGCTTTGCCTTAATTTAGAGCATCATAAAATTACACACTGTATGCATGTGCATCTTGCTGAGGCCTACAACCTTTCGATACGTATGAGTTTCTAATTTGTGAGTGGCAATGTATATGAAAATTACAGTTTCCATTAACCAGCTGCCAAGATTAATAGTGAAAAGCAAAATAAATTGTCATGAAAGTTTATTTTGCTTTTCACTATTAATCTGCACGGCTATTACTTGTTTCCTTGGAGGGTAACACACACTGGTTGATTTTATAGGTCAAATATATATTTTAAAAGATACTGCATGGGAATAAATGGTGAAAAAGGCTGCACGCATGTATGCCAGCAGTAATCTTGGAGGGGAATTAAATAATTAATCGTTGCACACATCAGTATGAAAAGATGAAATTCACACGGTTTCTAATGCATTTGCCTCGGACGAGATGAAGGTAAAAGCCACTTTCTATTTTTACTTCTCAGTCCATGGGTACCCCCCACGCACCACACCTGCGAAAGCTGCTTTTTGTTTCCAACGTGGTTCTGCATTGCCTCCGGATGGGCTCACATTTAACCAAGCGACGACGCCGTGTGATGACGTCATCACGTGACGTGAAGACGCGTCGATGAACTTTGGTGACCTATTACGTCACAGTGTGACGGCATCTTATGATGATGATGATCTTTTGCTTGACTCGCGTTCACGTTGACGGTAACATTTAGCGTTAGATGAAAGGTTGTGCCCTATTATTTGCTTACAAGAAAATGCAAAAAAAAAATCATCATATTATGCATGCGGGCCTAGTCGGCTAAATTCCCAATAGCCCAAAGATAGCCGACTTTGAGGCAATGCATTAAGAACACAATTTAATTCACAATAATCAAGTATATACACGCATAGAGTTTCCCGAAGTTTAGGAAACTCTATGGCGCCTGTTAAAACGTATTTCGCCTGTTAAAAAGATACTCACCAACGCGGGGTTTCGCTGGTTTCGGTGACACCGGCTTGGCCTTCATAAACTCCGGCATCGCCGGTTTAAGACCTGAAGAGTTAAACATTACGAGTTAGAAAAAAAACAGTGTACCGGATATAAGGCGTACAGTGCATGGCGTGTATCGCAGAACATAGCTCCGTACGAGTTATCCGCTTACCCAAGCCGATCATGGCATCGTAGTTGCGCTTTATGTTGGCGTACCGCTCCTTTGTTATCTCTGGCATCTCTGCCCACTCTTCGTCGTTGAAATAGCACCTCACTTTGCGCAAAATCTCCTCTTGAGACATCTTAATTCGAAGATACAGCACAGGACTCGGCGCTGCTAGGACAAGCTGGCGCTGAATCCCTCCGCAAACTGTCGTCTGCTTTGGCGTTTGTCCGTGCGCGCTTAAAAAATAATTTTTTCATAAAAATATTTGTATTAAATAAATTGTAATAAAAGTTAGACATACTAGTTTTCTAGTTGTTACATTTTGTAACATTTAAACTCGTTTTAATAGGTAAACAACGCTTATCTCTGAGTATACTTTAGATCTCGAAGCCTATGCTTTTGGTTGCTGCACGTTGCTTGCCACAATACGTCATAGCCATCAGTTTTATTATCATTTTTTTGTTTTTTATAGCTTATTTGATTGGTGGATACAATTAAAGCACAAGTAAAAATTAAATTTTTCACTTCACTATTATTAAAACAAAATATAAATCTAGTTTTTGTCTTCTAAGTGTTACGGCTAGATGACGTGAGCCATTGCGCGATCTAAAGGGTGGTAAAGCTATATCAATTCATCCATCATCATGTTGCAAAAAGCGCGCCGGTTTCGCAATATAGCTTCGCCTATGCATGGCAAATTTAGCGTGGTGCATGGCCTTGCGAGATAATATTGGAAACGTCGCCACAGCGCTAACTTTAAACATCAGTTTTACAAGGTCATTCGCCATATTAGCGGGATCAGTGAGTATTAAAACTTGTTGAAAGTTAGCGCTGCGGTATCTCGGATGTGTTTGTCCGTGTTCTATAGCCTACGCCACCATCATTTATCGTGCTACCACACCAATAAATCCACATCGCCGCCCTCATTGTTTCAGAAACAAACCGTAGTCGATCATCGTAGGTGTTCATTTCATGGGCACAGCACTTTCGCTACAGTGATGGGCCAGCGCTAATTCTAGGGGGAGACATCTGAATGCACAGGTCAGACAAAACAGCGTTTTCTTGTGTGGCAAGTGTTCAGTTCGTTCAGTCTGTGCCTTTACTGTATAAACAAATCTGTTTGTGTGCATGTTTTCCCCTAAGAGAGCCCGTTTCAGAAACTGCCTAAATTTCACGGTCGGTAGCGTAATACCAAAGCACGCCTAAGTATCTTCAACTTCTAAATGAATTGTAATCGAGACAATTACTCGTTTTAACGGAAGCACACAAAGGTAGTTCAGAATGAAAAAAAAAAACGAGCCTACTTCTGCACCTATTTCAATCAAATTAGGCGAGATCTAAAATCGTGCTTCCATTCCACAGTTGTTTTTGTTTTGTTTTTTTTCTGGGAGAGTTGGTACTTACTGAAAAATATGATATGCCACATGGCAAAACTTGAAGTAAGAGGCCGACATTCCGACTTCTTTCTGCCCCCTAATGCTCCCGTTCTAGTTAGTGTTACAGAAGCATGACCTCCTTTGGCTCCACAATGGCATACTTGAAATACAAGACGAATGAACTGAAGACAATGGGCACAATCCATGCCTTTAAGAAGGGATACAAAATAGGTAGATAAGAGGAGCTGAAGCAATTTCCGAAGGCCTTCAGTAGATGCTGAGAACAAGAAAACGCTTTCTATAGGCCTGAAATGACGTGCCTCTTGCCTGCAAGGAATACTCGCTCTACAAGTCTAGTTGTCACTGTTACATCCATGCTAACAAAAAAAGATGGCACTGCTGGAAGCACAGGGATGGTGTTGATTTTATCACAAAAATATTGCGACATGTAGTTCATTTTCTTGTGAGTTAGACATTCTTTAGGAGTTAATTCTAGCCCAAGTGTATTGTTTCAGTGTACATTGGCCGAAACCGAATTTCCCTCCTGAATACCAATGTAAGTGGGCCATTTAGAGGAATTTTGGCAATGCAAGCACACTAGCAAAAATTGTGTGACCAGGCCCAACCATATTTCCAGTAGCAAAAACCATTTTCCTTCAGTTTAACAATAAGGGGACATGGCTATCTTAGGGAAAGAAACAAATAGAAAAGAAATAAATAAGAAGGCACATGTAAAGGTATAAAATTGGTTGGGGACACATATGCAATGTAGCTGCAAATTCACAGGCAGAACCGATCTTGCTAAAGCTAATTCTAAAATTGCCTGAAAGGTAATAATGATAGTAATTAGTAGTGGCAAGTTAGTAAAAGTGTAAGCAATTACCTTTTATTACCACTTATAACAATTACCTTAGTAGCCATCGAGTGCTGATATATATATATACATCGCCATGACTGGTTCCTAATTTGTGGCGTCATAAAATTTGGCAGCATAGGTTGTGTGACAATTATAATATCTCGGGTATTACGTCCCAAAACCACATCCTAGTGGAGGGCTCCGGAAATTTCGACCATCCCCTGTTCTTTAACGGCACTGACATTGCATAGTACATGGACCTTCACCACTTCACCTGCATCGAGTGCGACCGCCACGGCCTGGACCGAACCTGCAACCTTAAGGTCGGCAGCCCAGCACCCTAGCCCCTGTTCCACCAAGGCAGACAGGTTGTGTGGCAAAACCCTGCAACCTTGCATTACAATGAGCATTTAACTTGTGTACGACAGTATAAATGAAAATCAAAAGTGAAGATTAGCTTTATTTTGTGTAATTCGTGTAAGACCAAATATATATTTTGCATAGCAATTATTTACCAAACTGCATGGAATAAACGGTGAACTATTAGCACCCTCATAGCTTCACGTGTATGCCTAACGATGTGGTTTTGTATTGCCTCCGAATTGTAGGCACTATAAAATGATATCAGGGTTTTCACGTGCAAAAACTAGAATGTGACTATGAGACATGCCGTAAATTTCAACCATTTGTTGTCCAGAAATTTCAACCATTTGTTGTTCTTTAACATGTACCGACATTGCACCGCAGACGGCCCTTTAGCATTTCACTTCCACTGAAATGTAACCACTGATCCAACAGAGCATTGGCCTCAGAACAGCACGAGCGAGAGAGAAAGAGAAATAACACTTATTTATACATCCGGCAGTTCCCGGCCTCGCAGGGCGCAGACGTTCTCTATCTTAAGATTACGGCTATTAGAGTCCGATAATCTCAGAGCCTAGACCTCGAAGATGTTGTGCTCCGACTAGGCGACAGTTACTCGGGTGCCTCCACACCTATTAGACGGGTCGTTGGCTCCTTTACTCCATTGCTTCTCCAAAGCCTCCTCAAGCCGCTGGATGGCCCTTAGCACGAGCAACATCTACGGTTCAGAACAGGCCACATCTGAGCATTGCAGTTTTCGTCCTTGTTTATCACCACGGCTGCGACAACTTGTGAAGATGTACTTTTGGGCTAGTTGGTGCATATTCGCAGTAAAACAGCGCCGGAGAAAACAACAGACCAGACAGTCAAAAGGATTGTCTGGTTTTTTGCTTCAGAAGGATCGCGCCTTGTGTACGTGCCCTTCTGATTATCCGTTCTTTTATTTTCTCCAGTGCTTTTTTACAGTGCTTACAGCTACTTTGGCCATCAAAGTGCCAAAAATAAAGTGAAATAGCCTGGACTGGGGCCTTTCATCCTGCGAAGTTATTCTTGGTTCATGGAATCATATCATACTGAGCAATCTTCGCTTTATTGAGTTTGTTTCTTTTGTTCGTACACTCAACATTTGAAAGTGCTTTCGACGGCCAAAGCAATGGCTACATCCACAGTGATCAACAAAAAAAGTGCGTCATTGGTCAAAATTTTTCTAGGTGGCGTAGCATTAGCAGCACACGCTCAGATGTGGCCTATTTACGACTGGATATTTCGCTCATGCAGTTAGTAGCCCGACGCTCCATTGTTGTAGACATGAGTTGACCAGTGTACATGGTACGAGATTAATTTTGACAATGCGTTGGCTTTGTAGTGTGCTTGAATTACGTGCACAGTCCCTTTTCCTATCAAGCTCAGCTGGGAATCAGTTTTACGGCCTCTCATTCGACAGCAATGTGCCACAATTTTGATCCAGGACAGTGGGTCATGGTCTATGTTAGCAATAGCACAACTGCTTCTTGTGAAAGGCTAACAAAAAAAAAAGTCGGCATAGATTAAGCACGCTCTGTGCCCCCAAAACGCTGCATTATGCATAGGTTGTACAGTTCACACAAGAAAAAGAATGCATGGCACATGTTAGAACATACAATTCACTAGAAACATAATACTGTGGTGAGAGTATTCAATACATAGGTACAAGCTGTTGGGCCGACGAACCAGAAGCATCACTCAGTCAATCAACACTGAACTTCCAGCAAAACAGTGGCCACACAGGCAGTGTAGGTCTTGCACACTGGGCACAAATGAGTGCGCTTGGGATACAGCAACACCGAAAAGTATCTGCAATGTTCTCAAACGATCCGGCATTCAGGTCTCGTGCTTCAAGTTGTGTGCCTCAAACGCAGTACCACTAGCGCATTACGGTGAAGTAGAAATGGCCGAGAAGATCGGCACAAGAGGACAGAGAGCCAACTTCCATCAGTTGGAAGTCAGCGCTCTGTCTGCTACCGTGGTGCGCTGTACCAGTTCAGGCAGTAACACGGTTCCTTTCGTAGCCACGAAAACCCAGCTAGCGCTGTTGAGGGCTTGGAAGAGGTCGCGTGTGCCACTGCACGAGATCTCTACTCTCAAGCAGGCAAGTCAACGAGTATCGAGTATGTTCGTTATTTCACAGAAGTCTCTCCTTCAGGTTTCGAACACGGTTTTACTGGCCGACCAGAAGTACGACGCTCTCGTGCGAAGACGGGTATCCCGTGACGGGGCATGTTGTGCGACCGCTCGACAGATGATTCCTGATGCAGTCGTAGCAGAAGACGTAGCCGCTCGTAGTGAGGACGGCGGCACGGTCGGAGATTTCGCTTAGGCATAGCGGGCAGTGGCCGCGTCGCGTAAAGGACTGCGGCGCCTGTCGTGTCTGCTCGTCGACTAGCGGCGGTGCGGGCACAGGCGGCTCGGCGACCAAACTGCCTTTCTTCTGTGAGTTCCACCAGTCAACGAAGTGCAACAGGAAGGCGGCCGTCGCTAGGGTCGCGGAGAAAGCGTCGGCGACTCCGCGCACAATGCGAACCGTCCTGCCGGCGTTGGGGTCCGGGGATGCCGGTACGCTCGGAGCGACTTCGAGGCGCACGGAGGACAGCGACAGCGCGGGCGAATGCACCGGCGACTTGCCGATCGCGTAAAACAGGGCGTACGACAGCGAGGCGGCTTCGCAGGCTAGCGAGAACGCCGGGTAAAGTCGACGCAGAGTGCCGATCCAACCTCTGCCAGGTAGTTCATCGTCCAAGACGAGCGCTTCTAATTTAGTGCGCAGCGTACGGAAGAAGCACGAGGGCAGCTAATGATCTCAGAATGTGACTTCGCTTGAGCGCCGCGCCGTCGGACGTGCCAGACGCTACACGGCGTAGGCCAGTAAAAGTGCTCCGAAAAGGAGCTCGCGTATCGGGCCAGGTGGTAAAACTGAACAGAGAGGTCGGCCAGCGTCACTAGCTCGTCGCGATGCTCCTTGAGCCACGACCTACGAGGTCGCTTGCCGCTGCGCAGGTCGGCGAAGTAAGATATCAGGTGCCTCAGCGCGTTTCTGAGCGCGCGAGCGAGGTTTTCCTGAGCGAGAACTTCGAATATCGACGGCTTTTGGGCCAGGTGAGTCGCCAAATGAGCTCCATACTCCGCCATATTTTTAATATTTGTTTCCTCTCGGCTTCAGTCGAGGCTTCGGTCGATTTCGTTTGGATTACCTTTCGCTTACATGGTCATCTCATAGATTAATATACATCCATCTCAAAGGCCCCACTTTTTGTGCACTGCGATGTCTGTAGTAGATAGCTGCAAAGTGCAAACTTGACGCTAGAATTATTTGTCCTGCACGTAATTTGTACTCTGCGTTTAGCCTGGAAACTAATTTAATACACGACCGCCATGTTAAAACCATGACCTACTACACTCCTGACCTGTTCAGATAGCGGGGTTCCTATGGGAGCGCGTGTCCCCGCTCTCGTTCAATCGCTCGCCGTAGGTGGCGCTACCTATAACCTGTTCGTCTGCTACTTACGGCTGTTTGGACGGCGCTAGAGTAAGAACGGCTGCATTCCGTGATGAACAGCCGGCATATATGTGACTATTTTTTCACTTAGATGACTGGTCAAGTAAGCTGTTCAGTGTGACGAAAAATTATTGCACACTGGTGGACAAATGCGAGAATCCGTAGACTTACATAGTGTAGGACAGCATATGTGATGTTGCGTCCATTTAATTGCAAAGAATTTGTGAATGACTTTTGAAATATTTGTTTCAAAATTATTTTTCATTAGTGCATAATAATTACGCAATATGAGTGCTCTGTTGGCCGAAATATGACCACGAACACTGAAGCTGACGTCAGCGAACAGGTGCTGACTAGCGCCACAGTGCTCGTAGGTGACGGCCCTAGCGGCAGAAGGTATGAACTAGAACGTGGGCGCTGGAAGAGGTGCTCTCTGGGCAGGTCAGGAGTGTAGTAGGTCATGGTTAAAACAAAACGAAACCGGCTGAGCCGTACGAGACGAATCCAGTTGCTGCTTTAGCATCTTGGCCGGTTCGCACATGGGGAATGTGGACGCACAGATGCCTAGAATTGTAATATTTCAAGCTACTCTCAATAGCTTCGTTTAAATGTTTTTAACGACCATGCTGCGCCGCGATGTATTGCGGCTTTACAAGCAGCTGCTGCGAACCGGGAGGACATGGGCCGCCGAAAACCCAGAGAAAACGCTGGAGGAACAGTTCTACATAATTTCCGAAACCAAGGACATCTTTAAGAAGAACAAGAATGTTAGTTGATTTGCGTTGTGTTTTAAAAGATTAACGCTTCTCTCTTTTTTTCTCGCCTCTCAGATACAAGATCCTCAGGCGATCAAGGAGTGCTTGAGAGAAGGGCAGTCTAGGTTAGACTTGGGTAAGTTGCATGTTGCGTCAGCGACCTGTACCTGTTCCTCACGCTTATATACCACTGAAAGTCTTTGGTTTGTTTCTCATATGCCGTAAATTCATTAAGCAACTTTCGGTGCTAGTTCCAAGTTTAGTAAGCTTTTTTACGTGTGAGGAGGTCGCGAAGCAAAACTATCGGTTACCCTCCTATTTGTGTGTTTAGCGAAGCAAGTTTCAATTGCATGAACGTATATAAAACCTTAAGGAATTGCCACCGGCGTGGAACAAATTATGGTAATAGTTAAAACATTGTGTAACGAATAATCGAACGACAATAATAATATGGAATGCAGTCACTGGCTATGACAATTAGTAGTAAAAAAATTGTCAAATTAAAAAAATATTTATGCTGCTATATTTTAACAGCACTATGTTGTACAGTTTGATGTAATACACAGCATAAATTTATGTGTGAGATATTGCATTTGTAGTACCAGAGGTTTAGGCAGAAACTTTTTTCGGAAGGGGGTGGGGGGGGGGGGGGGACGGGCAGGCAGATGTGTTCGTGTCAGTTTGAGCACTGTATGCCATGGCAAAAAAAAAAAAAAAAGATGGGCATGAACTAAGCCACTGGTGGTAACATGGAGTACAGATACGAGGGCAAGAAACGTGAAGGGCACGTCGTGTTAATGCTTCACTATTCACAATTATTTTCTTAATTGTATTATGGATGGCTTTTGTGTCTTTTTTATTACCAGTCAGGTTGCAAATCGGTTGAAAAGGAAGGGGAACAGTAGAGTGCAGACATGCCACGCTGTTCACGTTTTTTCTTTATTTCATTGCAATTTCGCACATGTCACAAATGCACACAAGCTTGAAAAGATAGTGATATCAGCAGAATAAAATTTAGAAAATAAAAATGATGTAGTAATTAGAAGAGGTGAGAAGAGTTGTTTCTGTTGCGTTTCCAGCATTGCACTACCACAACCCGTACCCCAGGCCCGTTAACCTGGCAGCGAGTGCATTGTCGCCGAGCCACGCCAAACATCTCAAGGCCCAACAAAAACTGTGGAAGGCATCAAGACCCATCTACATTCGATCCATCGATTCTGACAGCGCTCCACACGACAAGAAGTAGCTCTGTCGTGGTGCATCGCATAGATGGCAAGTCCGTAATTACGGCACTCTTTTTTTAATCCTTAATTTATTAAGCAAATAAAAACGTACACATTGAGAAATCGTACAAATGAAATACTGGAATCTACATTTAAAACACATCTTAGTGAATGTATGTGCCGACTCAAGTTTGATTCACTATGAAAATTGTTACTACGTGCAAACAAATAATGCAAAGGCACTGATGTATGAATGTTGTAGTATCTGTATTTGTCTATTCCGTGCTATTGTCATTATCTACCTTGCGAATACTTTCTTGTCCTTTTTTGTTAGCACCTTGTATATTAGCACTTAGGTGTCCTTTCTGCACATTTGAATCAATAAACACGTTCCTCCACGAAATACAATTTAAAAAGTTGTAAGATGTGGAATGAGGTTACTGCCAGCTTTCTTTTATTTATTTATTTATTTCCAATACTGCTAACCCCAATGATAGGGGCTCTAGCAAGGTGGTACAAAACATATAACAACGTTTCTTAACAAATACAACAAATTCAGACAATACAAAATTCAACTGACAATATCAACGTGAAATGTCATAATTTACATGCACACAAGCCTTTCGTAATACAAAATACATCAGGGTTACAATTGAAGGAGAGCCTGAAATGTATCACAGTCAACTACTGTTACTACGTCTTTATCGAGTTCATTCCATTCTGTTACAGTTCGGGGGAAAAAAGAATATTTAAAAACATTGTTCTTGCATTTAAATGGCACTAATGAGCATGGATGTCGTAGCCTTGTAGAATAACCGCTGGAAAAAGAAATGTAGTCACACGTTCTGCTCTGTAACTTACCCTTGACAATTTTAAACATGAACTTAAGGCGAGCGATTTTATTTCTAACTGCAATGCTTTTTAAGTCTGCTTGGCGAAGTAACCCTGTAATAGATGATGGACCGTAACTGTTAAAAATAAATCGTACAGCCTTACTCTGAACTCTATCCAACTTACGTGCATTCGTCTGCGTAAACGGGTCCCAAATAATATTAGCATATTCTAAAATTGGCAGGATTAATGCTTTGAAAGTGGCGAGCTTACAGATGGTAGATGCCCTCTTGAGAGACCTCCTTAAAAAATGAAGTTTAGACAATGCCTTATTAGAAATGGCTGTGATATGACTATCCCAGTGAATGTTATCAGTTATAATAAGACCTAGATATTTGAACTCATTGACACGATTTAATGATTTACGATCAACTGTATATGTATATAAAAGAGGATTTTTCTTGTTACTGATGGTCATTACAGCGCATTTGTCGTAATTCACAGCCATCTGCCACGTCCTGCACCAACGCATCACTTTATCTAATTCAAAATTCAGTGCATTTTGATCTGAAGTTGAATTTACCTCACTATACAAAACACAATCGTCGGCATATAGTCTTATTTTAACGCCACAATCATCCACCATGTCATTTATGAAAAAGAAGGAACAATAACGGTCCTAAGACTGATCCCTGGGGGACACCCGAATCTACAGGCAGCTTTTTTGAGAAATGTTGCCTATTGTGACTCTGAGGAGTCTCTCTTCTGTACAGTACTCGCGGATTGAAACTGGACAATTTGGGGCTTCGTAACGTACACACCTTCATTTCCACTGTATTCAGTTGGGTCATATCAGCATAATTTCAACTTGTACACGCAGATCTGAGACAACTCTATCCTTAGGAACCAGATTCGTTGAGTTATTACGTGGCTGTCAAGGTAAATTGCACAAATCAGTTGTTAAGCCAAAAAAATTTTACGTTGTATTTGAATCCGTGAGTACTCTGTACACTAGGAAGCATCCAGAAAATCCTGTGGCACTATTCTCTGTAAAGGTGTACATGCTTAAAAACTGGCTCGCTTTTGGAAGTATAAGTGCACTCTTAACAAGTGTTCCACATACGTATAAATAACTTAGAGTTGCTTCTGATTACAGAGGAATAAACATTACAAGGTGAAACTATGCTCCTTGTGGCGACCAGACAATGTCGCATTGCACAAGGGCCAAATCCTGCTGGCAGTGTCTTGCGGTAAAAAAGGGGAATTGCCGTCGTTTCAGTTTCCAAGGGAACCGGTCGCACGCATTGCTCACGTCCCGCCACATTCACGGAGTGGGAACGTGGATCGTATTCAGATGCGGTCAGGGGATAGCGTTGCCCTTTTTTTTTTTTTTGTAGTTGCGACCTTGCGCCGCCAGCTGAAATGTCTCCGTCAGAGCATATTATTTTTGTATTTTATGTGACGTCTCGATGCCTGCGGACTCCCGTTCTAACGGGACTTTCACCTCCTGAATATTTCTTCCCTCGTGTTTTTGGTGAAATCTTTTCAAAAATAAGATTATGCAGTAAAACATTTATAGGACGCTGCACAATAAACTGGTGCGAACAGTGGTGTGGACGACATGCGAGTGCAGCGACGCTAAGCCGTTCATACTCGCCTCTGAGGAATTGATCTAAGAAAAGCAGTCTGAGAAAAGTAAGCATGCTGGAAAGTAGTTTACAGCGAATACTAGTCATTTTAGAAATGCTTGAAGGGAGACTAAAGAGCAAAACACGATTTTTCACCTTTCAGTAGAGTACGATTTTACAATCCCAAGAACATTGCTCTTATCGCGACATGACGCTTCGTAAGGAAGAAAACGTGCTAAAAGAAAATGCGAGTAGGTAACGCCATCGTGAGATTTCCGTGCCAAACATCATGATGTAGTAAATTTTGAAGCAGTCTATTGGGCCTCACATAGCTTTTACTCGATAAAAATTAAGTACATTGTTATCTGTGGGTACCATAGACCTAGCATACGAAGTTTCGGTAAATTTCATCCAGCCATTGTCACGAAGACACGAAAAATACATTTTGAAATTTGTTACGTGGCGTGGAGATTACGACACGAAATTTAAAGATTATACTTCAACCTTGATTTCCGCCGCTAATAACGAACGTATGGTATTATAGTTGTCAGAGTGTGGTCTATCAATCTAAAACAACTCATCATTTCTCTTTGGTGTCCCTTTGAAGATAAACATCACAAAGGTGGACGGATTGAGCAAGTTAGTATTATGCAGTCTTGTGCTATGGCCAGCTCTTGTCGAGTCAATAAGAAAAACACAAACTGTGGTATTCTGTTTTTTTCTTTTTCTGATGCTTCATTTACAGTATTTGTTCCACCTGAAATGTGCAAAAATCAAGCTGACATTACGAACAGCTCTTTCTGCGAGACTGGAAGGGGTCACAATCCAGATGGCGCAGAGCAGCGAAGGAGTGGCGGCAGTGCTAACAACATATTTGTGTACAATTCTGTGTTGTTATGGGCTTTGACATCATTTTCTGACTCGGTTTGTTTCTTCATTTGTTTGTATCGACAGATTTCTGAAGCATAGTTTACTGTACCATTTAGATATATCTTGTATACAGATATGGCTCTGTGGTAAAACTGAAAACATTTTATTTTGACAGGAAGTAAATTTTCACTTGGTGACCCTAAAGCCCCTAGATTTTTTTCCTTTTACTTAATTACTGACGACTGCCCCCTCCTTTCCCAGTCCTTGCTCATGTGCAGCCGGTGTCTGCCGGCATTTTCTTCCCAACATAGAAGATTCACAAAATCAAGCCCCGAACGTCTAAACACTTTAGCCATGCATCTTTCAGCGGGCGATATGCTAATGCAAAGTGTCATTTTCCTCCTGCCAATCCCGTCATTGGGGAGCGGACAATGCATTACACCAGCTGTGAGAAGAGTGTTAGGAAGAACATGGCTACCGAAAGCAGGCGTTGGCCAATGAGGTTTGTCAAGTGGTTACCAGTACAAAAAGAGAAAAGGGGACTTGAGTGCACCTACCGACTTTAACATTATTGCGACGTCCAGCTACACTGTCAGTTCTGGCGACTTTACACACCAGGATGTAGTTGTGATGACAGTCAGGCACAAAAACATTCAAAATGGCCACTTGAGGGTGTCACAAACTAAAGTTATACCAAGAGAGAAAAGCTTTTAAACTCAGCCATTTCACAACATCCACAACTGGCAGAACTCTATGCAATACTCTGTGCTTTACGCTTCATATGTTTACAAGCCAGGTCCACTTCGATGGGTAGTTATCACTGACTCACAGTCCTCATTAGTTTCTTTAAAAGAATCAGCTTGGAAACAAAGCTAGTGAGCTCGCATATGAAATACAGAGGACGTACGCTATAGCAAAAGATTTAAGCCACACCATAATGTTTCCGTGGGTGCCAAGCCACTGTGGAATCACAGGAAACGACATAGCTGATCACACTGCACGTGCAGCACACCAAGAAAATAATATATCACTGCTACCTCTATCGATGAGCGATGCACGTTGTCTAATAAATAAGATCAGCTGTCAACTGTCTAAGGAAACCTGGTTCGAAAAATGGTGTGCAAAACTCTCTGTTGTATAACATTGTTCCCGGTATAGAATTGAATATTCCGTTAAAGGTTAGCCTATCGGTAGAAACAGTCATCCATAGGCTTCGACTTGGTACAACCTACACAAAGGCTTTCCTGTATAGAATACGGAAAGCTGGCAGTCCTACCTGTTCATGTGGAGAAGCTCAAGAAGACGTGGAGCATATTCTTCTGCACTTGTAAAAATCATGACTTACCTCGGAAGAACCTTTTTCAAAAACTCAATTCTTCGGATAAGCGACCTCCATCAATAGCAAACATCTTGGGTCCATGGCCAAAAGGAAAGCTACAAGCCACTGCAGCACGTGCAGTCGTTCACTTTCTGGAGGAATGAGAAATAGCTCAAAAGTACTAAACAAAAAACAAATGTTAACCGTGGTATGTTTCAAAACAGTATTTTCGTGTTTCACTATGATATTTTTGGGAAAACCTTTCTGAAAACATGTCAGTATATAAGCGACAAGATCACCTTAGACGTTTTATTGAACTTTCACGTTTTTGTCTGAACACTTAAATTGGCATGATTACTTGTGTGTTGTTTTTTTTACACAGTCTGATGCGGACACAGTTCTACGCCGTGTGGACTAATTTCTGTGTGGTGTGGACACTCAGTGTGGAAAAACGTGAACTCATTGTGTAAGTGTTGTGCTATGTACATATGTATAGCCTTGTGTTTCCTACAAAGTGTGCGATGTTGACTTTTGTGCAAGAGAAGAGGAGTAGCCGGCGCCACGCATTGGCACCAACCTCTCCTTACATACTTTTAATTAAAAAAAAAGTTTTAGAGCGAAAAAGCGGTGAAAACGCTGCAATGTCTTGTGCAAGCACATCACACAAAGCTCACTCCATGTCGTGGAATCGGGGTACAGTAGCAACAAAAACCAGCTTTTAAAAGCATGCTCTATTTACTTTTTTGGGATGTGCATGCACTTACTAGTACACCTTCTAGGCTCTCTCCAAATTGGCCTTTCGTTTGACATTAGAAAAAATTAATTTTCAGGTCACTACCCCTTGATGATCAGTTACTATAAAGAGATGAAATAAATAAATATTTTTGTGTCATTACCCCTTGAAGACCACCGGTTTCCGTGTAAAGAAAGATGGGCTAGATAACTTGAAATTTTCTTATACATTTTACATTTAATGATAACCATTGAGAGAGGATGAAGTCGTTTATTACACAGAGTTAAAGAGATCTCTAAGAAGTAAGGTCAGCATACTAAATGGGCCCAAAATATGGTAAACAAAGCACAGTAACCCTTTCCCACAAGGAATGTTTACTACAGGTAAAGATTTACTTCTTTTGGAACCTGGTAAAGAGAGGCACACGGGCAGAATAACAGGAATATATACGTTTTTATTTCACATTCACTGTTACAGCTTTCCTGGACACATTGTGCGTGTGGCTGAAAGGCCAGCACCAAATAGAAGGATCAAAAGTTGGGTCCAAAACGTGGCCCACCAACGGCTCAAGCTGTTTGCCATTATGTACATTAAGAACAGGGATGTGGAGTAGGCTGTTAACTTGTATGGATTTTTTTCTACAGCTTAACAAAGAAACACATGCAACAGAAAAGTTTTTCCAACCTATGCTGGAAACGAGAAGCAATAGGGCTGTCACTGTTTTGCTTGTTAAACGATTTCTCCAATATCCATTGTACACAAAATAACTATGATGAATACTACATGGAAACCACTACTGACGCAAAAGCGTTACAGTCATGTTAGTTTAGCATCAACCAAACAGTTTCTGAAATAGGAATTGAGAAAACGAATCTGCACTGCATTTGTCTTTAAGTAGCGAAAATAAGAAGGTGTAGTATTATGCAGGCATGTTCATTTTTATAGAAAGTAATATATACAATATAAGGATAGCTTATCTTTAAAAAAAATGGACATTTCATCCGTTTGTGCTTTCCCAAAGTAATGTCATGGTCATACTCATTTTAAACTTAAAAAAAAAAAAAGAGTGATTTTCTATGGCACTTCGATTATGTGCATTGCTTTGTGGACATTTCAGTTCGTTATGTGGTGTTGATCAAATTATTTAAGTATGAGTTAACAGTTTTACCTCTGATTTTGCATGAAAAAAACTCATTTCAAATATTAGACATTAGAACTAACAAAACGTACTGTTCGCGCTAAGTACTGCTGTGAGATGCCACTAATTTTTTGGCAATATGTTTAGAATTTCTAGATGTTCGTATTGCTCGAATAGCGCGTAATTCTGTGCATTATTTTTCAAAACCCCAGGAGTTTGGCATAAAGATACCTGAAAATTTGCTCAACACATGCTGTATTATTATCTGTCTTAGACATTAAATGCAGAAAACAATCATTCTAATAACTGACAAAGCACGCACTGTACGATGTAGTTCGCAGACCAACGAAAATTTGCTTGCAAATAACTTGGAAAAAAAAATACATTCAAAGCAACATTCATACCGTCTTCGCATTTAAGGTGCACAGCACCCAGCGTTAAGGTAAAGTTTTTAAAAGGTAAAAAATAACTGTGAAACATAACCTGAGTGAGAGTTATAGTACGACATTTATATACGAGTCACGACTCGACAAGGCAAGCGAAGGCTGGCTTCGAAAACAACTAAGCTCTACAACAAGTTGGCTTTTCTTTGTATAATTGGTCGGGAGTAGTGTTTGTGATCAGTGACCAAAACTTTTCATAGAAGGTTATCTAACTTATGAAGCTGCCACCTGTTCTGGCTACATTCGTAGAAATCACTACAACTATCGGGTCACAAAATATGTTTCGTCCACATCTCTGGTGCATAGCATTCAGGCCGTGCTTAATACAACTGCTCAATATACTGAGACGACGGATATGCCTCTCCACGTACAGTAGACATTATCCATTTCAGTTACTACAGACAAGAACACCAGTGAAATGGCACTGCACCTTTCGAAACAGCGGCAATAGTACGAGTCATCGTACGCCAACAATAGATTGTTTGACATGTAAACCGCCAATACACCAAACAGCTTTCGCAGCTCTTGATTGACTCGAGGCATGACTTCTATCATCAATATATCTAGATGACAAAACCTTGTACAGAGGCTTTAAGGAGAAGTAAATTGACATCTATGTGTGCGCTGGATGTGGATGCATGTTGATTCTCTCTGTACCACTAAAGCCGTATTGTTTTCTTTCCCATTTTTAAAATCTCTCAAAACACCGAGTTCTCCAGGAACTTTTTGGGTTGACAGTAGAGGTGATGGCTAGGGAGTCGTTCTCATGTCACGCAACTCCCATAGTCACGTGATCTGGGCACACTGCAGCCGGAACACAAGATCGATTCGTAGAAGGTAACAGGCCTGAAGAGAAATTTTGATTCGAAAGCCCACGTGGTTCTGTTGTGTCGGGAAAATGTTTCTGGCAGCGAGAGCTTCAGGGTGTGGACCGGACTAGGCTGTCTTTGCCCTGGAAAAAAAAAAAAACAACGAATTATTATTTCTATTATTGCTTTCATGTATCAAGCACTGTTTGTAACATCCTTTACTGAGGCCGCTAAGCAGTCATCACCTCACGATTTCAATTCATTTTGCAAATTTTCAAAAATATCGAATAGTGAATCAAATAGCCTTCTATTAGATAAGCTCGTATCGAATAAAATATGTTAAAAATACAGTATACTTTTAGAATTATTTTCAAGTAAGCACTGGTGAAAAAAAACCTCACAGGGGACAAATGGTTGGAACTGAGAAAAGTAACACTGGTCATTTTAATGATCGAGATGCATGCAACCCAATGTTTTAGGCGGCTATTGACACTATATTGATCACAGGATGAAGGTGTTCTTGCTTGAAACTCCAGTGCTGCCACAGTGACACAGTCGTAAATTCACTGTATTGATCATTACTCTCATGATGACGTTTACCCGAGAATATTGTTTAATATTTATAGTAAGTCTTATTCAAAAATTGTCGTAAAAGTTCTACCTTGAATACTGCAAGTACTGCTGTATTTTAACCAGCAATTACAAAATATTTTTAGGACTGTAGTCGCTGCTTCATAACAGCTTGCCTCATTTTACGTAATCAGGGTATTCTTTGTCAGTTAAAAGTAATCATAATGTCCTTTCGTTATGTTTCGAGTGAAATGTTCTGGAATTCTCGGGCTGCATTTCCAACCATTCTAAGGCTGCTTTGAAATTGGTTGCCTTACTATTCAAAAAGTATCCGGTTTATATTCATTTTGGTTCTAAAGTTAACTACTCACAAATCACTAACTGATGAAGTATGATGTATTTAAAAGCTACAGAGAGAAATGAATATTAGTGTCCCATTTGACATTCTTCGGTATTGTGCAATAAGTTAACAAACACTGCTGACTAGGTGGTCAAAACTGACAATCACGTGATGATCACAACTGATTTAATTATTCAGCATGTCAAACTAACAGGTTGAACTCACTCAATAGGTCAGCAATATTACTTGTCTTACTCTAACAGGTCACCAAACTTAATGCACACTTAGTTCTCATGAGTTCAAAGCGAAAAAAAAAAAAGAAATATAGCAATTATATTGAACTAAAAAAAAAGTTTCACTGAAAAGCTGTTTACAGCAGGAAAATGCGGCAATATTTTGCATCTGCATTTTTTTTTCTGCTTTGTTGTGAATGAGCCATCTTGCGGCACCTTGAAGCTGTCTTGCAAACAGGATTAGCTCTTCCTAACATTTTATTCAGCATTTGTGAAATCATGGGATAGATCATTATTCGTTCGAACTTGCGGTGAAAAATTAGGAGCATTAGGAAGTATGGATGATACCAGCGAGCAGGACAAAAAGCAAACTAACATGCCTCTGAGTGCAAACACAGTAAAAGCTCATTAATTCGACTCCCCTTCATTGGGAAAATCCGACAATTCGAACACGTTCTAAAATCCCGGCCAGCATATGCAGTGTTCAGTGGCATCGAACTCTTATCAACGCAATAGCGTTAAAGTAAACCCGCCGCCGGCCCCATTGGTTGTGAGCAAAAAACAGTCTGTGCGTCTGTGACCGAAAAATCAAGTTACCGAGATAGTTGCGGGAGGCCGTCACTTGTCCACGCGAGCGTGCGTGATCGCACTGAAAAAGCCGTGCATTCGAAGGAAAAAAAAAGGTCATGAGGCGCGGTAGTTTCTTTGCCCTACCACCCCTCCCTGCTTAGCTTCCAGCGCCTTCGTCGGGACGAGAGAAGAGATAATGCAATTGCAGCATGCGACAAACCTTTTCAACTCTACTCGCACTGGACAGAGTCTTAAAATTTTTGTGCCGTTGAATTCATGAGGCAATAAGCTTTTCTAGTGAATTCATTTCATGGATACTTGAAAAAGTGTTTCAGGGCCACTTCAATGCATTTCGTTCGACAGGTGTCACGACGACAGGTGTCACGCCCATTTGACGATGCTAGCATGCGCTGGTCCAATCTACTGTGTGTAACAAAACAAAATAATAAGTATGCACTTAGCGGTTGGAGGGAGCACTAAGGACCAGGATTTCGCTATCGCGCTCAACTCTAAAGCAAAGCTTAAGGGTCCCCCAATTTTTCAATTCAACCGTACCTGGCCGCAAGCCAGTTAGTTCGGGCGACTTTCGGTGCACGAAATGCAGAAATGTGTGACCCAAAGAAGCGAAAGCAGCATTCAGGGACAACCGAACAAAGGCGACTCTGTCTGCGTCGCGATCATCGTCAGTGCGAATGTTGTGATAATGACGGCAATGGTGTTTCGTGTCAGTTAAGACAGGGAAGTCTTGATCTGTGACCACTATATCAACAATGTCGCCAGTGGGTAAAATTTCGTCGTCTACACCGTTCTTGTGGATACTAAGCACAGGATTTTAAACAAGAAAGTGCATAGATGTGACAGACATTTCTTTCACTCAAGTGTCAAGCGAACATGCGAACAAAAACCAACATTTCAGGGCTCTCTTTTCGTCCCTGTATTGGCATTGCGCTTTCTTCATCTAGTACAGATTAAACACAAGCACACTAGCTCACTGAATATGCTTTCACATCACTGTCTATACTTCTACTGGAACAACAACCTATTTTATGTTTGTGCGAATAGAAAATTTTAGGTTCGAAGCGAGTAATGATTTGATCAAATAATTTCGAATCGAAATTCGAATAGTGTATATATATATATTGCACGTTATAAAATAATTGGCATATTTGTCATGACCTAACTAACCAACACAACATTTTTTAAAATTGAAGTAAGGCATGCGCAAATGCCATATATATATTTTTTTTTCATCAAAGAAAACAGATAGTAGCAGGATTTGACTTTGGGTAGAAGGCAAGTGATATAAAAAAATCTTTTTTTTTTAAATTTTGCTAAACTTGAAGCATATAGTTCGGTATAACATGCTTTTAAACTTGGAAAATGAATCGATGTGAGCATAATATCCTCGTTTAACTTTGAAATGTGGCTTCGTGGCAGTGTGCATTTCTCCTGGATGTATGTTTTCACTGCTTAGCACTGCTTTACTGTAGTGAAACTATTTTTACAAAAATAAAAATCACATGCAAACACCTGGATAGATGTTTTCATGGTTTAGCATCGCTCAATTGCAGCGAAACAACCTTTACGAGGCGTCGCATGCGGATTAATATGCACCGATTCGACGCATGTTCGAATACTGCATTATTCGTTCAAATGTTCGCACAAACCTAAAATGTGTATGAAAAAACTCACCTCTGCATGCCGAGCAAGTATTCAGCCACACCCAGGAAGTAAACGGTCTGGGCTATACCAAACAGGGGCGCGATGACAATGACACGGCAACCGGCTCCCTTGAAGAAAGCGCGCACACCTTCCTCTCGAAGAATGCGGCTGCAGGGGCAGACAGAGCGCGCCACGAGTTACTTCTTAAACAGGCTGCATAAGGAGGAGTTCTAGTGGGAGTAAATTGTGCAAGGAAGGGAAGAAAGGCCCTAGAAGGAGGATGTGAAGATATAAGGAACTTGTCGCATCATTTCACTTTTCAATTTTCAAATTGCTAGTTGTGCATCATTTCACTTTTCAATTTCCGCACTGCATTAGGACAAAAATGCAAGGACAAAGAGGAACGACCCAAGGACAAGTGATTGTCACTGTGTTGCTTCTCAGTGTCTTTGAGCCAATACTGTTGAGATAATTTATTTCAACTAGGCAAACTAACAATAATGCTTGATTGTGTTGTCACACGTCAAGAGCTAGATGAGCTATTCATGGACTGCACACCTAATGGGCACGTTAATTTAGGAGAAGCACATTCAGTTATTCCAGAAAGCAGCAAGCCATGATGGCATTGTGCTATCGACCACAGCAACAATGCACGCTATGAGTGCTAGACAAAAGTGAACAAAACGTACAGTAACAGAGAGCTTAAATCTTGACAAGTCAGTCCTTGCGTATATGAGTGTGTCCCGGATGCTTGCACACGCTGCAGGGAATGTGCACCTACCTGCACTGGCGCGCTAACTGGGTGTCTGCACTAAACCTGATTTGAGGGCTAACGTGATAACAGAATTAGTTAAAGCACAGCCTCCGAGATTTGCGTGGCCAAAAGTGGATCTCGGGAGGCTGCGTTCATTACGCTGAAGCTCATTCCTTCTCTCTCATTCGTGTCGAGAGTTGTGAAAGCCCCATAATGTCAAAATGACATTGTGAAAGGAGAACGGAAAACAAGGTACACTGCTTCCCGTGCTACAGCCAATCGGTGGCGGCCAAAATGTACAGTCCACTAGATGGACAAATTGAGCACAGCTTTCCAGCCGATGTGTGTGACCCTGCAGTGCAAGACCAAAAGCACTCACATAAATGCATCGGGAATGCCTGTATAAGAGGCTTCCCCGGGTGCACGGCTGAGCAGTTGGAGGCGTGTCTTGACGACATCACAGGGATTGACGAGGAAGGCGGCTGCCGAGCCGGCTCCGCAGCCTGCCAAGAACGATGCCCAGAAAACAGATGTGCCGTCGGACCTCCTGGGCCCGAGGGAGTTGAGGTGCGCGAACAGCGGGAAGTAGATAACGGAGAAGGTGACGTCACGCAACATGGTGGCCCCCGTTCCGCGGTAGAGACCGACCAGGCCTCGCTCGCGGACCAGTTGCAAGGCCACCGCTCGTGCCGACAGGCGCTTGCTGGCTTCGCCACCTGACGAGAGAAACCGGAACCTCGTTTCGCGCTGTGCTACTGCATCCAAAAATTGTTATAACAAACTCTTATATGCCGCGAAAATAATTTGCTATAGCTAAAAATTCGTTATAACTGTACATTCCTAGCACTGTACTTATGAGAAACTACTTTTCACTTTGTTGTAATCAATAATTTGTTGTGTCAGGGTTCGTTATGACGAGGTTTGAGTGTATTTGACAGCAGTGAACGAAGAGCAACGAGCGTACTTGCAACGCAAGCTGGTTTCCAATCGTACTGTAGATAGCTCAGACTGTGAAATTAATGCCCATGTCATAAAATCCATACTGTGTTAATATAGCCCTGTAACAATACGTATAATGGGGTTCCATGTGCAAAATCTACAATTTTAAATGAGGCATGTTATGGGGGTAGCAGATTGGTTTAGCTGGTTTTTCACGGCATACTAATTGGTTTACCATGAAATAATTTGGTAGGTCTAAGGAGACAAGAACAAGCAGTAGTGGTACTTTGCTCAATGTTTTCTGCCTTTCTTCACTATATATAACCTGTTTCAAGCAATAAATACAATTCATATTTTTAATCTTATTTTTTTTTCCGGCCTTGCACTCCTGTTTTATGTTGCACCACTAGTACAATGATAAAGGAGTGCAAATTAATTTTGAACACCTAGGTTGCCCAACATTCAACTGATTATAAGGGTGCGAGCTTCCTTGCTCTCTGCAGCAACTTCTTCTCTCCTCAGTGAAATCTGGCCACCGCAGCTGGAATCGAACCCGCAACCTCGACAATGCACCAACCTGTCCGGCCAGCATCCTGCAGCTGAATTTTGAGCAGTTCCATGGGCGTCGTGACGATGATCTGGCAGAAGCCCGCTCCTCCACCAGCAAGCATCTCTTGTGTCAAGCTCAGTTTACTGCAAGTAGCGACACGTTGCAACGTTAGATTGTCAATGCGAAGGCAAAGATACACAGCTTGCATAACTTGTTCGTCGGTTTTTCAGTGTTTTGCCCGATCAGAATGTGCCAATTGTGGCCACACTGCGGACCTTTTATCTTTGACTACACTGGAATGTAATATGGCTGAAAATTGGCTCTGGTAAATGCCTTATTTCACGCAACTGTTTTAGACATCAAATTAAATTCATCTCAACATGAGGCCCATGAGTGCACTTGCCTTAATTTCTTTCGATTTTTTTTTTCAACTGTGACATTTTCACCCATATTTATCATCATTTAACTTACCTTTTCTATTTTTCAGTTGCACAACATAATTGCTTTTTATTTTGATTCGTTTAGCTTTTTTTGTGCTTTTGTACAGTTATATTCACTATATTCCTACTCTTCAAGGGAGTATGACTGTGGAAAGAGCTTAGTTGTGTGCAGTATTAACTACACGCACGTAAAGAGTACAAGCTAGTTATCAGCAAAAAAAAAAACACCTTTCATACTTATTGTAATATCTGCCTTCATCACACGGTGGTTCCACATTTTCAAGTACTCTAGGTGCTACAAATGATTTCTTCAGAAACTCGCAAGATGGCAGAAGGGTTAAGAAAGGGAAAGAAGACAACTACCTGTTTGAATTACGAAGTAACGAGGGAATCCGAACAATTTTTTTTTTTTGCTTCGTGCTGCAAAGGGAATGGGCCGGTTGTCTTCTTTCCATTTCTTACTTTAAGGGTGCAAAAAGTGAAGTACACGTACCCACTTGAAGATGAAAGACCATGGCGAAACCAATCATTGGCAGCAAGCTTAATTGCTTTCTCGGGCGTTATCAACAAGATGTTTACTGCTGAACCTATGCAGTCAATGAAAACAAACGGCTGTGAATCACTTTCAGATATTGTACACACAATGCTAAAATATATATTCCTTTACGACCTAATTTTCATATTTAGAACCGCTGATTACGGTGCACTACTTCATTGACAAAAACACAAAAAAACACACATACAAGGCAACAACAATATTTTTCATATTTTTCGCAGCAGCGTGCTGTGATCAGTAGCCATGTAGAGCGAACTAGCCACAATCTCAGCTTCTTTATCACACTCGAAACATTACGTAATCCACTGGCATCTTGACTCAGCTAGCAAACAGAAAAATGCACTCTGAAACCCAGGGGAGTTGATTGCCAGTCAATCACAAACGTGCCTGCCGCGGTGGTCTAGTGGCTAAGGTACTTGGCTGCTGACCCGCAGGTCGTGGGATCGAATCCCGGCTGCGGCCGCTGCATTTCCGATGGAAGTGGAAATGTTGTAGGCCCGTGTGCTCAGATTTGGGTGCACGTTAAAGAACCCCAGGAGGTCGAAATTTCCAAATCCCTCCACTACGGCGCCTCTCATAATCATATGGTGGTTTTGGGGCGTTACACCCCACATATAAATTATCAATCACAAACGTGGTCATTCTCATTCACAAATAGGGTGCACCAGTATTTTCAAAGACTGAACCATGGGGCATAGCAAAGCAATACGCCTTGATGACACACTGCAACATCTGTGATGTGGAGGTCATACGTTACAATGTTTCCTGTCCAAGACAGCTGTGGAGCCTCAGAATGAAGAGTGTTAAACCTACAATTTCATTTTTAAACACTTTTTGTACGATATAGAGAGCTTTGTATACAGTAGTGGATTCAGTGGGGTGTAGGAGGCTGGGGGGTATGGTGTAGGGGTAGTCACACCACTCCTTAGTGCCCCCCACCCCCAATCCTTAATTCATATCATCCGCATTCTTTATCAGGTTGCCTGACAGACAGGTGATAGAAGAAATTAGTTTGATCATTGTTCGAAGATGAATGGTATATACGTTATGATGGATGTCATATGATCACAGTAACTCCATAAAACAAGAGCCTGCCCCTCTTCCCCCCCCCCCCCCCCCCCTTAATTTACCTCAAGCAACTGCACCCCTTGAAATGAGTGGCCAGATGCACCACGGCCAAATAGAAAATCACAAGAATTTTGAAAACAGACTGGGTGTCCATAAGTAGAGTTACCCAATTTTATCCTTTTACTGGATCCTCAGTATAACGATGTTTAAGAAGCACTGAACCGTGCTGGTATAAGCAATCAACCACACTTATCATTTTACAAAAAGGAAAAATGCTCCAAGTACTCTTATCGTTAAGTGAAACTCAAACAGCGGAGCGCGTGGCCCAAGCATTAGCAACACTTTAGTGCGCACTGTCCAGTAATCACCAATGACAAGCATCCAGTTTGGTCACACAGCATGATTGCAAGCATGAATTTGGCAAACTGAATCAGCAGCATACCTATCTCCAATAATGAGGGTGTGAACTGCAGTTCTGCACACGTTTTATTCGGCGCTAGTAGTGCACACATGGCTTTGGCAAAGTTTGCTACAATATTCATCGTCAACTGCAGCATTTTAGCTTGCTTTCCTGTCAATTCCTTTCAAATATCAGAACTATAATAGAAGTAAAAAAAAACATTTCACAAAGGAGGATAGCATGGCACTGCCAAACTAGTTGTGCGTGTCTGTCAATGGTAGTGACGACTGGACGGTGCGCAATATAGCGTTTCTAATGCTTGAGCCTTGTACTCCACTGTTCCAAGTTTCATTCAACTGCCTATATTACACAACACCAACGCCAATTCACGCGATGTCGTGCTCTCACCTCTGTACATGCCAAAAAAGCCTTCGGCTGCATAGGATTTCCGAAAGCAGTCGAGCCTATGGGGGTAAGAAAAAACATGCTTCCACGTCAGGAGCCCGTTTAATAATGTGGCTAGCATGCAGCGGCTAGTTAAGTCCAGCTGGGTACCCACATGGAGCGATACATGCGCTCTCCGTTTGGCCCTATCTGTTGGTTTTGAAGTCTCGTCTTGACCAAGTCGATGGGGAAGACGCACGTGACTCCGATGATGCCCGCAATCCCGCCATTTACTATTTTTGGTAAAAGTCTGCAAATGGGAAAGAGCATCAACAGGCATCGTTTTGTTGACAAGAATACACAGGCAAGCGCTTACTCTCAGCTGTGAGGTTTATTCAAAGGCCACAGCACACATAAGCAAAGGGTTAATGTTCAGGCGGGTTGGCGTTTCCTGACTGCAGCACATATTAGCACGACACATGCAAGGCACAAACTATGACATGTAGTGGCGCTTAGGTCTCTTAATGTGGATAGTGGTTCTTCTTATCTGTGTTGTGTTGATACATGCTGTCGCTATACATATAGCGAATTGTCACGCAGTACATTAAAAAAAAGACACATGGAAAAGATTGAAATAAATAAATCAACCTCAATATTAGATGGGATGAAAGCTGAAAGCAAAATGTTCCTTATTATCCAATTATGTGCAATGGAAACATGGTTAAAGTCATTCTATTTTTTCTCTATTTTATGACATATTATGATTCTTCTTCTTTTTACCAGGAGAAAAGCCCTGCACTTGTAGTTTGGAATATTTGCATGTGAGATAAGAACATGTGAATTTGCTCTTACACTACTTCACTGTCACACAAGTCAGGTTTGTAGACTAGATGTCCTTCGATTCTAATATTCAGAAAGAAGTGGGATATAGAGAAAGCAAGTACATTACAAAAGCAGCTCTTCCGAATTATCATACAGCTAAAAAAATATATCCGTATCGCTCAGTGCTTTAGTGATCATAAAGTCCGATCAGTTATCGAACTTCTCAGCAGTAAGTGGCTTCGTTCTGCAGCTTGTGCGAAGGAGCTAATCGCGATAAAAAAAAATTTTTTCTGGACCAGGCCCGATCATGATCAATCATGACATCAGTGTGACGAGTTAGGAGAGGTTAATTGACAGCTCGTTTCTGCTGTTAGACACAATCTAGTGATACCGACAGATGATAAAACTGAAGATGGAATAGAGGACGTGTATGTCTAAAACTGTAGTACACTATGGCACAGTAGTAAGTATGGCAAAACAGTGTTTTACAGTCGCTGTCATGGCTACAAACGGTACTCGCTAGGGATCCCAGGTTTACATGCACTGGAGACCTAACAGAACAGAAGGTTTATTGTGCTAAATGAAGAAGAATACATGTGCATGATATGACCATGCACATGTATAAACCATAAAGTAGATGGGAAAACAAACGCTGCTCTAGCAAGACTGGTAGAGTATCAGATGCATTACCCGTAGTTTGTAGGTTTAGTATGTGTGGCAAGCTGATTTTAAATCACATCGATTCCTATTTATTTATGTCACAATTACTATACCACAGTTGAGCCACACAAATTATGTGCCCTATACTTTCCTTAGCTTCACTGATTAGGCTGCCTCTAAGAAAAAAAACGAACCTTCAACCAATTCCACCTGCTTCGTATATTCATAGCGAGGGCCTCGTTACGGCAGACTTGACGCCTTCGGGTAGTAATTGGACAACTTCCCGCTTGTAATGAGATCACGTGCTGCACAATGCCAGCTGGCAACAAAATCCGCTCACACTGTCACAGCTGCTAGTGGGCTTTCCAATTATGTCTTAATTATTGTACTACAGTAATGTCCACATACTTTACATCGCTTCATTATCTGTTGATTTCATTGGACCGGTGGGCCAAGTGCAACAACGGTATTAGTACTACTTTTATAAGTTCCATTGCATGTCACTAATATGGTAAGGCATTGGCAGATTTGCCAAGCCTGATACAACTACCAGTCGATTCCAACCAATCAGAATGCACTATGCATTCTGTTGAGCGTTTACTTGTTATCACTGCAACTTCTAGCGGGATAAGTTCATATTGCATGTTAAGTTCAACGATCCCTGCGCTGCGTTTCACAGTCAAAGGAAGAGTTATGACTAAATAGTGACAGCGAAAAAGTTAATTGTCGCTTTCCGTCTTTCCGAGGCAATGCGCGCGCATATTAATCATGTGATTTTATGCAAGACGCGCCAAAGTCAGCTAATGATTACAACAAATTTTATTCAAGGTTATTCTGGGCCGCCTTCGCGCAATTATACATGTTACGCGAGAGATTGCGCGATACGTAGATGCGAGAACTTCGCGCCAATCGGCTCATCGCGCATTTCCAGTTAAAAAAAAAAAAAATGCCCGCACAGTATCGACTATTCTTCGTTGTCTAGCGAAGGGGGTCAGATCTGTCGATCTCCAACTTTCTCTTCTGCACAATCTCGGAGCGCCTCCGGTTATCAGCGCAGTAACAGCCCCCACTCCATTGATAGGCCGCGAAGGTCGTGACATCCGTCGTCTAGCGCCCGCGAGTGAACTGCTGGGGCGCTAAAGAGCATTTTCACGCGGACAGAAGCGACGCCGGTAAAGGGTAGAACGTCAATAGCCGGCCAATTGCCAACGCAAGCAGCTGGTTAACGTGATCGCCGGCTGCCTAGCCGATGCAGCGCAACTTGTTCCCCGAGCGGCGCTACACAGCAAGCACATCACGCGCGGACGCTTAATTTGACTCACGGAAATCGTCCCTTGGCTTGCGTAGTCATAGTGCCACCAGCTTTCGTGCTTCGTAGTCGGTCTGAAGTAGCGCTGCTTCGTCGCCGTCAAGCGCGCCGTTACCGCAGCCTGTGCGACCGCAGGGCGAAGTGACGGCCGACGAAAAAAAAAAAAAAGAGCGGCTGATTGATGTAATGGATCGGATTGGATTAGTTTGCGGTGCGGTGCAGTAGACGACATTAGCCAGTTGAGCCTTCTGGCGTCGTGCAGATTACGGCCTTCAAGATTTGCAATACACGCAGCCTGCTCGCGTGTCAAACCTCAGAGGCCATGTGCAAACGTACAAACTGCAATTGAATGTTGAGGCTGACGTTGTTGTAGCGTGGCCTGACCATGGCCTGACAAACGAACGTCAGAGACCAGCAGAGGCTAAAACTTAATTCATTTTGTTTCTTGAAATTAAGTAGGAAACTCTTTTCATCGATCCCACACTGTGACTGAGCCATAATAACTGAAACTGAAAACACTAAACCAAAACTTGATAACTAAATTTGGTTTTGCTATAGTTTTTACTTACAGGTGTAAATTTATATTCTACGAGTTGTTGTTATTGGAAGGTTAACGTTATTTAATTATCAGCGTACGTAACTGGAAGAACGGAGGCCTTGTTGTGCTTTCAACCTGCGATTGTCAGTGACATCAATCTGCTGTCGCCGAAATGGTGAGCAAGTCATCGTGACTTTATTCGGGGTGTCATAAGAATGGTACTTCTCAGAAAATTGCTTTAGGAACCCAAGTTTGTGGTGCACATTGTGAAGCGTTATCCGCTACAGGGGCACCGCCGTTCACATAATATCGGGATAATTAATGAAGTGTGGGACAACTGGTCACCATGTTAGCCTCGAGGGTCGGCGGCTTTGCGGGAATGACTGGACAGAACGCATTAGTGCACTTGATGGAATTTTACCGTTAATAGGATTTTAGCTTGTATTAGCGTATGCAGACTGGTCAGAGTACCCTATTTTCGCTACCTCGTTCACAGATTGTGCGCTTCGTTTATCGATTGAGTGGCTCGCTTCACAATGTCGTAGGTGTGGTGAACATTCTTATGTTTCTCATTTGCAGGGCCAAAACCAATCACAGGGCGGCAGCGGTGGAGGCGGCTCTGGCGGGGAAAAAGAAGGATGACAAGGTACGTTTAAAGGTCTTACACTTAAGTGCGTAGTTAAATTTCGTATGTGAAAATGTATCGGCTTTATAGCCGATTTACAAGTAGAATTTTGAAGTACCATGTTCTGCCGGATGACTGACTGGTGGGCTAGTTTAATCAATCAGCCACTTTTATTTGACATCAACAGTTACAGATGTCTTGGGCACAGGCTGAAAGCTCGAAGATTTTCTAAATATTTCTCTCTTAGCAAAGCGATGAAGTGTAAGCCGAACCTCGTTAATCGCGCTTAATACGATTTCTCTGCTCCTGCGCTCGCAGTCGCGAAAACTAAAAATAAACCGTTTTAAGTCGTATGTTTTCTTCAGCGTTCTTTATCGAAAACATATCAACGAAGTTCTACTGTAATACCTAGTGTAAAAGCATAAACGTGCGCTGGTAAGATGCAGGAATATGGACATCATGCAATGCTAAATATAGGGGTGCAGCTACAGATTTAATTCTAGACGGGTGAGGGGTTAAACACCTCAATCCCGTCCCACCTCCGGCTGATATCAAGCAAGATCCTATTGGCTGATATCAAGGATTAAGTGCAAGTTCGTCATAAATTATGGTTGTGGTAATGCGAACTAATAACTGAAAATTTCGTAGTCTACATTTGAGCCCCTTGCTAGTTGGAACAATGCTGCCATGGTTAGCAGAGTGCAGTTTTGCGAGTTGTACTGTAACAAATGCGAACATAAAAATGAAATTACGTGCGGAAGAAGCGGAGATTGCTTTCTTTTAGCGGTGTCGCATCATTTTGGTCACGTCGTCGTTGTGGTTTGCAGGACAAGAAGCGCAAACACGAACCCCCGATTCCGAGTCGTGTGGGCAAGCGGAAGAAGCGAACCAGGGGACCAGAGGCTGCTAGTAAACTCCCACTCGGTGAGTTGTGGCAGGTTCAGAATTCCTCACGCACTGGCTCCTGGTCCGCTTGGCCTTTTTTTTTTTTCTTTACAACAATGGTGCAATATGCTTGATTACAACCTAAATAAATAATGTCATCATAGGCGTGTGCAGGGTTCCTCATCAAGGAAGAACTGGCTAACCTCCCTGTCGTTCCGTTTATATCTTTCTTCTCATCATTGTGGGGGGGGGGGGGGCATAGGTTTATCCCAACATCCCCCCACTAAGTTAATGTAGGCACCCCTCCCCCTCTTAGGTAACTTAGAGTCCCTCGTACCCTCTTCCCGTGTGCAAACCTATAAATGTCACCTTCGCCTGCATCTGTCACTTTCCGTCACACAGAGAAAATTTGCATGAATGTGCCATTCAATAGCGCTTACTTGTTTTTGTGATGTCAAGCACTGCTAGTGTTTTATATAGTCAACTTTCCCACAAATCGGTCCTTGCGGACATAAGCGGTGGGTAAGGCCGGCTGCATAATAAGGAGTAGAGCCAGGGATATCTTTTTCACAGCTTGGCTTAGGCTCTCATCCACTGCCAAGGGACTGTTGGCCATTGTGTATTGCAGCTATTTCACAGGAGACATATTATGCCTGTTTCTTGTCCTTTCATGTATTTAAAATGCGGATCATTGGACAATGACAAGCAGATTCTGACATTGCGGTTGCAATCACATACCTGCCAACTCATCCGATTTTCCCGTAAAATGTACGAATCTAGACCACGCTTACGATTTTACGAATCTTGCCCAAGATTTTATGAAAAATAATTTATTTTCTACAAAAAAATAATGCGTGGCCTCCGTGATTGGCTACGGCACATTGCCGTAACTAGTTGCGGAGACCACAAAAATGGCGCCACCAGGATAGAACAATATGCATTGGTGTTATCATCATCACATACCTGCCAAGTCTCCTGCATTGTCTGGGAGACTCCCGGATTTCGACTGTTTCTCCTGTTTGTACGGTGCCATGACAATCTCTCAAAAATCGAAATATGTGTGCGAGATCTTGCCGCATTGACAAAAGGCAGGTCAGTCCGTTCCAGGCTTTTTGCAAGGCCCAGCGCATTTTGTTATAAACGAATTTGAGAGGCGTTCGTCTAAACATATAGTAGAGTCTCGGTGGTGCAAAACCAAGGCAGATACGAATTTCTGAAATTCCCAGCCAAATTCATGTGTCCATTTGGCCAAAATTCAAATGTTCCAAACACTTTTCCTGATCGCAGCTTGTGATATGAACTTCAGTACCGAAACCATTGAACGAAGGCTGATCGCCTCGGAAGTACGTGTGTGAGTAGCGCACGCGCTGTCTTCTACAGTGCGTGTAGTTGTCATTGCCACAACTACTGTTGACGAAATCGCGGTCATTCGACACGATCATTTATGGGGACGACGTTACTGACAGAACTCCGAAAGAGTGCGCGTAGCCAACGCTCGACCAGTCAAAGCAACGCTGCTTTCAGCAAACTCTGTGGACAAAACCACGGCAGTTGCGATCAGAAATAGCATAAAACGACTTAGTTATGAAAGCACGTGGATTGAAAACAAACTACCGTTTGCCACAACCACTGCGCACAAAACCGCGATCGCGGTGATGCGATAGCTTTCTACGAGTTCCAAGGGCACGTGGCTTATGCAGCCTTCAGATTGGTGCACACCGACGACTAGCAGTCGTCGTGCGACCATTTGTGACTGGTCGCGAACGTTCGCAAAGCGATTGCTTTGGCTAGTCGCTTCTAGCTCGATTTTCAGTAGCGCGACTGCAGTTGCAAAACTGTTGAAACCAATCAGCAATGCCCGGAAGTGACACCAGCATTTCCTTATATGCAGGCTCATGTTTTTTTTTTTTTTTTTGCGCTGTCTTCATGTCGCCAGATACAAACTGGTGCGTTCCTCTGGGTCGGTTCCTCTGGCCGCCACGGCCAGAGGAACAGACCTATTCTCTAGGTTGTTCCTTTGGCCACCACGAAGTACTTGACTTGGAGATGACGGGGCGCAGCAGCTCGAGCAAAGTGTTGAATTTACGTGGCGGCATTCGCAAGAAGGTAAACACCATCACAAGAAGGAGAAAATGGATTGTGCACTATCTTCCCCTGTGTTCAGTTTTTTTTTTTTTTTTTGGTGTCTTGAACTTGACTTGCCACCGCCTTCAATGCAGCGCGTTTGGAACGCTTTTGTGCTTCATGCCTCGGCACCGACCAAGGACACCGTGTTCGAGACGCGTTTATGCTGCATTGGAGGCTCTGGCAAGTTAAGTTAAATTCAAGGAGCGTTTCTGAATACGTACCACTCTCGGAAATACACCTCCTCGTCTCAGCGCAGCTCGGGAGGTAGGCGGCTTGCATAGCCGACCGATTCTCGCGAGCAAAGGGACGTTCACGCCCACCACCGACTTTTTTTCTGTGGAGGCTTCTGTGCTACCAGCGCTGACACTATGGCATAGTGCACCAGCGCCATGACATTCTATTGTTCTTCGCTTAAATCGAACTCCTTGACGCTGCTGGGAACGCTGTGCGAGAATGGACGAAAACAATAAACGCGGCCCGCTCGGTTTGCTCCGCTGACTCAGCTGGTGACGATCAACTGATCAGCGTTGTTTTCCAGAGTCCTTTTCTTGCTGATAACGAGATCAGGACGTGACTCTCCAGTTTTGCGGCTTCCGGTCGCTCGCATGCAGCCTCTGCCGGTGTGAACGTCAGTCGCTTTTTGGTCGCCGGTCGCAAATGGTCGCGCGACCACTGCAAGTCGCCGTTGTGCACCAACCTTTCTTGTCCCTTTGTCGTCGTTCTGTTCTCGCACTATAACTGTCGTCAGGTAGATTAAAGGCAGTACAGGTGTAAAAAAGGCTAGAAGTGTTTTGGCATTCCTGTCCAAAGAATCTAGTAGCGAGCAAAGCCAAAGCTTTGACCTGCAGTTTTGTGGCAGTCAGCTGAGCCGTACCGTCTGTTCACGTGTGAATACATACGCAAGTTGTTTTGACGGAAATCGATTTTTTTATAGTTGCTTTGATCACGCGAAATTTCGGGAGCGTTTGCGCTTCCCCTTTGAGACTTTCACCTAAGTGGGAAAACCTACCCTCCTGTGTTCGGCCACTCCAAGCCATTATGAGACTGCAACACTGATGTTTGTGTTTGCGCTTGGCCCCCCCCCCCTCTTGTTTTTCGCCATGTTGTTTTTGTTTCATTTTGTTTTTTTTTTCCTTTTCGTGCCAACGAATGGGGGAAAATAATTCAGGGCATCGATTTACCTTATGGCGGCTAAACATGATTATGCTTGTCGCTAAAGCCAAATCTATCACAGCTAAAAAGTTAAGACATTTGTTTGTTATTTTCTTCATACACTTGATAAGTCTTTCTATATATATATATAGAGAGAGAGAGAGAGAGAGAGAGAAAGAGCATGTGCAAGAGCAAGTCGGGCGCCCCGCCTTTTTCGGGAATACGAAAACTCTCCGCCTATGCTTGCGGACAACCGTGATTGACCCACGGCCTTGGCGATTGTGCAGTGACGCCCCACACGCGATGCCGGCTGAAGCTGCTGAAGCAGGAGCGAATCAAGGACTACCTCCTGATGGAGGAAGAGTTCCTGCGAAACCAGGAACGCCTCAAGCCGCAGGAGGAGAAGCACGAAGAAGAACGCTCTAAGGTTGGCACAGGCGCCCCCTTCTTTCCTGTTCTGTTGTCTTTCACCTTTTCAAGGGCAACCTATAAAGAGCTGTCTGTTGATGCATCATATTTTCAAACGGTCATGATGGCGAAGTAGATGGCAGATTGCTATAAAACTAAGGTCTTGATACAATGATTTGTGTGTTTTGTAAATAATCGAAGTAAATTTTGAGTAAGTTTTTATTATGAAGTCATTCATGTTTTTTTCTGCATCATTAGAATCAATATTAGGGCTGGAAACATTGTGGAATCTCGTTTTCAATTACATTAATTTTGAGCAAAATATTACTTTTAGCTTTGACATGGATCATACTACATTTGACATGGTAGCAGGTTAGAAAAGGGATTATATAAAACTGTACACTGAAAAACTAGGTTAAATGAATGCAGATGTATTGCACAGGAGGTTCAAATCATCCAAAATTCAACGTATATTTCTCCTAGCACAACTATCACAAATATGTGTGCACAAATGTGTACAAAGAACTTTGAGAGAGGTTAAACAAATTGGGCAGTAAAAAGCACTAGTTAGGCTCTTGGGTCCTCAGAAGCAGAGGTTGGCAAAACTTCTGGAGCTCACTCGGACTCAGTCATCAAATATATTTCGCTCATTTTATTCACTCGGACTCGCACTCACCGAAATTTTCCTGAGGCTGACTCGCTCCGACTCACACTCACAAACATTTTCTTCAACTGAGCTCACTCGGACTCAAACTCACCAAAACATACTTACCCGAGCTCAGTCAGATTCATGGCTTGATCTGGGTGTGAGTGAGTATACTCACTAGTTCATTCACTTGAATTATTTTTTTCATACCTAGCGCCAATGCTCTTTGACACCAATATCTTGCGTAATTGGTACTCTCATTGACACTGATTGATATAGTATCTTTGAAGACAAATTATGAGTTACAATTAAGGCTATTTTTCTTGGAGACATGACAGGAAACATATATTTATCGAGAACTTACCTGGAAGAGTTGGCGAGGGGGAGATCGAGGCACCTGCCTACTAAATTCGTGCCTCTGATCAATGAATATTGAAATCGTGTATCAAGGACACTGCTTTGGAATAGCCCAGTCGTGAGTCTAGGTAAGGTTCATAGTAATGCTGAAGAGTACATAGATAGGACCCTAAGACGGCAAAACAAAGTGGAGCTCACTCAGTGAAGAAATATATTTTGCACTTTTGGACTCGCTGGGACTCAGATTTACCAAAATTTTCCTGGGCCGAACTCGCTCGGGCTGAAACTCGCCAAGATTTTCTTCAACCGGACTCACTTTGACTCAGTCTCACCGAAGTGTTCCTAAGCCAGATTCACTCAGACTCCCGGCTAGATCGGAGTCCGAGAAAATTCGAGTAAGTTGACTCATGCGTGAATTTGCCGACCTATGCTCAGAAGTTCCTCAATCTTGTAAATTTTTTTCTGAAAGCTTTACTGTTGTTAATTTTGATAACTTGGGTTCACTATTCAAACGTAAAATGAAGGACATGTTGTTTCAATTATTTCTCGATAATACATAAGCGACCCCAACGACATCACATATTCCACTTTCGCTCGTTCAAATTTATTTGTTTATTTATTTATTCATTTATTTAGAATACATGACAGGGCTTCTGAAGAAGCATTGAGCAAAATTGCAAAGCACAGGCAACATATGCAAAAGTACAATACAGGCTGCAAAGCGGTATCCAAACAGAAATGGTTACACAATACTGATATTTCTAGCTTAGAATACGGTTATTTTATTCGATTCCATAAGTACATTTTAAGCTGGTGTATAAATGTCTGTTTAATCTTTAGTTCAACGAAAATGGTTGCGGTGAGTGGTTGTGACAATGGCCTCGGGAAGATCACACCATAATGCAATATGGCATGTAGTGCAGATGAATTTCGAGCGCATTAGCTCACAAATAAAGCTTCATCACTTACTTCTTTCTTAAGTTGCTGGTTGTCTTTCGCAGCAGCAGAATCATCTTTTACTGACAAAGAGTTATTAAGGGCGTGGTTAACGCTGTTTGAATCAGTGATGTCGAGAAGCAGATGCATTATACAATGTGGCCACTTGTACTCTAAAAAATGTGGAACTCACAGCCGTTTGCCCATGAGTGCTCATTGTTTGTTGTCACTTGCAGGTGGACGACCTGAGAGGCAGTCCGATGTCGGTCGGTACTTTGGAAGAAATCATCGACGACAGCCATGCCATTGTCTCAACATCCGTGGGTAGCGAGCACTACGTCAGCATGCTGTCATTCGTCGACAAAGTGAGTACATTTGGGTGCTTTCGAGTAGTGTTTCTTGAAGGGACGTACTACCAACATTTAACAGTACCTGTTTTGTATGGCGCAACATAAAGCGTAATCACAGTATGGTAACATCAAGAACGTCGTGAAACATTTGTAATGAGAATGATTCCATCTGTGGTGAATGTGAAGACGTGTACAGTTGAACCCTTTTATAAAAGAGACTGATATGAGAGACAAACGGGTATAAGGGACACCAGTGTGCCTACAGTAAAATATGAATTGAGAAGAAATTGCATGAATCGTACCCTGCTTGTAAGAGACACCTCATATAATAGACAAGAATTGCTGGCCGGAGCATGCCACTTATAATGGGGTTTAACTGTATGCTGCAAACAGTGAGCGCTAGAGTGGTTCGTGTTCTAGTGCGGCAGTCTACTGTGTGCGCCTGCACTCCATGCACATGCGCTGTTACTCAACATGGTCCACAGGACACCGCGAAAGGGAAGTGCCACTTCTCATCATACAACTTTAACTTGTAAGCAGCAAAAAGAGTAGAGTGGGAATGAATTAATAATGCACATACTCAAGTTTTGAGGTCTAATTATGGCATGCATGACAGCATCAAATTACAGTAGACTCTCGTTAGATGGAACCTGAAAGGACGAGGAAAATGTGTTCCGTTTAACAGGAGTTTCGTCAGTTACTAAGAGGTGAACATGGGTGGAGAATCAAAGTATCAACCCAGTCGTGCTTTAGGCAGTTGTTTCGTTTAGGCAGCAGTTCTGTTTAACAAATTTCCGTTTACTGAGAGTCCTTCGTACGTGACTACGTACAGCAAAGTGGTCGACTTTGTAATTCAGGTTCAGGGCTTTCGGCTAGACTGCACGTCATACTGGTTTTCGCTACTTTTAAAGGATTTAAAAATACGTCCTACTCACAATGCGAAGTGAATGCTTGAATCTTCCACTATAACTTCAACGCCATTTTGCAGCAGAGCGGCGCAGTGGAAGCGTGCTGGGCCCATAACCCAGAGGTCCGTAGAACTCCAACGCCATTTCATTTCAAACATATTTTGTTTTTGCTCTGAAGCAGCGAAACTGAAGCAGGCTAGACATCGCAAGTCAGCGTTCAGGTCGCTGTTATTGAGAGTAGCTGAAATGTGCACATTTCAAGTGGCAAAAACACTTCATAACTTAATTCATAACATTCTAATATAGTGTTAGTATACTTGTAAAATCTTTTTCTTTCGCTCTTTCAGTCCGCGTTACGAAATATACGAAGTAACCTTAAGTACTAGCAAACTGTGAACGAGGGCTTGTTCGCGCTGTTTCCACTACAACTGCTGAACGGCCATTAGTTTCCATGGTGTAATGGGGTGCTTCGTTGACTTGAAAGACAATTGACTCAACGGCCTTTAAAATGTCCGGCTCCTCGTGCTTGACTGTTGAGAAGTTGCACTATCGGTTGGAAGGCCATCCAAATGTCCATGTGACACGGGTTGCCAGTGTATGCATTTTTAATGGCACCTAACTCTTGTTGATTCAGTCATACAGTAAAACCTCATTAATTCGAACCTGGTTATTTCACAGTTCCACTTAATTTGAAGTATTTTTGTCGTCCCGTGTTCTGCAGTGTAAGTTTGAGTGCACAATTTGAAGTGGCGGTCAGGCACCAGTCCGGTTATTTGAAAACTTAGGGTGCAGTGTGGCAATTCCCAATCCCGATTTCTCTGCAAAACTGCTGGAACGACAACCCTTAAGAGCCACTAGACAATGTAATATAGCTACACTAATGAGTGGCAGCTGAAGAGTGCTAACTCTGGTACTTCTAGCTCGAAAAATGAAATTGTAAAAAAAAAACACACACACACAGTCGCATGATCAACTAAAATTTGTGCCTGCAGAAAACAAGACATGCTTCGCTGCAATACAGCGATGACGTGCAGCCAGCATGTTGCATGCATCTAGCAACGCCAGGGAGTCACAATTTACCCATTCTTTCTGGGAATATGGGAGAATTAATGAAGAATAAAGGGCAGTTTGGTGGAATTCGTTATGTATGCGAACCTCTGAGTGCCGGTTGCTCCAGCAATTTTCACACTTGCACTGCTGGCGGAGTTCTTGCCTGCGATGCCTGCTTCGAAAACTCGGTTCGAAAGCTTCAATGATCGTGTTTTCCAACTAAAACACATCGCGAATTTCGTCACACTGTTCGTTATTACATTCTTAATTTTACTAGTAAGAATGGGCGAATGTTCACATAATGATCTCCTGATTCAGCGAAGAGCAGGCGACTTGCTGTCCGTGTGCACGCATGCAGGGAAGATGTCTTGTTTTTTGTAGGCGCGTATTTCAGTTAATTAAAGCTTTTTTTTTTTTTCGATGGCAGCGGCGAGGCTCGGTCCTCCCGCTTGTTTGCGGCGGTATTGTGATGTGGTGTTGCTGGAAAACATAACTCTTGGAGCCGCAAACTAGCCAGCATAGCAAACGACCAGCCCTGAGTACTTTGGATAATTTCAAGTTTCTTGGATAACACTTTTTTGTATGTTCCGTCAACTCGACAACCCGCTTAATGAAAAGATTTCTCACAGTCCCGGTGACTTCGAATTAACGAGGTTTTACTGTATTTGGCCTCAACCTGGTTAATGCGGACGTTCATCGGGGCGTGCCAAGTGGGAAGCGCTTAACATGTGACACGCAAATAAATAAAAACGGTGTTTGAGGACAGGGGGAACGGTTGCTGGCTTTCTAAAAGGCATGGTCGCCATTCACAATCTTGTTGTAGGTATGTAACTAGGATATTGGTTTCAAGTATGCTTTGGATTAATACATGGGGATTTGTCTGCATTCACATTGTGAGGAAAGCTGAAGATAACGAAAATTGCAGATTTTGCACTGCCCTTGTACAAAAAAATTACTGAATTTGCACTCAAACTTTGACATAATGAACTGTGATATAACGAAATACCAGTTATAAAAAATACTCTAGTGTTAAGAATATACTTTCATAATGAATTGTCAAATATAACTAACTCGTTATTTGTGTAAGATACAGTTTCGTTATAGTGAGGTCTGAGTATACATAAAAACCTCAGGAAAATTAAAATGCATTGATCTAATAGATATTGATTTACTGTTTTCTTGGTACTTTCAATAATTCAACATTCGATTAATTCAGACAGTTTTTTCGGTTCCGCAAAATCTGAGTGAACGATCTTTCACTGTATGTGAAGCATGCATATTTGTGAGGGTCGCTTTCGGTGAAGAGTGGCTCGACGTTGCCTCACCCCTTGTCGCAGGACCAACTGGAGCCCGGCTGTTCGGTGCTGCTCAACCACAAGGTTCACGCGGTCGTCGGCGTGCTGTCGGACGACGCAGACCCCATGGTGGCCGTCATGAAGCTGGAAAAAGCACCCCAGGAGACGTACGCCGACATCGGAGGGCTTGACCAGCAGATACAGGTAAATGAAAGGGCCCAGCCTTGCAGTACTTGGTGTCTTGTTTGCCACAAAGAAAAGTGCAGAGCTCTCCCCTTTTCTAGTGAAGGGGGCAACGAAGCAATGCGTGTGCGTGCCCCAGCTGCTGCTTTTCTTTCCCATTTGAGGAGAGACGCTGTTTCAAGACGGAAGCCGGAAAAAAATTTTTTAAGTATTTTTTTTTAAATAATATATAGGGTCAAAAGAAGCTGCTTCATTTCTATGTAACCATATGTGGGGTTTGACGTCCCAAAACCACCACATGATTACGAGAGACGCTGTAGTGGAGGGCTCCGGAAATTTCGACCACCTGGGGTTCTTTAACGTGCACCCAAATATGAGCACACTGGCCAACAACGTTTCTGCCTCCATCGGAAATGCAGCCGCAGCAGCCGGGATTTGATCCCGCGACTTGCGGGTCAGCAGCCGAGTACCTTAGCCACTAGACCACCGCGGCAGTGCTACTATTATCGCGTAATGCATATTTGTCGAGTTACTCAGTCTCAAAGTCAGTTTCGTGATAATTTCCGCCATATTCAACGTCTGGGCGCCTGAGAACCACGCCAAGTAGTGCGGCCACCTTTGGTCTCATTTGAAAAACGCATTCTTCTTTCTAGTATAAGAATGCTTTTCGTCTAACAATAACGTAGCTATCGCACATAAAGAAAAACCAAGTACTCACACCTCATTGGTGCATTTCTGTTGTGTGGGGCAGTTCCCGGTTTCTTATTGGATGTCAAGGGAGTCATCTTCTGGACAGCGGCGCTTAATTTTGTCATTTTGTGAAGAGGCCTAAGCGACGAATGTGCGATCAGTGCGATGGGAGGTGGTCATCGAAAGTTCCGTACTGCTCATACGTTCGGGAAGAAGCCAAAGAGCATGCAGCGTCTTACAAGCGAAAATCTCTTCCGCCTGAGAACACAGAAAATGCTGACTGTGGTAACGCTATCACGGACGCGATAGCCGGAGCCAACAATCACACGTTAGCTGTTCGCCTCGACACTTTCCTTGGATGCTGAAAAAGTGGCCCTTGAGTGTTGTGCGAGTGACATTCAACGAGACCTTTCATCAATGTCAGATGCACGACACAAACGAGCTTTCTTTTTCATAACTCAGAGGTGACCAGAACGATTGGAATGCCGTTTGCCGTCGAAACATTAGCGATGGGGAAGGAACTGCTGCAGTGTATGAAGTGCAGTGTGTATGTGGCGAGCCTGGCAGCATTTTCTAGGAAGACCAGGAACATGGCATTGCTGGGAAAGTTGTGCTGACATGTGATGAGAGCAGGGAACTGAAAAATGTTTGGAGCTTGCCGATAGCTGGGGAGAGATGCGGTGCGTGGCCCGTTACGATATCCACGTGTTCGCGGTTCGCACGGTAGTAACACAGGAAACGGACAAGCTGTGTTTAATGATATTTTTTTATCCCTAATACAGTGCAGTCCACTTATAACGATATCGAGAAAACCTAAAAATATGATCGTTATAACCGGTGATCGTTATATCTGGACTGCCGCCAAAAAATCTTCGCCGGACGTACCTTTCGTAGCTCCAGGCTTCATTTCGCTATTTTCACCAATTAATAAATATTGTAGATAGTAGGATGTCAAAAACAAGACTTTATTTCTTACTCCGAAGAACGCATCACGGGTTCGCTGAGGAAGAGAGACTGACCGACGGCGGAGTGGGAGCAGTGGGAGGAAGAAAGCACAGCCAGAGGTACACAGCCGGAATGCCAACGAGGCCCCGCCCCGATGCCGCCGCGCCGCTTTGCTTTTCGCTTTTTTTATTTTCTCTCTCTTTCCCGCTTTCGTTCGGCAAGCTACGAGTAGCTTGCCGGCTTGCCGTTGTAGAAGGCGGGGAGCCGCGGGGCGCGGCGCTTTGCTTTTCGCTTTTTTTTTTTTAATTCTCTCAGCCTCTTCGCGGTCGACGCGCGGCGAGGCGCAAAACGTGACACAGCTGGCGCCATCTGTAGCGCGTCGCGCCAACTCGCGATGCTCTCCTCGGCTTTTTGAACGGCCGGGACGCGCTGCCGGTGCTGTGCTGCAGTGGCGGCAGGTACTCGCCTACGCTAACTTTTCGTCTTGTCTCGGCATAGTTCGTTTCAGAGGAACTTATCAATCTAAATGTTACGATTATTCTGAATGAAACATGCCGTCCACGGCAAACTTTTCATCGTTGTATCCGATATGCGGTGGATAACATATCGTTATATATGGTTTTTTTCCCCATAGCCCCAATGCATAAAATGAGACTGTTAAGTCGACCCATCGTTATAACCGATATATCGTTATATGTGGTATCGTTATAAGTGGACTGCACTGTATTTCACGGAGATGCCACGCACTTTATTGGCGACTGTGTGAACACCTTCAAAACACTGTATGTCGATCGGAAAATCATGGAAACCCTGTAAACTTCAGGCGTTCAATGAAAAGAAAGTGCACGAAAAAGAATGATGACAACTTCGTTGTAACAATAACAGACCCTTTGTTATTCAAGACTGCAATTTCTCAGCAATGTTTGTAACTATACGCAGTTTCCATTATCTATCTTTGTCTTGTATGTGCTTGAATTCTTACTTATACATTTTTAGTTGACTTATTCTCTTGCTGAAAATCCAATGATGTTCCTTCGAACTTTCCTGCCTTCATCGTATTCTCTATATAAAGAGCCGCTGTTTTCTCACTCACGCTGCTGACGCGGCGGGTTCACACTTGACATCGAAGGGAGCGAAAGTGGCCAAACTCGTTGGAACTTCACTCACTTCACCGCGCTTAAGGGGAGATGCTACTCGAAAAAGGTTTTTTTTTATTTCATAACCCAGCTCCTTGAAATTTTAGGTGTTAGTAAAGCTTGCAGTGCTGATTTCATAACTGCAATTATTTGTTTGATAGCTATAGTAGTTCCGGAGTTACTACAACTTTGATATCAAAATATAGTGTTTTTTGTGCACATAATAAAGCTTACTAAAAATTTTCACACAGAATTGCAAAATGGCTCATTCTGCTGCACTTGAGCAGTACAATACAGAAAAGTACCTCAAACAGAAAATTTATTTGCTACATTAAAAAAAAAATTAAAAGTACTAAATGCATATTTTACATCTCTCTATCAGTGTATCAAGTTGTGTAACAAAAAATCTGTGATGTATAATGCAACCTAAAGTAGATACTTGTATTCTAGAGTGGCTGATTAAGCTCTGTGCAAAATTTCATCAAGATAGGACTATTTTATGCCTAAAAAAGATTGTGCACAAGATGAGAGAATTACCTCAAAATGGAAATCGAGAAAAATGCATTTGAAAGTTGTAAATATGTTTACTCATGATTACACAGTGCGATTTGCACAAAACTTGGTGATATCATAGAAGGGACACAGCTAGAGCACCTAAAATTGTCCTGCTCCATATGTGGATCCTTCTCGCCGCTTGAGAAGGGAGTCATCAAGGCGCGCTTTCTTTGCCACGTTCCGCCGATGGGCCCTTGCCTCGGCTGTTTCACACGCAGACATTCTTTCGATTCTCCTCTGGTCGCGGGATCGGCCCAGGGTGATCAGTTGATCTGGTGGGACTACACCAAGCTCCTCTAGCACGTGTTCAAAGCTTGAATGTCCTTTATTGAACCACAACACGGCCATAGCAGCTGCAGTTTCCACTGTTGTCCGGGAGGCAAACTTAGTCTTCGGACACAACAACCAGATTTTGCTGTTCAAAGATTCTGCAGCGTTTTGGGTCTTCCCTTGGATACAACGCACCAGCAACTTTTCATCTGTGAGCCGCTTGTAAATGGGAAGCACAGCCAATCCTTGAGCCTTGGTCAAGATTGGTGTGTGGTCGGGTGGGGCCTCCCCAAGCGCTTCAGCTCGCCTATGCTTGCACCAGGAAGTCGCTCCTTCTGGACAGTATCGGTGGCTGCCTGCTGTGTTGCTCGATGATGAATGGAAATATGAGGCCCAGATGGCACGATGCATTTTCAGAATATCACCTCTGTTGTTTGTGATTGCAATACGGTAATAGTTCTGCAGCTTCTGAATTGTGCCATCTGTCAGCTTTTCCCCTCGTGGAAGTCTTGTTGGCAGTTTCCGAAGTGCAGTGCCTAGACGCTTGGCCACATGGTTTGTGCACTCCTCCTTGTCCACAACAGCTTCACCATATACCTTGGCCTCAGCGACAGCGGTATAAGCTTTGCTGTCCCCATCACTGAGGAACTTGGTGAAGCGCAATGGTGTTGTGTATGAGGATGTCCTGCCCCATATGCGCAAAGCTGCCTCAGTCTCCATGGCATGAGAGGAGCACTCTGTATTTTTTTCGCAGACAGGTGTGTGGAATGCTTGCCATATTTCTTCCTCATCACCCAAGTCCTGGTGCCGGCTACAGGCAAGGCAGTAATTCGATAGCACTTCAAAATCTAGGCACAAACCAGTGTCCACAGACACAGCAGTGCCGATGCCATTGTGGCTCTTGTGCCCTCTTTTTTGCCATGTGCCATCATACATGACAGCAACATCAGCCCCATCCACTTTCTCTTTAGTTATCATCCGCGCTTTCGCCAGGTTTTCTTGCACAGCTTTGGTAGCTGCAGCATGAACTTTTTTGCCGATTGCAATAAAAGTCTTATGATGCATAGGTATTGGCAGTCCAAGAATAGCGCAAAAACGCGACAGCTGTTCATGCCCAATGCCTATTGCACGCGCAGCCACAACTACCTTCACATTGACAGCGAAGCTGTCGCGCGAGCTGTCGCGCGAGCTGCCGCTTCGGTAGCTCCAGTCATCACCGGCATCGGTGGGCTGTCTTTCCGGCAGAACACGCCGCGAACTATGCGCGGCAGAAACCACTGACTCAGGACACTCACTGTTATCACAGTGCAGCTCGAGGAACGAAGAGAGGCCCTTACGTTTACTTGCGGTGTCGCGAACGACGAGTCCAGCGGTGTGGCATGTTGGACAAACAGCACGGCTTACCATCGATGTCAGTGCGCCGATGTCACAAAATACTCCGCTCACAGAGCCACAAACACTCTTCGTTCTTTCGCTTTCGAACTGTTCAATCTTTTTTTCTGATGCGCTGATGAACTTGATCGCGGCGTCGATTTCGTCAAAGTTCCCGCAAGCCGCCGTATCCCCGCTGCCTTGATTAGGCCTAGTGGCCCGCGGCTCGCATTCTTCTACCGCTGCTTTGCGCTTCGGTTTACGTCGACGCCCTTGGTACTTGTTCTTGCTTGCAAACTTTCGTGCTCGGAAGTCTCGCTTCTTCGAGTTATCCATGGTGAACTCGGAAAAACATAGAAACGCACGGCAAGTGCCGATCGTCGCAAGCGCTCAGCGAGCGAGGCCGATCAGATGTAGCCAATGGCGGCCTCGGTAGCGTACCATGTGACCGGTAGAGATGCGCGAAGCGGCTGCAGCTTGGCTGCAAACCGACTTGGAAACGACTGTTTTGTGAAATTCCTCACTAAAATACGAAACTAGGGGGACGCCTGTACACTAGAAGGAGCCTTGATCTACACCACCGAACAAACCCCGATGGCGGACGTCATCGTGTTGCCGAGTGGCGGATTTTCAAAAATAGCCGTCGGATGCGTGAATTCGCGACTTCGGCAGCTACCTTCACTAGCGCAGATCGACTTTTTACCACTTTCTCGTTTGAATTCAGCTATGACCTTTGGGGAAATGATAGTTGAATGATCAAAAGTGATTTTAGCAGCAATATCTCAAAAGTGGAAATTTTCGCAAAAAACGCGATTTTTCGACCCGCATCTCCCCTTAAGCTGCCATGAAAGGAAGGGATTTCAGCAAAGTGAATAATACCTCTACATTACCCAAGAGTTCCCGCAATCATTTGAGTTCAATAATTAATAAAGCAGTATTTATTTCAGCAAGGCAAATGAGATATCATTAAATTTAGATACTACTTTTGGTGCCGTAGCTGGCATGCATTTTGATTCTGTTCCTTCCACGGTGGTGTCAAGAAAAGTCACCAAGTGTGAGATTTTTTTACCTCGCTGACATCACTCATTCTCCACATCCCGACCCGTTCACCAAGCCTAACTCGATCTGTTCTGTCATCACGAGTAGCATCTAGCGGCAGTTTTTCACAGCACAGCTTAAGATCATCGGGGTCGCTGAAAAATTCAGGAATCACCAAGCAGGAAGACAGCATGATGTGGACGAGTTCTGCGTGTGCCAGTGGAGAAAGAAGAAAGCCTACAAGCCACGCACCAGGACTGTAGGTCATTTCGTGACCCCTTTACTGGCGCCTAGCCTGAGCCGAAGGTGCTGCTAGTAAAGTTTGTCAAAGATGTGAGAAGCAGGGGTCACGCCGTATCGATCGAGATGGCCCAAGTGACTGTCGAGGGAGGCCTACCTCACAGATTCCGTGCGAGCCGCGGATGGCTGCAACGATTTTTGAAGCGACAAGGGCTCTCTACTTCTTTTGTACTGCCTTTTCTGTAAATCAAATGTGCAAGCAATATGTACGCGTGTTTTTTGTTTTTTTTTTTGGCAAGCTGAAAGGTTGGGTGGTGCGGATTATGTGCAGGGGTGGGTTATATGCACAAAAATATGGTATGTCGTCCCTTGGGGCAAAGACTCACTATTGCACTTGGTATTATGAGATACTTGCCCTGAAAACCAATCCTCTCATGTTGTATTTAAAAAACAAGGAAAAAAGTGCATTTAGCATAAAGATAGACATTGCAAACAAGACAAGGCAAGATAGTTAATCTAACTAAAGTTTGGGTCAGTACCAATATGAGGGGGTGAACTTTTGATGTAACACTTTAAATATACATTATAATGCCCGCATTATTTCAAAGCTGTACTTTTCATCAGCACTGCTTTTCAGGAACAAGCAAGCGAACTTGTCACGGCATAAAATATTGCGATGACTTGTGATGCAGGAAATCAAGGAAAGTGTTGAGCTTCCCTTGACACACCCCGAATACTATGAGGAGATGGGCATTCGACCACCGAAGGGAGTCATCCTGTATGGACCCCCCGGCACGGGCAAGACGCTGCTTGCCAAGGCGGTCGCCAACCAGACCTCGGCCACTTTCCTTCGCGTCGTCGGCTCAGAGCTCATCCAGAAGTACCTGGTACGATGCAGAGTTTCTTCACAGGTTGCGCACGCTCCATGAAGACCACGTAGTGGGGCCACAGCAAAATCTATAGCATATCACATGCATAAGGTTTAAAGAATGCTACACATTACACAGAATGCAGCCATATGCGATAGCTTCACGGACACAAGCCACTTTCGACATTACTGGTTACATTGTAGTAATCCACAGTTTAAGCTTAATGAGTAACATGTACAATAAAAAAGTACCACTAAGTAGTTGAAGTACGCACTGGGGACAGGATATTGCATTCTACTTTTAAAGGCGAAGCTTAAGGCTCCTCCATTTTTTCTGCACTACCCACACATGTTAAGACAACTCTGTTACAATAATGTGACCTCAGTTATCAACTTACCTATTCCTTTCTTTTTTTCTGTGTCATCTTAAAACTCTAACAGATAGTTACACTGCCTTGATGTGATGCAGGGAGATGGCCCCAAGCTCGTTCGAGAGCTGTTCCGGGTTGCTGAAGAGCACGCACCATCCATTGTGTTCATCGACGAAATCGACGCCGTAGGAACAAAACGGTGCGCATCTTTCCCCCTGTTGTGTGTATTCGTCGTGATAGCTCGCAAGTTTCATTATCAGCGGTCAGTTCAGAAATTAAGCAAATGCAATCATTCATTGCGAAGTAAGATTAGACAAGTGTACTGACTCTGCTGGTCTAGAAGGAATGCATTCTGCAAGGCCCGTTCATGCTTCTCTATGTGTTCACCAGATGGCGATACGAATGAAGGAAAGCCGCGGAGGAGAGATGCCGGTTGTGAGTAGATTAGCTGGCAGGGTATCTCTCTTGCCGCGTTTGTCTGCCCACCCGTCTTGTCTACTGCTTTGCTCACACCGCTCCCCGCGATCATTGCTGCTCGTCTCTGCTAGTCAGCACGGGTGCTCATCAGAGCAGGTTGTTGAAGGATTTCTACACGCCTGAACAGATGGCATAACCTGTTGTGAGTAGTCAGCTGAGAGCAAAGGGGAAAGAGAAAGCCTGTTCAAAAATGTGAAAATGAACAGAAAGAAAGGGCAACGGAATGAGCTTGACTGCATTCACATTGCACAATTTGTCCTGATGCATTGTGTAGAGCGGCAGTTGCGCTCCTGTATCGTCTTACTCTGAGTCACCCACTGAGGTAGTATTGTGGGTGCTCATACTGTGTTGCAGGGCTCTTAAGTCACCTTTGATAACTTTTGAACTAAACGCATGCATCGAGTTCAGAATATTGTTGCAATCAACAATGCAAAACGCAGCAGCGCTGAGAGCCTCGAGCAGCCCACGAATTCAACACAATCGCTTCTACTGTGCAAGTTTTTCAGCATTCTCCATTCCCCGAACATTTACCGTGGCATCAATATGTTTGCTCGTCACTTCCAATTATTCACTTCACACCCAAAATTTTGCTATCTGCACAGCTCTAGTTATAATTCCTGATTATTGAGGAGGCAAGGTTTTTCTAGTGTTACTGTTCTTGACGAAAACTCTTGGCCTGGGAGATAATAGCTTACTGGGTCAAGAAGAGAAATGATTTGTATATAACTGACACTTTTGACAGTTTCGTGCTACTCAAAAAATAAATTCTGTAGTTCTCTGCTGGACTAAGAATGACTTTGCAATGTCCTCGTGTTTGATCTTTAATGATTATGTGAAAGCTTATAGACTTGCTTATAGATTATAACCTATAATCAAAGCAGCTTCTAGATTAGAGTTTTTGTGTGAATAAAATCCATCGCGAGTGATATTCTTTCCTTGTGCTGCTGCTTTGTGTTGATGCGTAGGCATAAAGTTCTGTAAGCTTAAATCTACATCAATCTTTATGCGTCCGTTTCGGCACTGTTTTTTAATGCGTGCTGTCATAAGCCATCATGAACCAACTGGCCCACCGGTACATTTTGAGTGTTCTGTTATGATAAAAAAGCCCAGGGTACATTTTTAACCTGTTTTTCTTTTCTGTCCTTTCTCCAGGTATGACTCCAACTCTGGCGGTGAGCGGGAGATTCAGCGCACCATGCTGGAGCTGCTGAACCAGTTGGACGGCTTCGACTCGCGGGGTGACGTCAAGGTAGTCATGGCAACCAACCGCATCGAGACCCTCGACCCGGCTCTGATCCGGCCTGGTCGTATTGACAGAAAAATTGAGTTCCCTCTGCCGGACGAGAGAACGCGGCGGCGCATCTTCCAGATCCACACGGCGCGCATGACGCTGGCCGGCGACGTTAACTGTGACGATCTGGTAGCCGCCAAGGACGATCTGTCTGGTGCAGACATTAAGGTCAGTGGTAACCTAGAACTTGCCACTGGGATAGCTGGTAATTCATGGTCGTGAAACGATTAGGTTGTAGCATGCACGTGTCTCACTAGAGTGAGGCCACTAGCGTGCATTCGGACTTAGTAAGGCACAGTCAAACTTGCCACTGGGCTAGCTAGTAATTCATCGTGGTGAAATGACAAGGTTGTAGTACGCACATTTCTTATTAGTGCACGGCCACCAGCGTGCTTTCAGGCTTAGCAAAGCACAGGACTTCATTTCTAGTTGCCCCATGGAAGCTGTTGCGCCACTGCACATGTGCGTTTGGACAGCAAAGGGACGGCCTGGCGAGCACACAGTCCTGCCCTCAAAAAATTCGTTACAGCTTCAAGAAGTTGGCATGCGTTCTTCTTGTGTGATACAGTGTATACAAAATGACGACGAAGAAAAAGATGTCATTGGGACCATTTCAGAATGTCCCATTCGAGGCACATATGGTGTCGTACATTTACTTTTATTTCTCTATTAGTAGTAGGGCACTGCTGTTTTTATTATTAATGTTTTAGACATTCTCAAGCATCCTTCATTAGTCTTCCACCGTGATGTGGATTACTATGTGCCTTTAGTGCCTGTTAAGTAGAGCCGTTCGCCGTTATACACCAATTTCACAAGTACATTGCTATTTCTCCTGCTGCAGCGCCATCTAGTGCAGTGGTTCTCAGCCATAGACATGTTGGGGACTGCTCGTGGACAGGTAAAAGTGATGGAGGACCCCTTGCAGCGGAGGAAAGGGAGGGGGTACGTAGATAAATTAACACAACTAGAGCGTGAAATAGGTACCTTCTATTGCTACAAAACATTCAACAAACGTACCTCATCACTTCATTTTGAACAGTTGCACAGTCGCGCTTAAACAGAGCTTAGGCGTGAGTGGTGGTTTTTTTTTTTTTTTTTTTTTTTTTTTTTTTTTTTTTTTTTTTAACGGAGGAGGGTTTTGCGGATCGTAGAAGTGGCTTTGCGGACCCTCATTTGTGAACCACTGGTCTAGTGTATGTGACGTTTCTCAACCATGCCGGGCAAAACACAACAACACGTCACAAGTAATTGCTAAGTTTTCACTTCAAAATGGCTGAGACGAAAAGCCGCGGCGACTCACGAGATTTTCACGCAGCAATGCTGATGATAGAAACACAGTCGACTCCTCTTAAGGGGGCGGACGGGTCTTTGGGCCCGAAAAATTGGGAAACTTTTTTTATTTTTTTTTTCAATGGCATTTTTTAATTCTGCAAGCAGTTTTCACACCTGCCTGCCACTTTCCAGACTCCAGAAAGCGATAATTTACTTGTTATATCATTACAAAGAGGACTCGTCGATTTGCGCAGAATTTGACGAAAAAACACCACTTTTTTCGCGACGCAGAGCTACCGTTTGCCGAATGCCATAGCCACGATCTTGGTCTCGTTTGAAAGTGCAGTTTCTCCATCTTCCGATTCCTGCTCAAACAACCTTGCTGCGCTCATTGGTTGTTCGAAAGAAAACAACCGAAAAAAGCAATGTACGCGACGCTATTGGCTGTTGAGTGCACGTGACCATGAGGTGGCCACTTCATTGGCTGATTGGGGCTCGCATCGTCATGCTTGGCGCGTCAACAACGCGCGAACAACGTGTTGTGGCGCCATACCGCCTGTGCTTTGACAGCGTGCTCGCGATCGAAGCTTGTTGCAATGCCGGGATCATCGCGAAAGTTTCACCCCCATCATAAGTTCGGTAAAAAAAGAAAAAAGGATCAAGTGAACAACTTCAAGGTGCATCTCTTGGCGAGTAGCATCATTCCACCAAAACAGTGATGCGATCTTTACTGCGTTTTCCTCCACTACAGGCTTCGCCTTTGAAGGTGAGATTCTTTGATGGAAGCGACTTATAGAAAAGACCCATCTAGTCGACGTTGAAGACGTCTCGTGGCTCAAAACTCATCAAAATTTTCTTACGCTGTCCCTGTTGCCGATCGATGCAAATGTCCCTGTTGACTGCAGCACACTCACCTGAGATTGCTTTGAAGACCGGGACATGGAGTATTTTGAAGCGGCTGAGCCATCTGTTGCTTAGGACGAAGTTCTCAACACTCATATGCATGGCGATCTCTCGAGTTTTCTGCTCGAGAATTGGTACGCTTATGGGCAAATTGGAACTTCCTGCATGCTTGAACCACAGAAAAAGAGATTTTTCCAGATGTTCATAAGGCGTCGTCAACATCCGTATTCATTTTAATGTAAAGGTCTCGTTCTTTACAGCGCCTTCAATCTTTTTTCTGTTTTTGCAGATCCGCGACAGCGTCGATTTCGGGGTGTCGTATTTTTTTGCCATCTCCGTCTTGGGCAGGCCGCTTTAATCGAACTCCTGAAGAATCGGGCAGCTTTTTTTCAAGAGAGAGTGCATGGTGCGGCCGCTTCCTTTCCATCTGGCTGAAATAACACTGTGATCCACCGCACTTAGCCGCACAAATAGGCCTAACACACAACTGATTAGCCAACTCAGCTCCCACAGCCACCAAAAGTGAAAATGGCTACTAGATTGGCTTGTCTCAAGTTGTTGCCATGGTTGTGAGACTGCCTTTGGCCTGAACGAGTCTATGCTGTGTGTAAAGTTTATGCCGTTTAACCCTAGGTGACCACTAAGCACTGTTTCAATTAACCAATGCATTTTACTGCGCAGCACATAGAAATCCAGCCATATGATCCCGTTTAGTTCCATTAATGAGGCATTTTCGTTTAAGCAAATTTCGTTTATTGGGAGTACACTGTATTAGGAAGTGAGTTGGATTTCAATGCAATTCTTAAAGGATTCCTGAAACACTTTTTCAAGTAACCATATAACGGATTCAATAGAAGAGCCCATTGCCTCATGAATTCAAGGCCGCAAAAATTTTTAGAACTCGTCCAGTTCGAGCGGAGTTATTAAGATTTGCCGCACGCTGCAATTGCATTCTCTGTTCTCTCGTCCCGGCGAATGCACTGGAGGTTAAGCAGGGAGAGATGGCAAGGGCAAAGAAAATATGTCCTGCGTGCCTTGTGACCTTGAGCACTTTTTTCTTAGAATATGCGGTTTTTTGCATGTGATCGCGCACTCAGAGAGGATTCATCTGCTTGGAGCACAGTGTAAGCAAGGCTTTGCTAAAGGTGTCATCTTACACTCGCGTCAAATGTGTTCTGTGCACGCAGGCCATCTGCACCGAGGCCGGGCTCATGGCTCTACGGGAGAGGCGCATGAAGGTGACCAGCGATGACTTCAGGAAGTCCAAAGAGAACGTCCTGTACCGCAAGAAGGAAGGAAGCCCAGAGGGTCTATACCTGTGACTCTGTCGCAAGATTGGTGGCTGTGTTGAAGGTGTAGCTAATAAAATGTGTTGCTTACCTTCATTCCTCTACCTCTCTTTTTAAATTAAATGTGTATACATTGAACTCTACGGCAATGTTTTTCACACTACTACGAAAAAAAAAAAAAGTGCAGCAGCTAGTAAAGGTATACACTGAAATTTTTATATAACGAACACGTGTACAGTCAAACCCACTCCTAAATATTGACTATGTTGAACAGTTGAGTTATCTACAATACACACAAGATAAAAGGAACCAGAAAAGACCAAAAAAATATGTTCCATTTAAAAAAAGTTCGATTTACTGAGAGGTGAGCTGAGTTGCAGTATTCAAGTATAAAACCAATCATATCAGAGGCAGTTGTTTCACTTAACAGATTTTTGTTTACTGAGAATCCTCTTCTGTGATACCGTTGAGATTTGATATATCCCAACTTGACTGTAAAACAATCATTTTTAAGGGATGACAAATTGAAGAAGGGCCTTGTCATGTATAGTTAGTGGTATGAGTATAGATTTATAATAAATTTTTGAATAAAAAAGTTATTTGCATATCACATGTGATATGGTTAATATGATGGTTCAGTGTAATGTGATTATATGGTTAAAATTAAAAAGAAATTGCTTCAGAATGTTAACACGACGCATCGCAAACAGCTGGAAAGTATGCATTCATCAATCTATGGCTCAGCGATGTCCTTGATAGATGTCTGGGCTACATGCCACACCTCTGACAGAACTGGACTCCTCTCGAGCACTTGGGTAGTTTTTTGGCAATTCACATTTCCAAAATCATCGACGCACCTCCTCAGCACAACCAGCACAGGGACATTTCACTACGAGTCGGGCAGGAACATCTCGGAGAACATGTGAAAATGAACACATGTACAGCTGTCCAAAAAAAAAAAAAACATGGACAAGAAAGGCAAGTACACAAACGGGCCAATTAGCCTGAACAAGAGCTTTACCTCAAGTCTAGATGTGATTATAGTTACATAGGTGTCGGTGTATTCTTTGCTGGAACAAGATGCGAGGGAGAAACTTTACAAAAGGTTGGTGAAACCCCTTTGCATGAGGGCGCCACTTTAGAAGTCCGCAGCACTTCCTCTTTAAAGACTGATGTATACAAACCTGCACTAACTGCCGTGCATTCCAGCCTGACCCCGTCAGCTGGACGACCCGTGACAACGCATTCCATGAACATTGTTTAGTGTGTGAGCATGACTTTTTTTTTTTATGGTGAATCACATTGATAGAACAGAAGCACTCGAAAGCATGCTGAAGTGTTCTCGCCAGAGCCAGTGTGTTTCAGTGGTCGAGCAGGAGTAGGAGCTCTGTCATCCAGTAGAGCGAGAGTCCTTTCGCTGCTCTAAGAGCAGGGAAGCAGTTTGTAGTGCTCTCATCTGAAAAGCAGAGTAGGTGCAGCACAACGAGTCATGCGACATTTAAACGTCGCCATCCCCATATTAGTTTTACTTTATTTCAGCCAGGGAAGACTCTTTGACGGTAGGGATGATGACAACTACCAAGAGTACGCAGCAACGTTTGGTGGATGGCATCGCTGCAGAAACTTCCTATCTAACTGTGAATTGGGATAATGACGAACATGCTCCTGACAAATTTCACACGTGTTTTTTCTGCTGCCTCACAGAGCATATCGGGGGCTTCAAATGTTTTGGTTCTGATTTTTTTTACTTCATTGAACTGCAACGGCGTGGGAGATATAAAGGCCTCATCAATGTTGAATGCCCTTATAGCCTATTGGGGAGGTTAGACTAGCACAGACGATGGACTTGTTGCATAACTGGCCATTCGTGCCGATTAAGTCATCGGCTGTAGAACAATGTATTCTGAAACATTCACAAAAAACAGTAACTTTTTGGTTTCAAACATCTGCTGAGCATCATCGGCATACTAATAGCACATTATTTACCTTGAAATAAGAAAACTGTTTGCACCAAACAAGCCCTGCCAGTACATCTGATCACATTACCATGGCGCCAAGTTGAGGAAGCTACCTCTTTTTTGATGCATAAGCCGTCAGGCAGTGCAGTCAACGTCATTTTATCTCGTTACCAAGGCACTAAGTCGAGCAAGTTACATTATACTGATGACATTAGCTTTGAGACAGGGCAGTTTGGTTGCATTTCCCGGTTCGTAAAGGCGCGCTAAGTCGGACAAATAAATGATGATGATGGTGAGGTTGATGCTCTAAAAGTGTTCTCTAGCTGTGCGTTTTACGAGAGCCATAGAGAAATCGCAGATACGATAAGAGCCAGATACGAGTATGAACTGAAAGATAAGATTCTGCATTCAGCGAGGGGCGCACCCAAAATGCTTCCAGATCCGAGGATGTTGCGTAGTTACTCTAAAAGCGGAAACTACCGCATTGCCATCTGGGATACCGGCATGCCGCGCCATCCTTGAATGGAGGTCGGTGTGCAACGATCGATTCCGCAGCAGATAGCACCGTACACCGATGACATCCTTACTAAACGTTTCATTTTCATAGCTCCAGCGCATACCGATGCGCGCCAGTAAGCGAAATTGGTTTATGGCGCATCGCGATCGATGATTGCGACGTGATTCGGCTTCAGACGATTGTTGATAGTGGGGCACGCTCCGCGTGCATAATCTCATGTTGATTTCGTCCTTGGCAGGGAAGCTGGTTTAGGGTTGTTAGTGATACACAATCTCTACAGCGCCACTTCGCTCACTTTTCCCTACTAAACTTTTAGTTTGTGCAGTTTGAATCATGTTTGCCTACAGCGTTCGAGATTGTCCCTGTGGACTAGGGCGCCGTCCATCGATCGCTGCGACCTCGAGTTAGAAGGGCAAGAGTGGGGGCTAGTTGGTTGAACATTGTTGAGACTCACACCGCGCTGGAATTAAACACACAAATAAAAGACACACTGAAGCACAGGTAGGACACACACGAGCGCGAACTAACAACTGTTTATTCGATGGAAATGTGACACACACATATATAGGTATGGTTAATATGATAATATGGTATGGTTAATATGTTAATATGATAGCTACCCATTGCATGAAGTGTCATTGTAAGCCGAACTTTGAAAAGACCATTGTTTTATCCAGATCAGAAGACAAAAGGGAAAGAGAAATCATTGAAGCTTTCATGATGCGCAGGTTTGGTGAGGACAAATGTGTTAGTGTGCCATCTATTCATTTGTCAAACAATGAATATACTTTTTTACGTAGACATTTTAGATAGTTGACAAGGCTGGATTTGATTAGCACTGATGGGCGCTTTATCTTGGTGGGCAGTGCGCATGTTCACGCTCTTTCTTTTTCTTCTTTTTCTCTCCTTTCAACCTATATATGTGTGTGTCACATTTCCATCGAATAAACAGTTGTTAGTTCGCGCTCGTGTGTGTCCTACCTGTGCTTCAGTGTGTCTTTTATTTGTGTTTTTAATTCCAGCGCGGTGTGAGTCTCAACAAGACCTCGAGTTACAAATACAAGCTTCCGTAGTACAAGTATCTAGGCTATGTGGTAGGAATGTGTTTGGCATCGTTAAGCCATCGGTATCGGCATATTTTCGCAAAGACAAATTTGTCTCAACGTGGACCTTGCATGTAGTCAGCGGCCGGTCCGTGCCTTTCGACGTCCTTTAAATTTGCAATGCCCTTGCTCGATGCGGGTTCCGATGTTTTGAGGGTCCGGACGAGCAAGGCAAGTGTGTATTCGAGGCTCACACGTGCACGAGGTGATGAGAAATGTTGTTGAAGCGCTGAAGCCACTCGTCTTTGTTGAGGCTAAGCCTAGTTCATATTCTCCTCAAATTCTGTCTCGTTCGCGGGCGCGTACGAAATCATTTATGAAGGCGCTGAAAAACTCCGTTGTTCTTCCCGAACTAATTGAAACCTCGGTGGGATTTATTAGGTCCGTATCTCATATGATCATATTTTACACACTGACACTCATACTAAACACTGTCGTGCTAACACTATTTTTTTTCTTTGTTGCGTCCCAAGCGTTTTGTCAGGGGACCACAAAGTGGATATCTTTGAGATGCGTAATGGTAATTTTTTTTAAATTAAAAATTTGCTCACCCGATTCAGCTCTTAAATAAAATGTATTCATTTATTTAAAAAAAAAATCTCGAATAAACGGGCATGTTGCGAGTATTTCTTTTTTTTTTACCGTTATGGTTGCTGCGGTGTGTGTTTTCTTTTTTTTTTCACCTCGCCAACCATTAGCGCTAAACTCCACCCCCCTTTCCACCAGCTCAGTCTATCTCGTGTCTCCGCAGCGATCAGATCGTGGTGAACCGTATCTCGTGCAGCCGCGGTCTGTACTAAAGTGTCAACGGCACTAGTGTGTCTCAGTATCTTGCTGCAGTCGTTTGCGTTGGTAATTAAGGTCTCCCGTGTTTAAATTTGCGCATCCACACCTTGCCAGACCACAATGTGCGAGTCACAGTTCTCTCGGAATTTCGTTGTAGGTACGTACGCATGTTCGCGCTCATATCAATACTGATGATAAGAGATTAACCTCGAATATCAAATTGTCTTTTTTTTTTCTTCGTCCTGCATGAGCTTTATCACGTGCGCTATTTGATTTCTCTCTCCTACGTGACTGTTTTTTTTTCTTTTTTTTTGCTTTTGCGGAGAAAGTTTTTACTGTGGTTGCACGTGATCTGACAGTGCCATTGTGTGTGTTTTTATGCTGGCGCAATATTTTGTGTCCTGGGCAGTTTTCCGCAAACAAAACAATATCTAGATTATGTGTCGCTGTTACATTAAAAGTTATGGTGCAGATACATAACATGAAAATAACGGACACGCATATCAGTGGCTCTCCCGAACAAGCACCTTCTCTTTGTTCTTCTTGCGTCGGTTGGGTCAGTTTTTCAAGTGATGCGTAACCCCACCGACTAAGCCAATCTGACGTTCTTATTGTGAGTGAAAAAGCGGCCATAATGGCGTACACCGAATATCGAAGCACTATACGACTTTGTGTCGCCATCACAGGAGAGCATGAAAGGAAGGAAAGCTTATTCCTTCCTCCATGCAGGAGAGCAAAAAACGCCGCCATGTTGGGTACCACACGGGCGTTGACTCACGTCACATCAGCCTTGGAGTTTTTTTTTTTTTTTTTTTTTGGGAGATGGGGTATACTCGGTCAACGCGGGAAGTGTACAATAAGTCAGACGAGTGCAGTCATGCATATCGCCACAGCCAATGGAGGCGCGGGAGTGTGACATCACGCGACGAGGACCATATCAATCCAGGATCCCACCGTGCATCTAGCCAACGTTTCTGCTCTACCGCGGCTATGCTATCCACCATACCGCGGCATTAGCATTTAACCTGTAGCTCTGATGCTAAATTATGCCTACTTGAATAAACTGGCGTTCAAGGAATGTGTTCCTGCACGGTACTCCCTTCCTAATCACTCGCAAAGCCGGTAGCTGCCGTGTGAACGCATTTATGAGCTAAACAGCGTCACGGATTATCTTTCAGCGTTGCTTTTCACGTGAAATACGTTGTGATAACCAGTCACTGTTGTAAAAGCATGGAAGATCGATATCTATATCACCATGGCTGGCAAAAATGCGTGCCCCACGACGAATACGCGCTTCATCGGCTGTAGAGTTGATCTTGTTAGGCCTGTCAAGCCTAACAAACCAACTCTCGGGCTCCGGTGTCACTTAAGCGATGGCAGGTTACTGTGACGTGCACGTCGCTCGCTCAAGCATAGTTTTATCGCGCCGTTTTTTCAAGCAGTAGGCAAAACAACCTGCTCGCTTGATCTGGCACACTTCCGTTAATGCACGTACACCTGACTCACAGGGTCTAGGTGGCCTTCCACAACTGTAGGGCTAGAAGCGGTTTGATTTTGCGAAACACGACTGTGAAAAGTCGTTATCGTTAATTTAAATCCCATACGTGCACCCTTGCCCCATGTTTCTTCCGGTCGCAGTACTTTAAATTGAAATTTATTTGTCCTAAAAGGCATGCAGGAGCTAGAGACTAAAGGCTATACAGCCTGACAAAGGGACTGAGCTATCTCCACATCTAAGAAATATTTTGTATATATTGCTAAAAATTACAACATACATTAGCATAGTATTATTGCACGGCGTGAACTATACACAAGATAAATTAATCACAAAGCAACATTTCACCAGAACTTCATTGTCACGTGAAAATACAACATGATATTCTCGTAGCATATTGCAAATTTATAAACAAAACATTAGGAATCAAACAAACTTTAGGTGGTGCACTCAATATCATGATGCATTGAGATGGTATTGATAATGGTGTTAGAAGGTGCGTAATTGTAATATACAACACATTGCAGATGATTTAGCATATAAGCATCAGGTATTGAACGTGTTATTTTAGCACCATTGATCACATTATACTTGGTAAAGAACTTCTACAAACGGATATTTATTGCATTCTCAGATACTTTAGATAACACAGGAAGGACAGATATTGACCTGTAGTTAGTTATTTTCAGCCAGTTTGTTTTCAGCAACTTTATTTGGCTTATTATTTTTCTTTGACGGAGGCGGAAATGTTGTAGGCCCGTGTGCTCAGATTTGGGTACACGTAAAAGAACCCCAGGTGGTCGAAATTTCCGGAGCCCTCCACTACGCCGTCTCTCATAATCATATGGTGGTTTTGGGACGCTAAACCCCACTTATTGATCAATCAATTATTATTTTTCTTTTCCTGGTCACATAATGCTATGTTCTAGTTATCCGCGCGAGCCGTACGAGTGTTCCTACGCTCAAGAAAGTAGTCCTGTGTGTGTGCAGATTTTGCCTCCCGGTTGAGATATTCGCGAGGCTTTAATATCAAACCAAAGATAAATATTTGCGAGCATTTACGGCTGTTGAGATAGGAACAAACATGACATTATCAGAGAGTAGCTGTTAGAGTCATGACGTAAGGCAGTCTCCTCCGTGGATGCCTGCTTCTTCCTTGGCAAGAGTGACACTTTGGGTACTCACTCGTTCCGTTACTGAACAACATTAAAACTTCGTGCCACTGTATTGTGGTTTACTGTCACCTCCTCGCTTCATGCTAAGTGAAACAATCAAATTGTTTAAGCAGCAATGCGAAGACTGCGCCATGGACATTTTGTGCTGACGTGTGGAGTTTTGTGTTTCCCGCGCAACACTATGCGTAAGAAGATGTAATGGTGGCTACTGCCGATGCCCTATGGCTACACTTTGGCAACTCTTTTGTATAATGAAAATATAATATCATTATTATAACAAAAACTATTTGGCAAAAATATTTATGTTTTATAATGTAAGTTTTGCTTTGTTAGAGAGATATTATTGAAGTTCGTTGATGCGGGCTTTTGATTGTGAATCCGTGGTCGATGCAGAGTCAATGGCGGCAGCGGAAAGATGGTATTTTACCAAAGAACAATTGGCCCTCACACCGAGTCGAAAATGTGGTCTGGACGCGGACAAGGAGCTCTCGTACCGACAGCAAGCCGCCAACTTGATTCAGGATATGGGACAACGCCTGCAAGTGTATCCTCGAAGCCTACGAGTGTCGTTGTGCGCAGCTTACATGGTTAGGCTTAGCCCCTTCTCGGCCTGGCGTTTGAATCGCATTCAACCCGTCTCTTCTTCGATGAGTCGGCTTCCCGTGTTTTTCGGTGGGATCTCGAGCCCCCGGTGTGACCTGCCGAGGACAAGCGTCGACCGATGTTGCCGCAGTTTTCGGTTTGCGGCTGTTTACAATGCTCGCCCGTTCGAGCGCTTCTCGAAGCTACCAAGGTCTTCCCCCCTCAGTGGTCCGATAAGGACGCTTCTGTTTCGCACGCCGTGTTTGCTGCTTTTAGCGACTGATCGGTCATTTCTCGAACGCCTCGGTGTTTTCGGATTGTGCGCCTGTATGTGTTGTGAATTTGTGTGCATTCGCTAGCGTTCCTGTGTACGTCGCTTTGACGTTGCCTTGCGGCGGCCCTTACTACGCATCTCGGCCTTTCCAGACACGTGAGCCATTGCACTACACGGTAGACATTTTTTTTTTTTTTTTTGCTATCGCGTCGTTTTCTTCCGCAGGCAGCTCGATCGCGACGCAGATCGCGCCAACGAACGTAGTGAAGCGCAAAAAGCTTGAAAAAAACAACAAAACAATGCGGGTATTAACCCGCGTCTCGTGTGTTGTGCTCCAGTAAACTGCCGCTGCATGTCTGGTGGGGCGGTCGCTTCGCGATCCCTCCATTTTCTTGCTCGCTCGCTGCACGGCATTGCAATACGCGATGACGCATCGTGTGTACGTTGCCGCACACGTAGTGCTGTTTAGGTCAGTGTGCCGCCTCGATGCGGCGCACGATCGCTGGAATTCGAAGCATGCTGACGTAGTGGGCAGCCCCATTCATTTACTGCCTACTTGCACGTGGTTCGCATCTCGCGTTCTAAGTCCTACCGCTTTGAGTCCTACAAATAAAGACTCGGATAAGCGTCGCAAACTGTGACAAATGTTAATTTGTCAATTGCGGCGCTTTTGATCGTGCCGGCGGGTTGCGTCTTCCGCGAAAAGTCGAGAAGCCGGTTGAATGCGGTTCAAGGGCTAAGCAAGGCGTGCTGGTTCACTTCTACGTTATCTCGCTCTGTTTCGCTGTTTTTTTTTTTTCGCGGACTGTCATGTTCTACGTTGTAATCGATTGTGGTATTCGAGTCGCTAATTTCGCCGAAAACGCGTTTCCGAATTGCTCGAATGCCGGCGTTTGGTTGCACTGTCATGTCGGGTCGTTCACATTTCGAATTTCTCAAATGTTTTGGGCCATTCACAGTTGTGCTCTTCTTTGATTTAACGTTGAAAACATGAGGGGCAGGAATATTCCGGTCGCCTTTTGCTTTATCAACCTTTAGTATAACGCCAGATAACCACACAGTCACTTGGAACCTACAAGCAATGCGCAGGTTGTGTGCATTTTTAAACCCCATTTTATTACATTGAACTGTTTAATGTAGTCTAACCTTAATTTTAGTTGGTGTTTCAATTAGAGTGAAGCTGATGGTAACATATGATATTCGATCGTGGTGCTCGATTATGTTCAATCTTGAATGGTTCTTGTGAAACTTGAAAAGTGGTAATTTCAAAAGGATTCACGGCTGTATGTGTTTATATCAGTGTGTTGACATTTCTAGGCTTGGCACACTTCGGAAATCCTGGGTGTGGTAATTTGACCTCATGTAATTTCGCTCCTTGTGCTTAGTATGAGATGAACTGCTTTGGTTTCACCAAGACATCCGACAGTGTCACTGGCATGCGTTCATAGCGCTATCTAATATCATTGGCCAGAAGTTCACGGGACAATACAAACTAGAAAATGAAAAGAAAAAACCCAAAGCCTCTGCTTTGACAAGGTGTTTTTGTCTTATTTGAGGTAGCAATCTTGAAGAAGTCTATACCCATTGTCAGAACATTGTCTCCAGCAACACCTAGCGTTATCTGCTATCATTTTTAACTCGGATCGTGCTGTCTGCACTTGCGTACTCCTGCTAGGGCTGTTGCTAGTGTTATAAGGACGGTGGGTGCTATGAGCACTCGGTGATATGTTCACTGTAAAAGTGCTAATCAGCAGCTTCGCTTTGGACTCTTTAGCACTTGTGGTGTGGCCATGTTAGGGGGTTGTAAGATAGGCTAGCTGTGTGGCAGTGTGTTCTAGGCTCTCCCACAACTGCCACTGTCGTGTGCCTAATGGTGTCTGTGTCGGGCATGCCAACGCCCAACACGGTTCTGATTATCTTAAAAAAAAAAAACAGACAAGCTGAGCAATGTTAAACTTGGGACACTAACGCCATCACTTGGGTTAGTTGGTGCAAACTTGCAACTTGAATCAAAGCTGTGCTAAAAACACGAACAACAGATGAGACACACATTCGCGCCCATCGTGTGTACATCTCATCTGTTGGTCTTTTTAGTGCAGCCATGAATCAAGTTGGCACACTTACATCTGTGCTGTCCATGCTCTACGATCAGTGCAAATGAATTGTGCCGACCTTGCGCATTGCAAGTGGGGCAGCGTCCTTTGTAGTGTGTGTGCCATTGCTATGTGCCATTGGCTCCTTGACTAGCTGCAAAACAGCACCCAGCTCTGCATCAACACTGCCATTGTCTACATGCATCGATTCTACTACTACCATTCGTTCACCAAATTCCACCGAAATGTAAGTGTCATCCTTCTCATTCAGTGAGTCGACGTTGCGACACCGCTTAGCAGTGTTTTATGCAAGCTTGAACTGTGAGTGCTTGTGTGGCTAGTGTTCAACTGATGTCGCAGTTTCTTAAAGGGACACTAAAGAGGAACAATTAGTTGTTTTAGATTCATAACTGCACTCTGATAACTCTAATGTCATAAGTTTCTCTCTCACAAGTTCATTATTTGTGGAGAATATCAAGGTTGAAGTTTTCATTTTTAAATTTTGCACCGCACTCTCCGCACGTGATCTAATAAATTCCACAATGTATTTTTTGTATTCTTGCGACATTAGCCTGGATAAAATCGCGACTTCATATGCTAAGTCGATGGCTCCCCCCCCCCCCCCCCCAAATTGCAATGTACTTCAATTTTATCGATCAGAAGCCGCATAGGACCCATTACACGCCTTCAAAAACTGGTGATGTTTCAGTGTTTGGTGCGGGAATCTCATGGTGGTGTCAGCTCCAGCAGTTTCTTTTCGCGCGTTTTCTAGCTTATCAAGTGTCGTGTTGCGGTAAGTGTGGTGTTTTCGGAATTGTGAAATTGTGCTTTACAAATACGCGAAAAAGCGTTTTGCTATTTAGTGTCCCTTTAACGTACTGACGCTAAAACACATTGGCTAATATTATGTGAAAGCAGCATATTGGTTGCTGAGGCTGTCTTTTTCAACACGGTAAAGATGTGACCGGACTGGGCTTCACCTCTCTGCTTGAATGACCACAGATTCTGTGTGCAGCGTAGTGATAATGGGCACGTGACTTCACATGCACACTATTAATCGTCGCGTGCATGCAGTGCATTGTTGGCCTTTAGCTGTGCTGGTAATGCAGCATGCATGCGACGCCAGTGAAAGCCATCCATTAAGTGTATCTTCACAATAAGATTACTGAAGAGAGATTTGTACCAATATTTAACATGTCCTTTTGCTTTATCAACCGTCGCTCTCGGCACTTGACAAAGCATAAAACTGAGAATTACACGTCATCCGAGCTGTGGCACTGTAGTCGTTAAACCGTTCCAAGGTCTGCAGTAAGTTGTGGTTTTGTTGTTTTGTATATTGCAGACTATTGTAGTTCATTAGAGTTCATTTGTGTTGGAAGATAGTGCTAAATTTTTCTCATGAGTGGTGCAACATTTCCAAGCATCGAAAATTTGATGACATATCTATATTGAATGCCACATTATTCGTACTTCAAATGGCTGATTTCTCTGAATTTATGCCTTCATGATAGGATATCTGAAGAGCAAATTGGCCTTTTTTTTTGCATTCATAACTTTGTAAATGCGGTCTTCCAAAAGCAGTTAAATGGAGGATATCTCAGGATAGATAATTATTACATGTTACCACTTCAGTGTACAAAATGTTATTAGCTTTGAAATTTATGAGGTGTGATTGCGCTTGGGTGGCTAGGGATGCTAGGATAGTCTTAATTGCCTTCATAAGCTTGTTTCATTATGCCTAAACACCAGTTTGGTTTGAGAAGCCAGTTATTCAGACTTTGTTGGCGTGTCGCTCACTTGTTTTGAGATGGAAGTTGCAAAAGCGACTGAACGCAAGATGCCCAAGGGAGCCCAACATACCAGAAATATGCGATGCTAAAATGGTTAGTTAGCTGTAAATTCCACAGCACAAACCCCACCACCCCTTCCCCATTGGAAGATAATTGGACTAATGAGGAGGAGGGGGCTTGCTTGATCGTGGGTGGAAAATCTAAGATTGTGGCAATACTAAAAAGAATGCACAGATGTGCTTCTCATGAAATTCTTTATTGAATATGCATGCATTTGCTGTTTTTACTGAACTGGACGGAATCTCTGTATGAACTTTAATGTGTAATTACCAGGCAAAAAAAAATAAAGCGTCAGGCATGTTGTGACAGCTTGGAATGTAAGCCTGAGGCATAAGTACTAAGAAATTGTTTGCAAATCTAGAGACTCAAAACTTGTGTTTCTAGGAGCGGCTGCTGCAGGATTCTGCTGCGCAGAACAGGTTGAAAAAAATTTTCAGATGGTAATGTGGGGCCACCTGCTCGGTGATTGATACATATTTCAAAAACTATCCTGGAAGGTGAAAGGGGATGCTCGCTTGCCATTTTAATGTAGGTTGTGTGTGTTGTGTTAGTGGCTTTGACCTCGAAACATGCCTACCAACTCGCCAAATTTTCTAACACTAACATCCCTTGGTGAAGTTGCAAGCTGTCGAAGTTGTGTCATGTTAATTGTTCTTAATTGGGGGTTGGGGACCAATTTGTGAATAATGATACATCAAATGTTGAAGTACAGTGGGAGTTGGGCTATTGGTGTCGCCTCATCTTCAAACAGTGCACAATTCCAAGATGTGTCTTCATGTCGTCAGTTCTTACTTCTGTCGCCGTATTGTGTGCTGTTAGAAGATTATGCAAAGCATGCTGGTCCACTTTTGGTTCACCACTGGGTTTCATAAGAAGTCAGCGCGTGTCGCCAGAGGGCGAAAAAAACATCAGACGCTGTGAAGACAATGTGATGCATGCTACATTGAGCCTTGCGTGCTTCCCATGCGTGCAGTCCATAGCAGCGTGCGCCCTGTTCCTGGCGGCCAAAGTAGAAGAACAGCCTCGCAAGCTAGAGCATGTCATCAAGGTGGCCCACATGTGCCTGCACCGAGACGCTCCTCCACTCAACCCCGCCAGCGAGGTGAGTTGATGACCCTGATGTGTAGATCAGCAGAACAAGGTGATTCTTATTGCTCGGCGTCCAATATTTTATTCACTTCAAATGTGTGCACCTGCATATGTAGAGCTGCTGATATACTCCAACATAGCGTGTGTGTGCATCGCTTGGTGATGTCATATTGCCAAATTGCTGCCTTCCACAGTCCATTGACTTTCCGATATGGTTGACTTGATGGTTGCTAACTCACTCGCATGTCACTCGACCCTGAATAGCATTGTCCACGTTTCGTGCCATTCACGTGGAGGAATCTGTTTCATGGGTTCTCGGCAGGGGGAGTGACGCGTTTCTTGCTTTACTGCACGTGCCCATCTTCTATTGTGGCGGTGTCGCTGTATTGAAATCGGCCCGTCTGTGGTGTAGCCGGCTTTGGCACTGCATAGCATCGTCGACTTGACGCGACAAAACATGACTGCAGCGCACATCTTCCATGCCATGGCATATCAGGGCCTCAAGCATTGTCCCATTTATACTTATGGCCACACACCTTAACACTTGTTCGCATTCGTATGGTCACCTGCCACCGTGGCTTAGTGGCCGGGAGGTTGAGATGTTGGAAGAATACCGACAAAATTTTTCAAGATAACCAGTGTGGATGCGCACACATATACCAAATAGTAACAGCATAGCATGTACACTTATCCAAAATCAATTTTAAAGTGCCTTCCACTCAAGTAATAGCAAAATGAAAGCGCTCACGTTAGACATTAACTTGGTCTTAAAGGGTTACAGACAGAATTTTCATGGTTGAGATACAAGTGTGCGGGATCTATTCTTGTGAACTTGTGTATATAATCTACCAAGTCTGAATACTGAATACAGCCTGAGTTGTAGTTTATATGAACTTAGTAGTGCGCATGCTCTATTCATCATTAGTACAAGTCACACCTCGGGACATTGACATCATACTAAGCGACCTGAGGGTGATCCCAAACTTCTGCGACGTCATCACAGCGGCCGAACTCCTGGATGCCCAGCTAAAGTATGGTGTCATAGTCACCATTGCGCTTTTACTACATATATGCCAGCAGGCAACTGTTTGCTGACTGTTCTTGAGTCTGTGAACGTGTGGAGGCTCGGGCAAAGTCCTTTCCACCATTTGATGCGGATGATGATGACATCACACTTCACGTCCTGAATTTGAAGAAACATCAGTAGGAAACATCAGTAGGCAGTGCGGAAGTGTCACAGCTTAGTGTGCCATTGGAAACACTGGATAGCATTAGTTGCACCCGGCAGCTTTTCAATCTCCGAGCTCTCCCAGACTGATCGGTAATCAACATGGTGCAATTATCTGTCGCACGCTGCGGTAAGTAGTGTGCCTTTATGACCAATGTCTTTTCGACAACATATTGCAGCAAAAATATGCCACCCCAAAAATTTGTGTCAGTACCTCTTTAATGTCAACGACCGACACAAGGGACACAAACTTGTTCAATACTGAAGTGTACGTACACATAGGTCTTTAAGGAGGATACTGTCGAACACGGAAATTCCTAGTCGAAAGATGTCTCTGGTCTGCCAAACGGAGCTTATTTCATGCATTTTTGGACATTTGGCTGTATTTATGGTGGATTGTAAGTGCGAGCTGCGTGATGTCACATTCTCTGAGGTGCGTGCAGGGGGAATGTGTTGCTGTACTCCTTCGATTTCTTGACCTCTCCTTTCATCCCACTTTTTCTCTTCCACAGATGCGTGGGTACTTTATTCCAGTAGGGAGTATTGTTCACTGCCTGTGCTGTTCGTAGTGGTGGTTGGAAACATCGCTGTTGCTGAATGGGTTGATATACGCTGGCGACAACTGGCATTGTTGACTGGCTGTTGGTGTGTTTTATCGTCACCAAATTGCACCTCCTCTAGTTCACTGGCGGCCGCTAGATGGAGCATCTGATGAAAAAAGCATTAAGTTTGTCGTTTTCCTCTTGTTTCTGCCTGAAATGAAGGTTGTGTCTATCGATTTCAGCTCCAAATATTTCAGTTTTGCTGAAAATCTTAGTGGCAATAGTATTGTTCAGTATCCCTTAAAATATTCATTATTGTTGTGTCAGAATATTTCGGCGAATTCGAGGAAGTTTTGTGCATTAACTTCGTTGTTTTCTCGTACTCATCATCCGTTGCAGGCTTATCAAGAACAGGCCATGGAGCTTGTCCTGAATGAGAACATGATGCTCCAGACACTAGGTGAGGTTGCCGAAACTGAGGCATACACCGTTCTCGCCAAACAGTGCCGTCTCGTGCTCGTGGACTAACGAAGCTTGGTCCATCATTGATAATCATTTCAGGATTTGACATTGGCATCGAACACCCACACACCCATGTCGTCAACTTCTGTCAGCTAGTCAGGGGTGAGTACCACTTCAGTATACGAAAGTGTTTGCTTTTTTTAATTATCTGTATTTATACATAGCTCACAAAAGCAATACAGTAGAATCTCGATACGAATTTGACGGTAGCACGCAAAATATTCGGATCATCCGGAATTCGTATGACTGAAAAACAAGTTAAAGCTGATCATGATGATCAACAAGAATTTTATTGGGGTCAATTATATGGTGGTTTTATAACCACCATATAATTATTATAACTACTTCTTGCTGAAGAGAAGTCCATGTGTATGCTCTTGTGAACTTTCCTGCCTTCACCGTCCCTCAATAATGTGTCGCGGTTTCCTCGCCCATGCTGCTGGGGCTTAAAGCGCGTTCACACTTAGCATCAAAGGGAGCAAAAGTGGCAAAACTCACTGGAAATGCACTCGCATCGCTGTTTAAGCAGTCAGGAAACTGTGCCGCAAAGCTGACACGAAAAATATCAGTCCTGCGGAATTCAAGCGAAAACCCAGAGTGGCCCGAGAGGCTGCACTTGTCGACAACATTCACATTCAATCTGCCCTTGTACATGCCACCGCCGCCGTCGCTGCTTGAAAAGTCGTCCCATTTTGCCCGTTTTCTGCGCATCCAAATTTGTACCAAATTCTGGTTATGCATGCAATGCACTGAAAAGAAACACTTACCACCTTTACAAATGTTGTTTCGGAAGATATGCCAGCAGAAGTGACACGCACCAACCACAGCAGTGACGGATTCAGCCAGCAGTGCAAAAGCAAGACACGTTGGGGCATGCGGACTCACTGCTGCTGCACCCTCTACTTCCAATGTTCTCAGCGATCGTTATCCAAATCAGGCTATTGAGGAACGTGTCCTTGTCAAGGCCATAAGCTTTTACGTGCTGCATAGGTAGTTTGTGATTGGCGATCCACCCCAGACGCCTTTGCCGCCGTGTTGAATTTGCAGCTGGTTGTTTACATGACATGGTTTTAGAGCTAGTGCAGTTGGTGTAGCAAGGCTGCGAAGTAAAAAAATTATCTGCCATCGCACGGGGGGAAAATTGGTCACCGATTCACTCTTTTGCGTCGGCTTGGTGCCGTGGTTTTCCGGCCGCTTAGGTGCTGAAGCAAGGGAAATTGCTGTGAGTTCTGCCGCATTCACTCTCTTTGAGGCCAAATGTGAAGGGGCCTCCTCCCGCAGACAAGACAAGCCGCGTTGCGCCACATGTGTGCAGTGGTTGATTGAACATTCGTATCGCGCGCGATGGCTGGGGACCAAACCGTTCATAATCACGGCGTATTTTATATAATATAGCCCTTCTAGAACAACCATATCATCACTAAATCCGCATGAATTGTAATCGAGATTCTTTCACTGTAGCATCAAAGCTCAGGAGTGTTGAACCTGTCTCCTTGTACTTGATGCCAAGTATCATATTTGCATGATTTTAAAAGCTCTTTCTTTCACTAAATGTCGCTCTCAAATTTCTGTGCACGTCACAGTTGGCCTTTAAAGGGAAATTGGCATAAAGTTTTTTTTATAACTTTTAATGTAAATATATTAGTTGAGGGTTTGTTAGAATCGTGGAAATATGGTAACAATACTTGGAATACCATAAGTTTGTCACGGTTGGAGGTTGTAGTGCAGCTGACCTGTAGCATGTGACATGTCTGAAGAAGTTAATACCCGTACCAACATATTTATTGAGATGTTATGATCAGTATTTTGCATGAACCAAATGAAGGCAATATAAAGGCACATATTTTTATTAATACGTTCTATTTATGTATCACTGTAAAACCTCAAGTAAATGAAGCATGGCTCGTCGGTAGTACAATGACGTTGCATTCCTTGAGCAAACAGAGTATCACAGGATCTGTCACCAGCACTGCATTTCATTTGTGTGTCCATTTGTATGTGCTAGTAAACATTCATAGTCATAAATATTTCTATATTTATAGAAAGTTGAAAAGTGATACTTGCGCATAAATGGTCCCACATCTCAAGTATTGTTTAAATTCTGAATTTGACCATTTGAATGGATTTTGAGTTTTTCTTAGTTCAATTGACTTGTGCATACTAAATTTTTTAAAGGATGCAAGATATTCAAACTGCATGCTCTTAGTTGCTTTCTTGATGTTGCAACATAAACTTACTCGCAAAATGCTTCGTGGTGCGATTGCACTTCCAGTTCATTTCTGTAAACAAACGAGTTGCTGTACAGAAGTATCAGCGTTGTATTTCAGTTTGCGTATGGAAAACAATGTGGAGGTCGTACGTCATGTGTCGGGTAATCACACCTCATTTACTACTGAATGAAGCATATGTGAGGTGCTGTGGCTCTCGGTTAGCTCCAGTCCTTCTTTCTTGAATATTTGGCTGTGTGTTTCACATGTGAGGTTATCCTGTCTCCCAGTGATGCATGAACCCAGTATACATGTTATTCTATATGCTCAAGTTTCTCGTGGCATGTTTGAAGGGCTTTATATCTCAGTTGGTCTCAGGGTTTCTCCCTAGCCGAATGTTGTCAATGATTTATACCCCTGGACTCGCTCAGACTCAGATGCAGCCGTGAGTCTGAGGGAGTCCGGCTGAAAAAAAAATTTTTGTGAGTATGAGTCTGAGGAAAATATTGGTGAGTCTGAGACCGGGTCAGTCCAAAGAGTGAATTCATGGGTGAATTCCACTTCTGTCTGCTGACGTGTGATGTACTGCCTTCACCCCAGTGCTTTGAGCTGGCCATGTTCAAGTATCTTATCACTCTGTGATCAACGTAATCATCTATCCAATTATTAATGTGCTGCTAGCCAGATTCTCGCTGCCACTTTGGCGTATGTAGACTATTCCAAATGGAGATATGTTAGTGTCGATCCATCTGCAGAAACCCTGTGTCTATGTCCACGACAGTGGCATTCGTTGGTGAGTTTCCATCAAAATAAATTTCATAGTGTCAGAGGTAGGTATATGCCAAGTTGATTTGTGAAATTGCTATTTTTGCCGAGTTTCTGTGAATTACTCATTTCTGCTATTTGTTGCTGTGAACTATTCATTCTTGAAAGTTTTCTCATATTTCCTAAGTGAACTTTTTGATTGCACTTTCTTTGTGTCATTGCTTGCTTCCTCGGACCGTTGGAGTTGATAGTTGCTCCTTTTTGCTCGTACAACTCTTGTTGTGTTAGCTAACCATTTCCATCTCAACTGCAGCTTGCTTTCGGTGATTGTTTTCATAAAGTGGGCCATCGTCGCTGCTTTCATATAAAAGTACTTTGATTGTATGCATGGTTTATAATCTAGAGACTACAAGAAGGAAAAATTGTGTTTTTGAATTGCCTTGTCTGCATGTATCTCGAAAGTTCAATGCACAGCTAAGTGAGCTGATTCTCCACTCTTACAAGAATTTAAACCTGAGTTTTATTTCTGTTCATTTCATGTGGGCTACTTGATCTCTAGAAGTTACCTAATGCTTGCATGAGCTAAATACAAACAGAAAACATGGTTATTCATGCACTCAATTGATGGTTCAAAGCTTGTTGCTGGTTGTCTGTTGTTGCACTACCGAACTAATACCCGACTGACTGTAAAAGAAGTGTGTACAGTACCGCCCAAGCCGAGTAGTACCGGCAGTACCATGCAGTGTTGCACCGTCTCACTCTTTTCTTGGTTTCTTTCATTGTTGTGACGGTCTGCAGCTAGCAAAGACCTGGCCCAGACGTCGTACTTCATGGCTACCAACAGGTATACCATATGTTCTTATGTGCATGCATATTTTTGTATTTACTTACGGTACAGAAAGTGCACCCATCGCCTATCGCTAATTGATACCTTAGGTCTGGAGCGGGTGACGTCTTGCCATGCGCAATAGGAACCCTTGAGGTACCTAATGAATATGTCTAATGCCCACTTTACTCTGATTTCTTAATCTCAGAATGTTGGGGAAGTGTATTGCTGTAGGATGTGTGTTTCTCTTCACCCCGTTTCGTAAAATTTACAGACTGGAGTCCGTATGAAAACATAGTGTGCAACTATGTACGGTAAGAGTTCCTAGGTGTCCTGCCCTCAATTCAAAGAGAATTTCTGGTGTTCTGCGGAACCCTCTCGCTTACCTCTAGTGAGCTTCCAGCATACAGAGAATGGGTGTAGGTGGGAGAATGCGCCAAATTAAGTACTGCCAATGCCCACATTGCTGTGTTGTCATTAATCGTGAAGGCCGTTGTTCAAGATGAGGATCTTGTGATGATAGCGAAGTGTTTATTTATTATTTTGTCCGCCTTTTGAGGTGCTTTGTACATGTTTGTGTATGCAACTTGTTATGCAACAAGTCTGAAATTACTTTTGTTAGTATATTGCGTAGTTTCTAGTACATGAATTATTTCTTATGCCTTTTGGGAGGCTGGGAGCCCCAGATTGAATGGCTCACTTATGACTGTTCAACATACCGTATTTACTCACCTAATCCTCGCACTCGCATAATTCTCGCACCCCCCACATCGCCCCCCAAAAAATACGATTTTTTTTTTTCCTCAAGTAATTATTGCACCCCCGAAAACTGTCGCAATAAAGTCGTCTGCTCGTTCCAGCCATTGATGATGATAGCGCACACCATCTGGCGCCATCTCTTAAGCATCAAGCGTACTATTGCACGGAGATCCGATCCAAGCCAAGACAAGCCGAAGTGGCCAGTGCTTGTTGCGGCGTGTTTTGTGTGTTCTGTCGGTAATCTTGGCACGTTACGGGGCGATACTGCAGCCACACGGCTGCTTCAAGTTGCAAGTGATAAATCATGCGCTAAACAACGGCAACAGGGCCGCTGGTAGGCCCTTCGGAGCCTACGAGTTTTGTGTTCGCTACTGGTGACGGCAGCTGAAAGCCACCAAGACGCGTTGGGCCTGCCATGTGCCTAAAACTGGGATTGATGGTAAACTTTATTTCTTCAGAGGGGAACTGCGGACGATTCTGTTAAATAGCCATCAGCCCAATACTGATGTCCTACGCTTGCTTTTTGAAAGCTCCTTTTGAGCGCCGACCGCTACCGCAACGCCAACAAGCTTCGCGTATGGTATTCTGATTCTCGACTATTGGCTTCCACTTTTTGTGTCCCAAATAAATCTCGCCTTGTGTTGAACCTCCACTTTTATTGTTGAGGTAAGTTCTAATTAGTACTTCTTAAAGCTTGCTGTAAGGTGCTTTTGTGAGACTTCCGATTTGCAGCCACTTCGTTTTCTTTTTCGTTCTCTGTGTTTTCGTGGAAAGTTTTCCCCGCATAATTCTCGCACCCCCCAACTTTGCATGGCAAAAAAAGTGCGAGGACTATGCGAGTAAATACGGTACCATAACTATTGTTGAAATGGATTCTGTGCATCCACTCTCGTCCTGCCGCGCACTGTTCTTATTCCAGACAATTCTGATATTTATGCTGCGACTCTCTCAATTTAGAAAAAGTCTTGTCCTGTAAAAAACTAAAAATGTATCTTAATAGGAAAATAATTGCATCTTTGAAGTTAACACAGATAAACATATGAATTCTGTAAATAAATAAAAATAACATATACAAGAATTCAGCAAGTGTCATTATAATTGAACAAGAATTACAAAAATAAAATATCAGTGTAATATCAATATAAATGAAATACTAGGAGTTCCAGTAACTGTGTAATATGTGCAAAGGTGCAGCGCTGTGTGCATACATCCAACATACTATACAGGTTTAAATGTTGCTGACAGCTCCAAAAGTGGAGAAAATAGTCGCAGCATTCGCAGTGTTTATTCTGCAGCTACAAGTCGGTGTACGTTAAAAAATACATCAATTCTTGGTTATATATTGCCACAGCTTTACTTGCACTTCTACAGTGCATTTCTTATCTAGTTTATCATCGTTGCACCGAATTCGTACTAAGCGCCGCCTTAAAGCTGATTTCGAAGTTGACATTAATATACATGGGGTTTTACAGAGCAAGTTTCTGGTGCGCTTCTGGGTCGCCATTAAAAACAGTAGAGGTAATATTTGTTTACAACCTAAGAAGGTATGTTAGCTCTGCCCGTAGCCGCCGTTGCCTCTCCCACAGGGAATTGGCTGATATAGCACTTACTTATTCTTGTGACATGATTTGGTCGTTCCTAAAGTGAACAAAGAACAAAAAAAAAGGAAGCTACTGAACAAGGAGCCCCTACACGGTTTGAAACGTCAGATCATTTCACCAGTCTTGATCAGTGATTTCACATGCTTCATCTCATCCAATGCCTGACTAGATGAACTTTCGTGCAACGCTTCAGCAATATTATTGTGGTTTAGGCACATAATACCCCAGCAGTTAATATGAATCACCAGAGAGTGTAAGGTGTGCTGGCATGGACACAAGGAAAAAACAAAACTTGTTTACAAAAATATATTGTAAGCGAAATGAAGGGGGGGGGGGCAGTGAAGGAAGAGGAAGGGCAGAAACAGCTGACAGGTGCGTGAGCGTGTCAGTCAGCCACCGTGACTCTTGCTGTGTTTATTCTCTGTAAATACATTTTGTACATAAGCCACGAACCCCATAATAATAATGTTTTAAAATATACTGGTATTTACTCGAATTTAGGCCAACCCCGATTCTAAATCGACCCCCAAAAGTCGAAAGCCTGGGGGTGGAAGAGGGGGGGGGGACTTACCTTGAATGTAGGCCAAACGAAACAGCAAGGACAGCGTTCACAAGAGAAAGCATTTATTGAACATGAAGATGAAACAAAGCATTTGGTGAGAAACATACAGCCGCTATTCCTGTTGTGTGTATTTCTTTGTCGTCGTTTTCTTTGCGCCGCTTCTAGTTACTTCGCATCATAAAGATACTGTGCTTGCCGATGCCGCTCTCAGTTCAAGTCGTCGTCACTAACTTCCTTGTCGCTGTCTTCAAGCAGTGCGCAATCGTCAGTGCCATCAAGGGAATTGGATATGCTGCACTTCTTAAAAGAGCACACAATCTACGTTCCCGGGTTGTCACGTTCCCGGGCAGTCCCTCCAGCGAAGCACATTTTTTTCATTTACTCCAAAGTCCTACCCGGCTTGCTTCGCGGCTAGGGCTTTTTTTTTTTACAAGTGGAGACCGCCCGTGGCCATTTAGCTACGCCACACACAGACCACTCGCCACAGACCGAAATGGCGGTGTTGCGTGTGTGCTTAGGTCAGGTGTTGGCGCTGCTACTAACGGCTACAATACCATCTAGATGGTCCTACTTGTGCACCACTTTTTCTCAATGAAAAGTGGCATGTTTTTCAACATCCTCAAATCTAAGCTGACTCTAGAGATTGATGCAAAGAAATTTGAAAAAAAAAAAAAAAAACACTACCGGTCTAGGTTAGAATAAATACCGTATTATTAGTGTTATTGTATCCATTACATTTGATGATGTCATATTATTCATGCACATAGCGCCTGAAGAATGTATACAGTCAATCCCGGATATATCGAACTCGAAGGGGATTGCAAAATAGTTTGATATATTGATTCGAAATCCAAAATATGCATATTCAAGGCCTGAAATTCGCGTGCCAATGAACACCTTCCTGAAAGCATTGTGTTCATGGGATTTTGTGATTTGGAAACGCATTGCCCTGTGCCTGTGAGCGCTGCCTGTGCATCTGTTTTGCTGATTCTCGATTTGTGACTCCATGCCAAGAAAGTGCTTGGCACTGAATACCTCGACGCTACATATGACTCTGAGTACGCACCTCGAAATGGACAAGTGGTGCTTTGTCCCGAATTGCAAGGTATAGGACTTGTAGGGAGCGTGTGTTGTCTTTTCGAGGCTCCGTGTGGACCAGAGCGCTTGGATAAGTGGGGAGGGACAATTCCGAGAGCTGACAGATCCTTGCTGCCACCTGACCATGTGTGCCTGAAGCATTTCCCGGAATATGCGATCTCTGTCACATATCATGCAGAATACAAGGGAAACGTCCTGTTGCAAGTGCCAAAGAAACTTACACTTACTTCAGATGTTGTGCCCGTCATTTTACCGGGCTGCCCAAAATACCTGACCACTCAGCAAAAAACCAGGAAAGCTCTTTGGAAACGGCTGGCTCTACTGCCGACTTCTTGGAAGCTACGGGGGCCAAAAGGTTCAATTGCATTTGAAGTGCCTGACACAGCCGCTGAAAGTGCGACAAATTCATTGTGCGTGGAGACAGCAACTTCACAGCACGGTGATGATGAGTCAACAGGCACGCATGCAAAATGCAGCTGCGACGGGCCTCCTTCATGTGAAGAAAAGGATGCTTCTCAACACTACACTGATCCGCTACCGACTCAGTTCCTCATCACCGGCGTAAAAGCAATTTCTTGTTTTAAATTTAGATGCCGCTTTTTTTAACTTCGTCATCTATGTCTACTTGGACTAAGAAAAATTAAATATAGAATGGCCAGTGCACAGAAATAATTGTACATACTGTTTCTGTGATGCAGCCGTGTTTTTTTTTACGTTCACTATATTCACGTGGTTATAATTAGTTTGGCATGCTTGATGTCAAGCCAGATTTTCTCGCCTTTGTATGTGTCTAGCACTTCATCGTCGCCCTCTTGCAACATTGTTGACGAACTTCCGACCACGCTACTTGCGACGCAATACGTTTAATAAGGCGAAGACCTTAGATAGACTTAGATGCCTCATCAAACGCGAAATGTGATTGTCGGCGTGCCCCATCAGCGACGTAAGGGATGAGCTGCACAAAACATACTGCTTTATGCAGTGTGCTCACTTTCACTATCTGATAAGCACCTCATCAAGTCGAGGTCCGTATGGCTTAATGGCTTAAAGTATGGGTGATGGCACTAGACCTTAACCCACCCTGAGAGTCCCAACATAAGTGTGGTACGGGTTAACCCAGGGTAGACCTTCGGGACCCAATGAAGTTCTTCCCACCATACCATGCTGCTTGCATTGCCAGAGGTTGAAATAAGTCATCTGTGCGACGCTAACAGCAATACTGGCAAGGGTAGCGTGTTGATTTAAGTTCTCTATAGAATGCGTGTAAGTTTCGTCATACATTAGTTGAATCTCTTCTACGAAGTTTTTAGGTCATTTTGCTAAGCAACCAAAATGCGACTACGATATCCGCGTGCGCCCGCATGCAGGCACACGCCTCATACATGCAGGCACACATGTACTCACTGTGAGTGGACGAGACGGGCGGAGAAGGAGGAAAAGTTTGTAATTGCTAGAAAGAAGACTGATTACAAGCAGTGCATTCGATTGCTTTCCGCTCTTTGCCGGGAACTGTGGGGCGTCTCCCAGGGTTGCTTGACTTTCTTCTCAAAACCGCAATGTCTGATGCTGGAGCTCACATCACATGCACACACGCATGCAGACTATCGCCTTCCTAATAGCTAGCGTGTCCTTTGCCCTCGGCCTGCTATCCTTATTGCAAACACCTCAAATTTTCTCTAACGAACGACGCGGATTTTTTTGTTCTGAACCAAAGATGCTGACGCCGCCAACACCAGAATTTCAGCGATATGGGCTCTTTAGCTGCTGTGGTGTTGAAATGTGACCGCTCTACAGGCCAACGTTTGCTGCTGTCGTAGGATTTATGTAACAAAAGCACTGTTTGTAAATAAGTTTATTATAAAATTAGGAAATCAATCTCATTACAGCAGAGCCACAGTGTATTAATTTATTGACATACATGTAGAGGTGTACATAGAGCATAATAACAAACAAGTGAAGCTCTGCAGCAACAACCTTCTACACTCGAATTGGAGCCGCTCCCCAGTAAGCGCCATCTGTCGCATCCAACGGAAGCAGCCCAGGTGGCGAACACAAGCTGGGCCCTGCGTCATCACCTAACTTATTGTTACACTTGTGGGCAATGTCAATGGTTGAGCGTATATATTCTCAAATGGGCTTTTCTTGCTGTAGATTTACGCCGCCCATATTAGAGCCCTTTTAATGGCAATGCATCTGCAAGAGATCCAGATGTGCTGGAAACCTGCTGTACTTGGAGGTTTGCAGGCTGTATAGTATGGAGGGCACTGGCGAATAAAAAAAGAATGACAGCCCAATCAACAAGCGACGCCAGAAGAGTGCCGCGTTCCACGCTCAAGGGTTACGCTCAATTAAAAGGGTTGCTTTTTTTTTCTTTCATGGAACTAGAACTTCTTTTCATTGTAATGCCAATTCAATAATCCTTCCGTCGAGCCGCAGAAGCAGGATACAGGCAGGAGGGGCAGGCGGTCGCCATGCATCTAGACTATGTCTAGACTGAACGTCGCTGGTTCTGCGAAGACCACAGGCTGGTTACGGGCACGTCTTTGTCACTTACGGTTGTCCATTCGCACTGCAAATTAGACAGTGTTCAGTGGATGCGTTGGGCAATGTAAGAGCGAACATCGAAATAAAATGTCTTGCTTGTTCAAGAAGTATGCAACACTCGTTCAGGGTTTTCACTGCGGTGGTACATAGCAGTGACAATTTGCATTTTTTTAGTAGTCTACCTCTGCGAATACTTAGAAAGACGCCGTTGTGCTACCACTCTCATGTCATCAGGATCATTTTGCAAATGTCTCTCATGTGGCACACGTCGTGTGATATAATTAGCTTAATTTCTTGGTAGTTATGGCACTGCTGTTGATAATATTGCTGTTTTATACGTTGCTATACATTGAGCTTTCACTCTGACATAAATTATCCTTTGCCTTTAGTGTCCCTTCAACGATGAATTGCCTTGAGCTTGTTTGTTCGTTTGCACTGTACCTAGTATACTGGTGTCCTAAGGGCATGCTTATGTTTGTCGAGGTGAATTCCATCTAGGCTTGATACCATACGAGTGCTCTACATGCTAACCTTTAATTGTGGTCGAGCCCAATTGGGATAAAATGATCTCAATCTGCATGTCACGATCTGGCTCCAATGATCATGTAGCAGTGATTGCGATTAAGGAATCCGATTAAGAGAGTTCATTGCTGGGTCTGCATTGATGAGGTGCAGATTGTGATTTAGATATGGGACATAGAATGCACGCAGCACATGAGAAGCACTTACTCACAGCTATCTGTATTGTGGAAAACTTACGTGCGCATATGCATTGTACTTGCTGTCATAATAATCCCAGAGAATGCGTACTGTTAAACAGTTGATCAGAGCACCAAATTAAATGTTTTGCTTTATTCTGCAATGCCACAGAATTATCACTGACGGGTGAACAGTTCAGTTGTGTAAGGATGGATAGATGGGCTGGTTGATAATTCATATTTGTTCAAAGAACTGGAACCAAGGGTGACAGATGAGGACGAGTGCTTGTGTTGTGTGGTTCTTCCTCATGCGTAGTCCTTGGTCTTGGGCTTCCAGTTCTTTGAATGAATCAGCTAAAAAAGTCTTGCATATGGGGGGCTCCTAGTTTGCCATAGACTCAGTTTAATGTTTATTGAGGGGTCCGCGCTTGTGTTCTTTGCCCTTTGGCGTGAGGGATCGACACCTGATGTGCTTGCCGATTGCTCCTCCCCTCAGCCTCCACCTGACGATGATGTGCCTGCAGTACAAGCCTCGGGTGGTGGCCTGCCTGTGCATCCACCTGGCGTGCAAGTGGTCCAACTGGGAAGTGAGTGGCTTTGCTGCACGCCTCCTCCCCAGTGATCATGATGATTGCCCAGGGTCCTCGGCAAGTCTCGGTTCGGGACAGTTTTGCCGAGCTTGTGTGGCGCTTTGCAGATACCCAAGTCCAGCGAGAACAAGGACTGGTTCTGGTACGTCGACCAGAGTTGCACTGCGGAGTTGCTCGAAGGTCAGTGGGCTCCTCCCCCCCCCTTTTCTTGTTTGACCTAGTGCTGGTTGCCGCAGTAACCTGTCTGGTTGTGACGTTTGTTTTAAGAGCCTTCACCTGCATCTATAGGAATCTCTAGATTCAGTGTAAGCATTTGTTAAACTAAGTAGAAATGAAGCCTAATTGGCCAACATTACTGGACAGTCTGCAGTTGGGTGCACGGGGCTACCGAAAAGTTTTGCTTTATGCCAAGGCAGTACAGTCGAACCCTGCTACAACGGAACTGATGGGGCGCGGAAAAAATTTTGTTGAAGTGAAAATTTCGTTGTAGTGAAATTGAAAAAAAAGAATATCGCTGATCTGAGTTAGCAAAACAAAGAAATGTTTATTCTTAAAATTCAATAAAGTCCGCCCCTTCCTATTCTTTTCCAGCAGCGTCACGACGGGATTCTCACCCATGCATAGCGAGGTCATGGTGAAAAGCACATGAAAACAATGCCTAAAACCGCTTTCGTGAACGTACCAAACCGTAGCATTAACATGTTAACACCAGCAACTGTCCGCCGTCAAAAGTATCCGATAATGCCGAGGTGGAGGCAGGGTATCGTGGAGTGGCGATTTTTGCATTATTCTATGCCATCCTTATCATCAATCACTCGGGGCTAGCTGATTTTATTGAATAATGGGGACAAACAGCCGCTGTGATTAGTTACCACACTGCCCCAGCGCGAACATAATGATTAGCATCGGAAAAGGCATCGTTCCGCAGTGGCGCCCAGCAGCTGCGTGAAGGAAACCATGAACTGAGGGACTGAGCTTCAGCTTCGGATCGTCTGCGGCTCAAAAGCAAGCCAGCGGCAAAAGTAGGGCTGGCAGGGCAGTCTCATTGCCATCGCTATCGAGCAATGGCGGCACACGCAGGGCAGTCTCCATTGCCATCGCTATCGAGCAATGGCGGCACCCATGTTTGCTGAACAGCGGCGGTACAGCGACGGATTCTGGTGGTGCCAACACGTGTTTTAGACTTTGTTGACGCATTTTCAGGCTTTGAAAATGCACCGAAATGTTAAAAGATTGAGTTTACTGCATAGCCATAAGTATCTGAGCCTTGAATTGCATCGTAAATTTTCGTTGAAGCGGGACGACCGATAAAGAAGTGTTCGTTGTGACGACAATATTTATGCATTGACTCCTAAGAACTGCTGACGGAAATCGTGAATTTTTCGTTGAAGAGGTGTTCGACTGTAGTCATGTTGCCCTATTATTCTGTAATTTATTCATTGAATATCCCAGAAAATTTTACATGGACATAACCTAAAACAACCAAGCGTCCCAACCATACTACCGTAGTTACTCGAATCTAACGCGCACCTTTTTTTCGGTTAAGCGAGTTCATAAATCGCATGCGCGTTAGAATAGAGTACGAAAAAAAAATGAATGCGGTCATTCTATTGCCATCGGCATTTCCAAAATGGCCGCCCCCTTGGTGTCGGCATGGCGCGTCGGCCATTTCTGCCTACCGTATTTACTCGATTCTGCCGCGCTCTCGACTGTAACGCACACCCGAAACACATAGGCAGAAATGATCGACGCGCCATGCCGACGCACGTAGGGGGCGGCCATTTTGGAAATGCCGATGGCAATAGAATGACTGTATTCATTCTTTTTTTTTCGTACTCGATTCTAACGCGCATGAGATTTATGAACTCGCTTAACCGGAACAATGGTGCGCGTTAGATTCGAGTAATTACGGTATGTGTTTCCCATGTGCGGCACTTCGTACGTGTGCTGAAGAGTTCGTCATCTTGTAGTGCATTAGCATCAATGGCATGGAAGGGCCGACTCCAAAAACTCGAGTGCATCACGATGCCGCTTTTAAAAGAAAAGTGATCGCGTGTGCAGAAACGCACGGAAATCGGGCCGCATCGCAGTCGTTCTGAGTTCCCGAAACGTGCGTGCGGGACTGGCGGAAACAAAAGCAGGAGATTGTCGACAGCAAAGCTTCACGCAAAGGCTTCAGTGGACCACAGCACGGTCGGTTTCCCCAAATTCAAGAACTGCTTGGCGAGTATGTGCTTGAGCAGCGAGCAGCACAGCGGCCGTGACGACAGAACTGCTCCAAGTGCGGGCTATGCAATTAGCCTTAGAAAAAGGTCTAACGCGGAGCCAGTTTAAAGTGAGCAGGTGCTGGCTAACTAACTTTATAAAGAGGAAAGGCTTTTCCCTCCAAAGGTGAACAGGCATTTGCGAAAAGTTTTGCGGAGGAGTACGAGAAAAAGCTTCACAGTTTTCAGAGGTTCGTCCTAAACTTGCGGCACAACAACGGCTACCTGCTTAGGGCAAATCGGGAATGCCGATCAGACGCCTCTTTACTTCGACATGCCTGGCACCACAACGGTCGAGAAGAAGGGGGCGAAGGAAGTTCACGTATTAACATCGCTCCACGGTAAAACTACAGTGACGGCAATGCTCTGTTACGCATCAGATGGGCACGAGCTTCCCCCGTACCTCATATTTAAATGGAAAATGCTCCCAGTTGTTTTTGCGAGTGGTGTGATCGTGCGGGCCAGCGAAAAGAATGGGTGCACATTGCAGTTGATGTCTTACTTTTGTGGAAATCGGGTGCGCGGTAGAATCGAGTAAATACGGTACTATCGCCGTAATTTTAGCTCTATTTTTAAAAAAGTGATTGCCACATTTAATGTAATAGTTGGGAACACAAGACTTTTTAAATTTATCACCACATAAAAATTTTCTCTTTAAGAATTATAAATTTTTGTAGTTTTCGTGTGTATAGGAATTCAAAATCTTTCAATTGCAACAAGAATAATGCATCCACGATCAATGGATCGCGGATGACGCGCGCACATTCGTCGCACATCGCCGTCACTACAGTCACCGAACTGATAAGCGGCCTTGCGGCAGACGGGCACACGGCGACAACTTGCTACAGGACTAGAAGAAATGACATGCCCGTGCAAACAATCAGTCCTATTACATTTCTAGTGCATATTAACTGGCTAAAAATGTGTGTGCCATGATATGATATTTTTTACTCGGAATGGGGAAATAAAGTTTTAACAACATTATTCTCGAAGCACAGATTTTGACCACTTTATTTTGCTTGTTCGGTAAAAGTGGACTTAGGACAACTAGAGCTGTAATTGTTTTTGCACAATGCAGCTAAATGTGTACAAAAAAATAATGCTGCGAACGTATTTTTAATGGGCAGCTTTATTTTTTATTTTATTATAAAAATGTTTGGTTTTGGTTACATGTAATGAACTTTATTGTGCTGTAATTAGAGAAGTACTGGTTCAATTATCCACCAGCTTGCCGCGTTGAACTCTTTAGGCTTTCTAGTATTCATATATATATTAATGACTATGTAATTCTAAGTACATACATTTTTAGGGTTAAAAATGTTGGAATTCTATGTTTTCTTGATTTTCTCAAAATGGCAATTTTGTACACCCTGCATGAAAATTCCTGTAATATATCTGAAACTATTACAGATAGAAGAATAATTTTTTTGCAGCACGAAGCTATATGTTTGGAGCACACAACATAGGAAGCAGATTTTGATTTCTCTTGATGCAATTTTTTTTTTTAATTCTTTTGTGTGACCACACAATGGCCTCATTTAAAGCTATGAAGTTTAGTGTACTGTAAAGTAAAAAATGAGGACGCAATCAAAAAAGTACTTGCTATGTTGTGTAGCTTGTGCTTTCTAGTGTTGATCCCTATGCTATTTGTAAATTTTGCACTGGTGGTTATTTTTCTATTGTGGTATGAACAATAGATATTGTTATGCTAATTGAAAATAATCTATTGAAGCTACAGAAAAAATAACTACATATTTAGAATATGGAGAACAAACTGAGTAAGCATGCCAACTTTTGTCACATTTGGTTCTTTTGTCACATTCTTGGGACCCACATTCAGTACGGGGACGAAATTTCGTGCCCTAAAATGTAGAAAAAACCGTGGGCTATAAGCAGGCTTTTACGGTAATCATCTAAGTTCATTGCCGGTCATGTAGTGTTAGTTAAGGTCATCCAAATAGTCTGTACATATCCTTTTGTGTCTTTTTATGAAGGTACGAAAACATCATTAGCATGATGTTTTTTCATGTGATATATTCAGTGGTTGACTCACAGTCGTGTAAATATGCTGCACGCTTGCCACATGGTACTACCATGTCTTACTGCACGCTAAATGCTGTTCGAAATCAGTGGGACAAGTCTTCATACTTTTTAACTAACCTTGACAGGGGTGCTGCACCCACTGTAATTGTGATAAAATACCTGCATGTGTTCACTAGGTTGTTTTTGATGGTGGTGAGGCAGACATGAGGCATGTGTACAACATCACGCCAAGCCTGTCACCTCACAACTCTAGTTTTTCGGCACTATGCAGTTCTTTTCTGGTTTATTCAGCGCACCTATGTACACAAAGCATGTTCCTGTCTAACAAAATGGTACTCGAGACTAAAAATGGACTGCGACCCAAGACAGCGAGAAAGTGCTGTGACCACTTGAATCTGTTGCTGAATAAACTTGGTTCACTAATGCAAAGTCGTGGATGGCGACAACGCAGTTCTGAAGGCACGTGGTGAAGATGAAACTACTGCTCGTCACAGCTTTGTCACTTCAGTCTTTATTGACACAATCATAGATGGAGCCCACCAACTGTAATATAGCAAAATTAATGAGTTTGCTGCATCCACTGATGCTTTAGTCATTAACAACGCAGTTTTGGCAAGATTGTGGGCGGTGACCACACCGTCCTGAAGGCTCTGGCAGTTTTGGTTGCTCATCAGCGCTACTTTGTGCCACTTATTTAGGGTACCTCGTGCTTTGCACGATTTGAGACTCGTCTGAAACTAACAGGTCATAGCCAAATAGGACGGAATTAACGAGTGCAGGATGCTGTTCATCAATACATATGCTTGCTGGGACCAGAGAACGACTGCAAATTATCAGAATGATCAACTGCAAATCAAAAGAGCAGTGCAGTTACAGTCCGTGGTGCCCTCATATTCAGCTCGCAGCAAGAACATGAATGGAAGGATTGTAGCCCTGTCACACGGCACCTGTAATGCCACTTACTGCGAATGACATAACGTGTCATTTTTGTTGCTGCTACACGGGCTTAGTGAATGGCACTCACACCTAATGACGTTCGCCCGTTGAATGTGTTCACCGAAGTCATGGAAGCGCGACATGTGTAACAGGCGTTCGATAAAAGATTACAAAATCAACATAATCTTAGTGAAGTTCATTGGGCGTGTTTCTTTGCGTGTTCAGTCACTTATGCCAAATTACAGGCTGGAGGTATGCAGATTCTTTACAGCTGAATTTTATATATTGCCTCAACTCTCCCTACTAGCTTACCATAATTATTGGCAACATTTTGGAACTGAGGTGCTACTACATTGTCTGTCGTCCACAAGTCAATGATGGCGTCTGTTTGGTTAATGCTTTGTTGATTCATTGTGTGAATTTCAGTTCATAGTGGGCTTGCGTGCGATGGGTGGAAAGTGCACACCATTTCCCTTATCGTACCTGGATGGCCATGAAACACTGGCAGCTAAGGATTACCGTTCGTTTTGGTATTAGGGTGTTTTAGCTAGCGGTTCTGGCTTGCTGCATGGAAACTGCGGTAATACAGCCGAACTCGATAACAAACTCAAAAGGGCCGTGACAAGGGGTCGTAATATTATTAATTCGTTGCATATGAACTTGCCTTTAGAAACGTGAGATCACCAACAAGTCACATATATGATACAAGTCACATATATGATTGTGAATATAGTTTGACATGCTCGTAGTTAGGTATTAGGTCTTGGTTTACGGTTGTCTGCTGTGTTTATCCTTATCTGAAATTCTCTCGGCGCCCGCAAATCCTCTCAACCGCCACTGTGGTCTAGTGGCTATGGTACTGGACTTCTAACCTAAAGGTCGTGGGACCTAATCTTGGCTGCAGTGGCCGTATTTTTTATGTAAGCGAAAATGCTGGAGGTATGTGTACTTAGATTCAAGTGTTTATACAGAACCCCAGGTGGTCGATGTTTCTGCAGCCCTCCATTACGGCGTCCCTCATGATCCTTTTGGGGAGGGGGGAGTTTGTACGTTAGCCTAACAATTATTACTATTGTTATTATATGTTAACTCCTCTAGAGCTGACGTCGGAGTTCCTGGCCATTCTGGACAAGTGCCCGAGCCGGCTCAAGCGCAAAATCATGAGCATTGGAGCAGGTAGCAGTGGATCAAGCTCCTCGGCGGCAACGACACCAGTTGCATCAGCACCAAGTTCCAGCGGTATTTCTTCACGAAAGGTGCGTGCAACGCCAGCTGCTTCTTACCAACAGACAATACTCAGACGGTGTTGAGCCAAAGTTCAGGTGGTCCACTGGTGTTGATTTATTTCTATACTCTTCAAATTCGAGTGATAATGATGTAGTTTGCTGTAGTGTGCTCTGAGCTGGCAAAAATGCACAACAGCAGTGTCTATGAGTGAAATGACTGCTTTCTTCAATTGCAACAGTCACTTCTAGAAGATCTTCATTTTGAACAAGTGGGCAGAAGTAGCTGGTTTTTAGTGCTTTAAAGGTGCCATGATGGAAGTGCTGTATACATTCATGAAGCACTGATATCGGTACAAAAACGAAATGCTATAAACTGAAACATATTTTGCATTGTTGTCAAGTGTCCAGTGCAGCAAGTATTTTCAAGAATGCCTATCTGTAAAATTTGTTGGAGGGAGGAGCAGTTTTGTCAGTTACAAGATTTCGCTGTATCTCGGATGAACATGGCACTGTATGAATTGGGGCATTGCCCCAATTCATGTGACGCCAATATTGTCGGGTTTTTCCTGACAAATAATGGGTCGTGTCGACGCCAGCATATGTACTATGTAGTGCTAGCGTGACATTCAGTGTATCAAAGGTGCTTTTTCACTTGACACACTTCACAGGAGGCTCATGGGCAGCAGAGGAGGGAAGAGAGGAGTGCAGCCGCTGCTAGTCACGAGCCGTCCACTTCAAGTGAGGCTCCTGTGAGCAGCGAGAGGCAGCCTGCATCCAGTAGCCATGGCGGCAGTCGGAAGCCACCCTCCGACCCAACTCAGCATCGGAATGCCAAGGTTCCACCGCATCACGGACCGGCACAGCGGTCACCGGGGCTAGCACAGCTACAAATCGGCAACCAGGGCGCCGAGCACATGCTTTCTCCTGGCAAGCGAAAGGCCCTGGAAGGCACCAGCAGTCATAGTTCTCAACCGCTTTCGCTGGATGCATACCGGGACAAGCGCTGTCGCCAGAAGGGACAGCCAAAGCCCCATCCACCACCATCGGACCGGTCAGAATCCCATCACGGAGTCGCGTCTCACCCACCTCATCAGGCTCCTTCATCGCATTCTCAGAGCAGGCATCACCAGCAGCCTCACCTTGAACCGACGTCTGACGTCGGTGTGACAACGGCGCCACCACACCATCCCTCGACTGCTTCCACTTCCGACAGTTCCAAGCCGCCAGCCGCCCAGGTCAAACCTGAGCAAGCCTTGGATGATGCGAGTGGCTTCAACTTCAACTTTGGCGCTCAGTTTGGTGGTGACTGGCGGCGACTCATCAATTGACAGCTTCTCTTTTGGCCTCGATGGACCAGACATCATGCCTGCCATTTCGCCGCTGCAGTTTGACACCGACGAAAGGAGCAATTCGCAAGATGTGCTCATGACATTGTCACAGGTGGTGCCACCGCCTCCTTCGGTGCCAATGTTGCCAGCTGAGGAGAATAATGTTCCACCAAAAATGGCTTCAGTTCCACCTGTTGCAGTGCCGCCAGCAAAAGCAGAGCCTCGCACTCCTCCGCTGCCACCAACAAAGGCACGGCCCTCATCACCCCCGCAGCCACAGAAGCCAGTCCCAGCAAACCCGCCACTCCCTCCTCAAAAGTCTCAGCCTTCCACGCCTCCCATTCCACCTCCAGCTGTGCAGCTTCCTCCTCCACCGCCACTGCCGGCAGCACTGGTACCCACTGCAGCTCCATTGCCAGCACCAGTTGCTGACAAGCCAGAGATCAAAGCTGAAGTGAAGCAGGAGACAGTTGTTGCACCTCCAGTCAAGGATAAGGAAAAGGAAAGGTCGGAACGAAAGGAACGCAAAGAAAGGCATAAGCACAAGCACAGCTCATCAGAGCGTTCGAGAAACAAGCACTCGTCCCCAGGTAAACACAGCGGAGGGGAGAAGACTTCGGAAGGAAAGTCTCATGGTGACCGGGTGCCCGAAGTAGGAGCTCATCACGCTGTAAACAATGCTGTTGATGTGCAGCAGGTTGTTAACCATGTCGTGGATGGCACACCCGTGGCGGACTCTGACAGAAAGTTGGAGCGTAATGGCATCAGCAAGCACGACCGCAAGTCTTCGGGCAGCTCGAAGTCGGAGAGTTCTCGGAAGGAGAAGTCTGAGAGGCGAGAGAAGGAACGCCGGGAGGCGTCAAGGGAAGAAAATGGCAGCAGGTCGTCGCAGCCGAGTGCTGGTGGTGGCTTGAAAATAACTATTAGTAAGGAGAAGCTCCAGCAGTCAGGCAGCAGTTTGACTGGAAGCCCCCCACGGGAAGCTCTGAAGATCAAGATTCCCAAGCTCAAGATTGTTCCGCCCACGCCAACGCCTCCCCCAGTTGACCCACTGGAGTCTGGCAAGGGACCGCACACTCCGCCACCTCCGAGCACGGGGCTGAAGCTCAAGATCAGCAAGGAGCGGCTGAACAGCGGCCGAAAGAGGGACCGGCGGTCGGAGGACGGGGAGCACCGTGCTCGCTCGCCCAAGTCGAGGAAAGTGTCTGCGCCCGTGCCGCCACCCCCTCCACCGCCACCAGGACCGAGCTACCCAGCACCGCCGGTGCCGCCCTCTGGTGGAAGTGCCAATCACGTGCCGCCACAATTTCACCAGGGCTATGTTCCTGCACCGCAGTTTTCGGCCCCACCTCCGCCTCATCATCCGCCAATGTACTTTCAGCCACCCTATGGCTTTCCACCGCCGCCCCCTATGCACATGGCGCCAGGTGCTTATCAGGTGCCCCAGTACTTCGGCATCCCGCCTCCACCTCCCCCGGTTGATCCACCACTACCAAAAGAGCTCCCTCCCCCACCCCCTCCGCCCCCTTCGGAGTGAGAGGGCATCTAGGATAGGATTTTCAAATGTGTGAATGCCACACCGCAGGGGAGCCCCCCTTCCCCTGGCAATATGAGGATGACTTTTTCCGCCCCGAAGTAAGTGGCCGTGCATCCGGTTTACTCTAACTTATCGTGGAACACTAAGTTGTCGGGCTTGGTTCTCTGCTTTGCAGGATCGAGCGAAGCATAGCTGCTCGGTTCGTGCAGTGTGAATGTGTGTACTGTCCTCTGTGTGCATAGCAGGGCCAGTGTCTTCGACAACTCTTGGGTGATTGTAAGTGGTGAGAGGGGGGTTCTTGAAGTCTTGTGTGTGTGGGAATTTCGGTGATTTTGGAGCGCCACGCTAGGCTGTGCCGTGGCGTCAGTTCTTTTCCCTTTCGTGATACCGCCCATGTGTGAGATCGTGTATGCCACCTGTATCGAACACCGGTCTTTTTTTTTTCTTTTTCGTTGCCTCACTATGTGTGTGGATGTGTATATAGTAGAACTCTAGGAGAGTTGTGGTTAGCAATCGGGGTGGGGAGTGGTGTGCTGCCGTGGTGTGTACCGTGCTATGCGGAAAGTACAGAATGAGTAGGGAGGTGTTGTAGAACGAATTATGACTCTCAGGTTAGCACCTGTAAAAGCTGTTTCCCAGAACTCAAGAAACAAAAGAAAAAAAAATAGTGAAAAAAAAAAGAAGTTTGCTCAGTGCAAGTTGTACATAGTATATGAAGTTGCCTGTAATATACAGTTGAAACATGCAGTGTTGTGTTTGCTGTTATGCTGCATTCAGCTGCATGTTTGCAATAGACTTAATTTTTTGTATGTGTATGTGGCCCATTCCTAATGTGGCATGTGTGGCCTAGCGTTTTTTTTTTTCTTTTGAAGCAAGTTGCTTCTTCAGCCAGTTGTGTTCAGGAGTTGCTGCGGCTGGCAGGACCCTCTGTTTTGCTCCTGCAATGTAAATAAATATTCACTTGATTGACACAAGCAGTGTTTCGTGGTCGTCAATAATCTCCTTAAAGTTGTGTCCGCAACAAACATTCCCAGGCCAACGTACTTGTGAACGGATTGGAGTGAGGATTTGCAGTAAATGCTGGCATCTTGTTTTTAGGTGATCAAATGTTTTATACCGGGCATTTCTAACAAAAGAAAGCATGCAAGTGCTATCAAATGTGTTAGCATCATTGTTTTTTGTATCCAGGCCAGTTGGGAGTACTTGTCAAGTGAACGAAGCTTGTAAGCAAAATTGGGCAGGTTAGCATCGATATACTTTAGCGGGTAGTGAGCAAACTGACACAATCCAATATCAAACATGACACAAGTGATCGTCTCATGCAGGTTTAAGTTTCTGTTTGAATATGCTTTAAACATATATATATATATATATATATACATATATATATATATATATATATAAAGCTTAGCATCTAGGTTGGATGCAAGTGTTTTCTTTTCATCTATACACCTAATCTTTCCCTGTGATAAGTTGCCTTGTAGTTTCTCTGACATGCTATGTCATTTTCAAAGTTTGCACCTTAGCAAGACCCGCAGTGTACAGCAAGCAAAAAATTTTGTGGGAGCAGTATTGTGAATGGTGTGCGTGTTGTCATGGTTGGCACATTTAAAGTAGTGGAAATTCAGTGTATGTTGCAGTACAGTAATTTCTGCGTCATGTTCATGAAGCATGTTTAGCAGATCTTGAGCTCGCTCCAAGATGCCTCGGGCCTCTATCACTGAGCCCTGTCTTGCATATGATAGAGCACACTAAGCAGAAGAGGGTCGTTGTTTATACAAATTTGATTCTAAAGAGTAGATGCCTAATAGAGTAACAGAAAGATGTGTTAGTGGTAGGTATTTTAAAAATGGAGTGTGTGCACACACAGATGCAAGAAAAGTCTAGACACCGCAAACGTTATGGTGTTTATCAGACCTATATTCAATAAATAATTATGGACCATCTCCCGAAGGGAAGCCTGATAGAATGTGAAGCAGCAGCGATGCACACGGCGTTGACCTGGTTGAAACGGGCGTCGACACGTGTGTTTGAAGTGAAACTCGGTGTAGCGTTTACTCAAGTGAACGTTTGTTTGAAACACAGAGACGTGGGAGGCAGATTGGGTTTCCTGTAAGTTTCGTCGCAGAAAGACTGTGCGCTCGAACTTTGCGACTGGTGTAGAGGTTGAAGCACGAGAGATTACACGCAGTGATGGGCTAGGAGAGACGTCAACGCATTCGCACTGCCAGGGAAGGCATGACCTACTTGGCATTGCGCCAACACTTGAACCAGATGAGCACGGTGCGGATGGAGGGACAGCGTTACACAGGCTAGTGAAAGAGCTGCTTCGCATCTAATAAAATTTGTATCTACTTCTTACTTCAGGTCATGGAACAGTTGTTGAATAATTGGAAACGCGAGGCTCGCCTGAACGCCTTTGCATAAACGGTTGCAATTTTCGCGACACCTAGGTTAAAGGGGCAAAAATTATGCTGCAAATATCTTTTCTTGCGGGACTAAATAATTAAGAGATTTCTTTTTGTACAAGACTTGCGCTGATGTCTTGTCTGCCAGTAGATGCACACTGCCAGCATTAGTGTAAATTTGTTGAGAGATCAGTGATTTCAGGGAGAGGTGACGACGAAATCTCATTTCCTGTTTACTGTGACAAAGCCATCACATAAAACCCTAGCTACGATAAACATTATGCCATTGCATGCATTATAGGTCTGGCATCTTGTGCAAAGTTTCCTAGTACTAGGAATTCATCTACAATAGTTGTTTTGGTCAGAGGCTTTATGTGAAACACAAATCCGAGGTGTATTAAACTGTTATTCTGACTCCTGCAGTGAGGGCGCACTGATCTTGGAGGAATAGCAGAAGTAGCGTAGGTGTATGTGTATGTGTATATAACACTGCTTTAAATTTGGGAAGTAAATGCGCCTAGAAATCTTCCAGCCCAGACAGAAGCGGTACCTCGGCGGAATTTTGCATCTACACAGAACTATGACACACTTCCGAACAGTACGCATTATGAATTACTTACGAATAGGAAATGGTACTGCAGTGTCGTCAAACGCAAATCTTTCTAAGCATGCGCCACGGCCACGCACTCGCAACCAGCTGCAAAAAGCAAGAACAAACTCGACAAAAAAAAAATTGTTCCAAATCTCATTGTTACACCGCAAATGTCGAAAGACGATAGTCTTGCGTCAGGAGAGAGTGAACAAAACGTTTATTTGATGTTCTGCACAAGAAAATCGGTGAATGGTATTCTGCAGGCGCTGCGTTAGAGTGTCTCGAGCGTCTAGCAGAGGCGAACGAGCGCATCGAGGCACGTTAGACACAAGTGCCATCTGGCAGTTATCTTCGAAAACGAAGGCGTGCAGCCCGCGGAGAAAGGTGCGCACCAGTCTCGGAGGTGATAAGGTGTAGAACACAAAGCAACGGGCAGGTGCCACCACCGCGACGTCGTAGCAAAGCGTTGGAAACACCTTTTTGAGCATCGCGTTGCGCTGTCAGCGCAGCGCGATTAAACGCTACATTCCTTAGAGTTACTTGTGTGTGCCTCTTCTAGTATAAAGGCAGTCATACAAATCATCGAAGCATTGTTTCAGCGCCTCAGATATGCGCAATGATTGCTTTTTAATTGACAATCGCACAACTACGAACGCTAAACCTTGAGCAATATTGGTGGGCGCTGCGAATGGGGTTGGCCGATTGAGGTATCGTTAGGGCGGACAGACAAATGTATAGACAGACAGACCAAAATGTTTCCGTCGAAGGTCCCCAAGAAAAACTATCGTCTTTAAAAATGGCGCCTATGGCGTCATCATAACTTGTTTTGCTGACTGCAGCGCGGTGACGTACGTGGGGGGAAGTAGCGAGTCACCTGAGGTACAGTGGCAGTGTACCTCACAGAACACCTACCACTTTGTGTACCTGAGGGTTTCCTTCGTTGGTGGCAATGGCGTGATGGAGTCGAGGGCTCACCTAAATTTCAAAATTCTTTAAAAATACTTTCCCAACTATATTCGCTGTTGATACTTTGCAGATGATATACGATTGTTCTTGGGAATAGACCCCACAAGCCGCGAAATTTTGTGTCAGTGCCCTTTTAAAGCACAGTAACTCAATCACAGAGCGTGCTAAACTCTAGGAACACGCGGTAGACACGTGGTATATATGTGGAGAGGCATACGGGGGACAAATGGGAAGATGTCTCAACGTGCGTCTGCTTGAGCATCGCCAGGAAAACGGAAATGGTAGAAATGTTTTTTTTTTTTTTTGGCACAACATCGTTCCGAGCGTGGCTGCTGCGCTCATATCTTTGGGGACAATACTGTAATCACTGAAACGTCATGCGAGGAAAAAAAAAAAAGTTGATTATTGAAGCTGGGGCAGATGAAGAAAAAAAAAAGGCAATTAGAAAACCTTATATTGCGCTATCCACAAAGGAGTTATCATTCTTGCGGCGAGCGACCTTCCTTGCACGCTTTTCTTAACTTTCGTTAAATGATTACGTGTTATCACGGTCACGGAACGCTTCGACAGCATGCACTCGCGCATGGGCAACTTAGCGTAATACACGTTCCTTCGAAATAAAATTTTGTTGTTAGTCAGCGCTTCTCTTCAGTGTGTCTCTTTTTCGTTCGTGTCTCGTGCGCTGTGCAACTATTACGGATTATTATGCGCACATCAAGGCTCCCTACTATCATAATGTGTGTGGCGGCGGTTTGGTGCGCATGACTACGCCCAACGTGTTCTCTGGCCCGACGCGCTATAGTATATTCTAGGCAATATAGCTACAGTAACGTTGGCTGGGCTTGCGTGTCGTCAGTGTCAGGAGCATTCGTTGCGCTGCAATGCCTCCTTCTTGCGTGCAGCATGGCGAAGAGGCAGGCTTGCACCATTGGTTCGCTCCGGGTTGCCGCACGGGCTACCCGAACGGGCCAATAGCGTCGCTGTACGCCGCCCCGAAGGATGACGACCTCCGACAGAAGTAGGAGCGGAATTAACCTTCACAGGAAAGTAAAGCTTTCAGCATTTCTTCGGCAGTATGCGAGCACCACTTTGAACCGCACTTCATTCCGGGTGAATATGTTCCCGTCATAAACGGCGACGAAGTGCGGATTCCGACTCCGAGGAATCCTGATTTACCAGCACATTCACCGCAAGAAATGTGCAAATAATGAGTAATTGCACGTGTTAGATTGATTTGTGTACATATCAGCGGCGATAATACCAAAATCTGCATTATTGAATGAGAAAAATCCGCGGGGACCATAGGATGGCACGCCATAATAGTATGCAGTGGCGCCACTTCGGGGCATTCATGCGAAAACGGGCCACCTGTGCGAAGCTGTTCGTGCCACTACACCTTTTCTTGTTTTCTATACAGTCAAATCCCACTACTACGAATGCCGCTTCAACGAAATTTCCGCTACAACGAAAAATGCATGGTTCCCCGTCAGCAGTTCATAGGAGTCAATACATAAATATTGTCGCCTAAACGAAAACTTTTTTTCTTCTGCCGTCCCGCTTCAACAAAATTTCACGATGCGATTACAGGCTCAGATATTTATTGCTATACAGTAAACCTAATCTCTAACATTTTGATGCATTTTCAGAACTTGAAAATACGTCGACGAAGTCTAAAACACGCGTTGGCACCACCAGAAACCACCGCTGTTCAGCAAGCATGAGCGCCGCCATTGCTCGATAACGATGGCAATGAGACTGTCACTGGAAAAAGCAGGGCAGTCTCATTGCCATTGCTATCAATGCCCGTGCTTGCTGAACAGCGGTGGTTTTGGGACGTTAAACCCCACATATCAATCAATCAGACTTCGTCAACGTATTTTCAGGTTCTGAAAATGCATCAAAATGTTAAACTTTGGGTTTAATGTATAGCCGCGGACGATCCTAAGCTGAAGCTCAGTTGCTTAGTTCATGGTTTCTTTCGCGCAGCTGCTGGGTGCGTCTGCGGAAC